CAGACCTCAATTTCTGTAGCAGCTGAATCAAAGTGTGATCCATCTTTTCGTAATTTGCAGTTAAGCTTTGGGCACGAAATTGAACTAAAGCATTGAAAGTCTCTTTGTGAAGTCGCATGTTGCGGTAGTAATGCCCCCTTCCGCCGCTTTGTCTGCAGATCCTGCAGCAATTGTCCCAGCATCCACCCACCAAGATTTGTAGCCTTTGCATGCATGTCGTTTATAGAGTATTCTTTGCCTCACTCTCAGCTGGTGAATTCCGCAAGACGAGGTGAATACACCTCTGGATATTTCCATAAAATATGCGCAAGACGAGCATACACCTGTTCGTCTGCATACGCAAATACATTACCGATTTCCAACTTCTTCATCAGATCCAACAGTTTGTCAAGGAAGGCTTTGCACACCGGGTATTCCGGTGGTTCTGGAATAACTGGCATGTACTCTAAAAGAGATTTTCTCGTATATAACTCTGTTACTGCTCTATTAAAAACCGTCCATGAACCAATCAAATCAGTTTCTTCGCCTTGTCCCGGGAGACCGTCAAGAAGTGCCCACATAACATCTCTTTTCAAACAAAGTTCGAGAAGATCAAATTCATCGTCATCTTCATGATTAGGGAACAGTTGGGGAGGTTTCCTGACACCAAAATTTAACATCCGGTATTGTTTCTAGCTCTTCCTCATCGGCAACAAGATGAAGATTTCTTTCAATTGTTGTTTCTGGTGCAATCGCCTCATCTAAAAATATCAAAAAGAGTGATAGATTAAGTTTCAAATGATTGAGAAATCTTTTCGTAGGTTTAAAAAAGGGCTACAAAATTTTTAGTCTTCCTTTCTGAACATCCTCCAACGACATTTACTTTCTGACTGTTCACTTGAAGCATTTTGTTTTCTACTCTGTATCAACATTCAAAAGTATAAGTTGTGAATTTATATTTGCTTCTTGTAAAGCGCACAGGACAGGGAATGAAAAATTAAATCTAATTGACACCAACTTGCAAGAACTGGCTGAAACAAAGTGCGATTGGTGTCATGAGTGGTCCCTGCACCAGTAATAGTATCTTGGCACCCGTCATTCTTGTCGATGGTAGCGTGAGTTGCTATTCCCTTGGCCATATTGTCTGTTGGCTGAGATATCTGACTGTTGGCTGAAACCATTCTCGCCCACGCTTGGTTTTGCATTCTAATATCGTTGTATGATATGCAGTTGCCGATTTTGTGCAGCATTACCATTGATTGTTTACTGCATGTAAACCTGTGCAAAGTTAATCCAGACACAACTTGCTTTGCATTTCTATGTTGCTGGAGAACTAATGATTCCCAGTCTGAAGCTATCGACAATACTTTTGTTGCACGAGGCCTTGAACTTGTTATGGCGTAACCATAGTCATTGACTTTGTAACTTGGATCAATCGTTGCATATACCAAGTTTTAGAGATCTTGTGCTTGTCCACTGTCCAGTCTCTCGATTACTTCATCCGGTGTGTACGGCCAGCAAAATTCCATTTCTACGCGCTTTTTGCCTAATTTTCGTTTGATCATCTTTGCGCATGCTCTTATTAAGTCTTAATCGCACAATCCGTGTCCCTTGATCGTTGCAGCTGTGTAATCTAATGGATTCATGTCGTTTGAGTATACAATGACTTGATGAACTGTGCTGTAGAATCCAATCCTTTTTGGAAATTTATTCGCAATTTTCTTTTTCAGTGTACTGGTATGGTTTATCGGGGGACAAATGCCGCGTTCTTCACTCATGTTCAGGATGTCACGCATAAGGTCACTGAGGAGATATGCGTTCTTTTCGCGTAACACTTTCATATGAACATGTCCAAAGAATTCACTCATTAAATCCGCTCCCAAGTCTCTATCGTCATTATCCAATTGCTCCCGTTGATATTTCACGTTAACAGCGAACTTTAAGTAACAGGATTGATGGTAAAAGATGTCTGCTGCAAACACGTCATGTGACTCACCACTTGTTGACAGCTGTAAGCGGTTCGCAGCTGCGTAAAATCGATGCTCTGGACACTTCAAAAATTCATCCTTTTCTTTCAAGAATTCGCTTTGCAGCTCTGCCTTCTGTACACCGGCCTAGTCCACCTTCATTAATAGCATTTTTGTCATCAATTTCTCTTCGGCTGTTGCAAACAAAACACAAGCGTTTGTTCTTCAGATGTTGGCTGACAGATCTACGTGAGACCCCTCCACTGCCACATTCGTCAGCATTGTCCTCGCTACCAGCAGCATCAATCCCTTCCTGAATAACACAATGCTTTGCTTCACTCCGTTCTATCATGGTTCAAAAAGATGCTCTGCAGTTCGTATGAGCTTTGCCAAAAGCGGTATCACAGTCCTTTATCTTTTCAAGAACTTTCGCAAAGCAGTATTTCTGATCGTCAAAGGTGATGTTTATCATAGACCATCTTTGGGCCTTTTCCTTCAAAGCCGCCCAACCTGCACTCTTAAATTCAGTCACTTTTCCTCCTTTAATCAAATATCCACAAAGCAAACATTTTCTTTCTTCTTCATCGTGCAAAGCAAGAAAAGACCTACTTGAGGCCATGTTTCTTGCCAAAACTGTTCTGCTTTAGTCCGTCACAGTTTACAAGCACGTGTGTTGCTTTTTGAATTAATGCAAACGCAGTCAATTAATGCAAAATAACTGTTTTTCATTTGCGTAACAATGAAATTGTGTTAGCTGTTATTCAAAAGTCTTTCGAAGACTAAATACACAGTTTTTTCATGAAAAAACATAGGCGTACAGTAGACACGTCTAAGTACTGAAAGTTACTTAATTACTGAGTTACTCACAGACAATTTATATAAAAAATGTTTGACTTCCTTTTCTAAATGACCGAGCTTGACACAGTCTTTTAAACATACAATGTACCCCAGTCCCACAACAAGTCTCTTCTTGAAGAACAAGATAAACTACTGTTTCAGTAATTAATAGAACGAGAGGGTAAGGGGTAAATTGCCCCCAATTTGGTATACTAAGAATTGCCCTGCAAAGGAATGCGTTTCTGTATCATAAAGCACATGTTGGTAACAAAAAATAAGTGAAGTCCAAGCAAAATATCGTTTTATGTCATGATGACGTCATTTCTAAAAATAACTTTGTCTGTAAAAATTAATAAAATATAAATCAATCGATAGCTCTTGTGGTGCTCAAACAAAATATGCAAATATTCTTGAAAATGGGTGTAAGGGTACCGAGAAATTGCAGGTAGAATGGATAAATTTCTTGTTTTCTGACGTCATCAAATTAAGACACTTCTGGTCAAAATCGAAAGTGACCCATCTTGGATTTGTAATCTACAGGGTCGATTTAGTAGAAATCAGTAATAACATTTGAGGTTAGGCAAAAATTCAGTCACTTACATGGAATTCCCTGCCTACATCTTTTGTGAACTCTTACAAATCTTACAGAAATCTTACTTTTGTGAACAGAAATCTTACAAAGGTTTTCTTTGTACGGTTGAGATTTTACAAAAAACTATAAAACTAAGGAACTAAGAAAAGTCAAAATTATCAATTAAAAAGTCAACCACACCAGAAAAACAAGATTTTGAGTCATTTAAAAACACTTTTGAGTTCTTTAATGCCGCTGAAAGTTTGAAATTACAAAGTTTTTAAGGAAATTGTTTAAGCTGCAAATTGAAAACTAACATTTCAATTGTAAATAAAACATGAACAAAATATTTTTTTGACAATTGCTGACCATAGTTGAACTTGCCGTACCTTCAAGAATAAACTGTTAAATTTTAGTTTCAGTATCTTGCATAGTTTCAGAGAAAATTGCATTCATACATAGATAAATCAAGATATTTTGTATCATATACAAAATCAGAAATCTAAGGGTTTACTTTGTACGGTTGAGGTTTTACAAAAAACTATGAAACTAAGGAACTAGAAAAAGTCAAAATTATCAATTAAAAAGTCAACCACACCAGAAAAACAAGTTTTTGGGACATTTAAAAACACTTTTGAGTTCTTTAATGCCGCTGAAAGTTTGAAATTACAAAGTTTTAAGGAAATTTTTTAAGCTGCAAATTGTAAACTAACATTTCAATTGTAAATAAAACATGAACCAAATATTTTTTTGACAATTGTTGGCCATATTTGAACTTGCCGTACCTTCAAGAATAAACTGTGAAATTTTTGTTTCAGTATCTTGCATAGTTTCAGAGAAAATTGCATTCATAGAAAGATAAATCGGGACTTTTTGTATCATATACAAAATGAGAAATCTAAGGGTGTACTTTGTACGGTTGAGATTTTACAAAAAACTATGAAACTAAGGAACTAAGAAAAGTCAAAATTATCAATTAAAAAGTCAACCACACCAGAAAAACAAGACTTTTAGTCATTTAAAAACACTTTTGAGTTCTTTAATGCCGCTGAAAGTTTGAAATTACTAACTAATTAAACTAACATTTCAATTGTAAATAAAACATGAACAAAATATTTTTTTGACAATTGCTGACCATATTTGAATTTGCCGTACCTTCAAGAATAAACTGTTAAATTTTTGTTTCAGCATCTTGCATAGCTTCACAGAAAATTGCATTCATACAAAGATAAATCAAGATTTTTTGTATCATATACAAAATCAGAAATCTTACTTTGTTTAAAACATTTTCCACGTTTTGGGAAAAGGAAAACTTTTTATCGTACTTTTCTTATCATTTTTCATTTGACATACTTTTTATTTTGTATTAAACGACACCCTCTGAAAAACCCCACTGTTCTTTAGAGGAATTACGGTAAGGTCTTGCCCGTCCCTGCTTTAGTGTAATGGGAATAGTAAGGTCTACGAGCTTGATGTTTTACAGTCCCTTATTATATTCAATTTCATTCCATTTTTTCTGCTTTTCGTTCAGTTCTGCTCCCGTAAGAATGCAATTGAAAGTTGCCAAGAAAACAAGAAATGTCATGACGCGAGCCCCAGAATGACGCGAAAGTTGTTCAAAGCTAGCATGATACACAGTTAAGAAGTGAACCACACAAACATAAAATGGACAATTTCTTACTACAATGTAAATATGAAAATATGAAAATAACAAAAATTTTCTAAAGTCTTCTAAAAGTATTTATTAAAGTTTAAAGGTCAATATTAAAGAGCATGCGCTTGAGATGAATCTGACGTCTGATGCAAGCAATACAACACAGCACGTAAGTAAAGAGCCTATCTTTCTATACATACCACTAACCACTAATCAAAGTATAATAGTTGAGCATTTACACCTGCCTACAAAAGGCTGGGGCTGAATTAGGTACATGAATTGTCTGTTTTTATATCACATGACGGTACCTGTTCAATCAATATTTTAGATATTTTTTCAGCACTAAAGTACCGATTATTTGATTCCTTACATGAGAATTTAGAACAAAAAGACCCGTATATTCTTGCTGAAATATAACGATTATATGTGTTAATACAAACCTCCCTCTTGTGATACAATGTTAGGATTTATTCAATACAGTGAATTCAATTTCAAGGAATTTAAAAAATCAGCGATACAGCTAAGATGAAAGACAAATACGACACTGCATGCTTATTTTACTTCCAAAGATCTTTCTTTTCCCGCTATCAGACGTCTTTCTTAATACTGCCTACCGTACATTACTAATAACAAAACTGTGAAAAACACATATAATATTTCATAAAGTCATCCAACATTATTATGTCCCTATAATAATTCGTGCTCCACCAAAGCTCATTAAGAGTGCTTGAGACTACATGAACAATTTTATGGTGCTCTTTAATGGCGATTCGTGTGTTAAACAGCAAAGACTTCCAGTTGTTTAACCAAAAATTTTTGTTGTCCTGCGAGAAATGTGTTTGTTTTGGGTACTGATTCTGGAAGTAAGATGCCATTGTTGTAGGTGTATGACGAATTAATACGATTTGCTTCACTTGCAATAGAAAGATGATTCTGGGCAGTTAACCAATCAAAAAACAAAGGCCCATAATTGGAATCATGGTAGCTTCCAGCATTTTCATTCAACGGCATCAACACCGGCTCTTGCCATTCCAGAGACTTGAGACTGAACAAAAAAGCATTTCGTTCTGCACCTAAAAGAAATGCCAGCAAAGGTTGTAGAGGAAATTGGGGATAGGAAAATGTAATCGTAAAAACCACCTATTCTTTAGACGAAAGTGAATGTGAGCAAACAGATTTTGAACATGCGATTTTAAAAGCAACAGAGATAAGTCTAAATTTTGTAAATAACTTAAGTAATTGCGGTGCTGCTGTAAGTAAGCCGTGGTTTCTAGTTGAAATGTTTTTGCTAGGCCAATTTGTCTTCTGTTAGTTAGTTCACAAGCTTCTTTCTATTCGATTTCATAAATGTCCCTTATAAGGTTGTATTTATTTTTGAGAGCCAAGTTAGTTTCGGGCGGCCTCTGGGTCTGGTATATTTTTCATCCGCGTATGCTAAGGCAAGCTTTGCAAGGGTTTGTTCTGGTAAGCGAAGTGCATGTCCTAACCATCCAAGTTAACGGTCTTCGATTATTCTGCTCCATGGAGTTTCATTGGTTTGTTGGTAGACATCGTCATTTTTTCATTATTTTTGGTATGTTTTAGATGAATGTTCGTAAAAGAGAAAAATTTCAATAAAAAAAAAATAAATAAAAAATTTACGCTTGATAAAGAGTGTAAACTCTCCTACGAAGGAGGCTAAAGCAAGAGCAGGCCTTCTCGTTTTGGAGCCTTTTTCATCGCACTTCATGAACAGCCATTATTTATTAGAAATTTTAGAAATTCGTAGAAGAGGGGGCTCAGGGGGCTCAGCCCCCTGTTACTTTTTGAAAGGGGGGCTGTACCCCCTCCTCTCTTTTCTGGCTAATTCTAAAATATCATGACTAATTTCTGCCAGGATCAAATCTTTGTTGGAACCGATATTACTTTTTGACATTTGTGTTCATGTGTGACCTCTTGATAACTGAAAACTGAAAATTCAATAAATGCTATAAACTCAAAATGTTGGTACTTTAAATTCTTTATTTTTACAATTTTGCTACTCAAGTAGCAGGCAAACATTCGAAGATGATTTAACTCTAGAAAATATGGAATGGTAAAGAAATTGATCTTGAGGAGCCATGTAAACGAAAAGAGTTGAAACGTTCATTTTATATACAATATAGAGAAAGCCATATCCTCCCTCTACATTTTTTGGCTCTAAACTACTGGATATAAACACGTGATAAGAATGTGCATTTATCAAAGGTCGAGGTCATTATACCTTATAAAGAAGTAGCGGAAATGTAAATAAGCACAACAAATCCACAAGCAGAGCTCCAGTAGGAAAGTTGTTGTCATAAGCCAGGGTTGCCAGATTGGCCTTTTTCAGGCCAAATTTTCCAATTTTGGTCTTTTTCATAGTTAATTGCCTGGAAAGTTTGTTTTTGGCCTACTAACTAAATTTGGTCTTTTATGGCCTTTACAGGAGAAATTCTAAATTAAAAAAGTAATCACTACATTTATGGAGTAAATAAATACTCATACAGGGCTTCATCAGTGTAAAACTTTGTTTCCTTGTTTCACTCTGATGAAGCCCTGTATGCCGGGGCGAAATATTAGTATTCATTTAATTTAATTTACTTTGAAAATTTATTTCGTAAGATTGGATTCTCGTTGCCGTTTTGCTTTGTTTCTGACTTTTACTCGTATTTACATTAACTCTTTGCAAGATTCGCGAAATCCGGCAAATAAGCTACAATGGAGATCTATTTTAAGGGATTACACACTTAAACGAAGGTTTCTAGCATGTTCTGGAATGTTCTACTGTTACCAGCTAAGTATATTGTTTATTACAAATCTTGACACTCTCCCCCCATTCGAGAATTGCAATGTTCTCAAATGTACTCCTGTTCAGAATAAACCCAATCTGCTACATCACCATTCCGCCAATGGCTCTTCATTCTCTGCATCTGTCTGATCTGCATCTGCTATTCTCATCCTGGCGGCTGTAGCTGCGTCTTGTTTTGGTCGGAACCCATTGGCCTCTGCGTTCAGCTGTTTCGTCCCTGTGTCTGGAATGGGTGCTGCACTGCACGCTCAAGTGTTACATTTCCAGCTCTGTGTTTTGCTCCCCTAACTATTCCATCGTTCCCCCTTGATGAGGTTTTTAACAATGCCGAGTTTCCAGTAACTTCTGTTCTTTTGATCCCCTTTGATCATCATAACATCACCAACCGTTAGCTTGTTGTACTACCATGATGCTCTAGGTTATGCCTTTCCCTGAGCCCACGTATGTATTCATTGCTCCAACGGATCTCTATCTTCCTTTTGCAGTCGTTCAGGGACCGTGCTTGTCTTCTCAGGTCTCTGTCTTCAATCTTATCGACGTTTTCGTCTGGCCCAATGTTCGGTTGACCAAAAAGCATCGTGTTTGGTGTCAGAATCGGCATTTGGACGTCATCTTCCAGTTTTTGCCAAGTCCGCGTCGATTTGCCAACAGCTCTATACAAGACTTGCTTGGCTAGCCCAACCACCCTTTCAGGCCTCTCCACCAAGGTACTTGGCTTAGGTTGAATTACCATCTGACATTGTTTTGAGCAAGAAGGTCCTGTACGTGTTCATTTCTCTGCACATTCTTTAACCATTTTGCTGCTGCCACAGAGGTTGAAAAGTTATCTGAGTATATCTTTTCCGGCCTGCCTCTTCTCGCAATGAATTTCTTCAGGGTTGGCCGGAATCTCTCAATGATTGATCCGGAATCAGTTCAAGGCAAATGGCACGAGTAAGACTGCAGCTAAACAGAAAAATGCAAGCCTTACCCATCCTTTTTCACTTTCTTGTAGTACAAGGGTCCAGCATAGTCCAGTCCTATCACTTGCAATGACCGATCACCTGTTGTACGTTCTGTTAGTAGGCTTGCTTGTGGAGGCTTCCAGAGTGGCATGGCATGAAACCGCTTAAACCCGAAGTAGCTACGAATCAGTCTTTTGTGAGTTGTCGCGATCTTGGTACCCAGTAGCGTTCTCTGATCTTTGTTATTGTTAATCCAACTCCCCCATGCAATGTATTCAGAGGTTCATTTATCACAAGCCTCTCGGTACATACTGCATCCGTTGTCAGGTAAAATGGATAGTCACCTTTTAATCGGCCAGCGCATACGTAAATTCCTTTGTCATTTTCCTTTAGATTTAGCTGATGCATTTGTTGCTCGAATACTGGGACCTTGGTTGCTTCTCCTTGAACTCTTTTTATCCAAATCTCATTTGCTGCATTGAATTCTTCCGTTGTCAGTGGACAATCCATTTTGTTATCAGCCAAGCAAATGTTCTTGAACCGCAGCCGATGCATGATGTCATAAAAGCTTCCAGGGATGCTAACTGCAGTAGCTAAAACTTCCTTGATTTTCCTTGCTTCAGTTTCACTTTCAGTCAACGGTACTGTTGAAACTGTTGAAATGTTCTTCGTTTGGAAGCCATGAGGGGCCCTTCCACCAGAGTTGGTTGCCTTGTAGTTGAATTGCAGAGCATCCACGACTTCCAACATCGGCGGGATTATGTTCTCCTGGTATGTGTCTCTAACTGATGAACTCCTTCGATCGCATCTTCTTTACTCTGTTGTTCACGAACTGCTTATACTTTCCTTCTCCTCTTATCCAATGCAATGCCACTTTGCTGTTGGTCCATGCTATTGCTCTTCCGATTGGTAGATTTTCAAAGGCATTTTTGAAATTTTCCAATAAATTCTCTTTTGTTGCAGCCTTTTTTGACAACCGCGACTTTCCTGCTATGGTACCTTGAATGATATCTGAAGGCTGATGCACAACAGCGTAGACACATGCAGATGTTCCGAGATTAAGTGGCATTGCCAATGGCAAATAGGTCAACAGACTCGATTTCTTCCTTGTAATGGCAAAGACTTCTTGCTGCTTTTATTTTTGTTGGTAGATTTCCACAGAACATTATCCATCTCCTCTCGAGGTTTTCCGGCAGCTGTTGCTCCCAGGATAATTTTATGTCACAAAGCTCTCTGAAGAAAACTTTTCCTTGCATTTTGACAGGAGATGCAATACCAATTGGGTCGTAAATTGATGCAAGCGTCTGCAGGACTCCTCTTTTCGTCATCTCGCCACGGTTTTTTGGGAAACATCACAGCAGTTGTGTCTTCTGTTTTATTCCAGTGAAGTCCCAGCAACTTTGTTTCGGTATTCTTTACTCCAAGTTGCTGCTTTGCATATGACTGCTCGAAATCTTGCTCCTCTCGCTGATCATTTTCAAACTGCTTTTCATTGGAATGCCACTTGTGCAATTCAAATCCTGCATCCTTGAAAACTTCAACTGCCGTATCCTTCAACTTCTTGACTTAGACAGAGCTGCACTCACCACTTATAATATCATCGACGTATAGACTTCTTCTTATCTCTTCAATCACTCGTTGATATTTGTCACCACACCTCCAAGAAGGAATGGAGACTGCGTTAAGCCAAATACTTCTTCTGTTTGGATGTCCCAAAGAAACCGTAGTGCATCACGCTCTTCAGGGCGTAATCCCTTTTGCAGGAAGGCCTTCTTGATGTCACCACGATGCGCCATAGAAGATTTTGCAGGGGAGGTCCCGTTTCAAGGCATTCAGTGAAGGGCTGGTGTCATCTCGTTTGGCTGAAGCGTCAAACACCACTCGCAGCTTAGTACTTTCTGCTTGGTTTCGCACAAACGCTTTGTGTGGATTGTAGAACACCTTTTCTGTAGGTTGAACGTTGTCAGACACCCTTTCCATTATTCCCTGGTCCAAGTACTCCTTCATAACAGCATCGTAGTCCTTGTAAAGATCTGCAGGGCCGCCGAGAGGCGGCCTGGGCCCTGGGGCAAAGTCCCGGTTGGGGCCCTAGAGTCGGATACAAAAATTTTTCGAGACCACGCCCTTTTTAAAATGGGAAACGCCCATTCTTTCCAAACGTTTGCGCACGTTATAGAATATGGTTAAAATATCATAAAATGTAATAAAAAGCATTAATTCTAAAGATAAGCGATTTAAATACGGTCTTTAACCACACCCTTTCAGCTGATTAGAGAGGACTTAAAAATTTGTTCCTTCAATTCTGACTGTTTTTTCTGGTGAGCCACGCAATATTAAAATTTAAAATGAAAGCAAACTTTTATTCTACGCACTTTTGTTTAAACTATGCTTTTCAGTTCTTTTGTCCTTCAAAAGTTAATTTTTCTTTTGTTTCTGTTGTTGCTCTTTCTTGCTCTTTCAAAAAAATTTCAAAATAATTTCGGGGCCCGAGGCCCTGGGGCAAATTGCCCTCCCCCTGCCCCCCTCTCTGCACCACTGGGTCTGGGTTGCAACGCGAACAATCTTGCGATGACCAGTTTTCCAAACTCTCGTTTGTAGGCAAAGGTGGATGACCAGTTTTCCAAAGTAGTCCTGTTTCATACCAACCCTCATCGCTTCTCAACAACTGTTGCTTAAAATCTTCCTAAACTGAATTTGTTCTGCTAGATGGCGAATCTTGGATCCCCAGGACGTCAAGGCTGCACAAACGATCGTAATCTTCATCTGTAGATCTTGTTAGAGACAAATTTGACAGGTCTAGCTCAGTTCCTGGCGAAATTATTGTCCAGCCAAACCGGGTATACTCAGCCACAGGCTCACCAAGATTTCCGAGCTTTGGTGGTATTGAAGTTTTTATTCGAGAGTACTCACTTGCTCCAAGCACTAAATGCACTGGCAGTTCACTCTTTGTATCAGTTTCCGTCATCTTTATGCCCTTTAAGTGACTGAACTTTCCGATTATGCCCTCATAATTCGGATTTGCCAATGACAGACGAACGTTCTTTTCCACCTTGCTGACGTCAGTGCATAATTCAAAATCTTTGTCACAGTTGCTGATTTTAAGTTGCATACTTGGATCCTCCTCATAGTCGTATGCATCATCATTTCGATTTTTCTTTGCTCGACTCTCGATGCTGGAACCCCAATGTGGTCAATGAGTGTGGCTGATGCGTATGAGCTCCCTTCTCCTGTGTCTAGCAGCGCTCTACATTTCACTCCATTGATTTTCACGAGCACCACTGGGTATGTAACATGGCGTGTTTCTGATGTCAGCATTGTTTGGTCTGTTGGCTCACGAGACTGGTTGCAAATTGACGAACGGTGCCTTGCTCCGCATTTGGAACACCCTTGTTGGCACTTGCATTCAGAGGCTCTGTGGTTCGCACCAAGACAATTTAAGCAAAGGCCTTTCTTAGATACAAGCTGCTTCCGTGCTTCTGGAGAAATCACCTGTTGGCGGTTGATAGGTTTGTGCCGTTCACTGTCACAATACGCACAGCCGTTTGATTTCCATGGTTTTTAATGAGTTTGGAGCGTTCTCTTAAATCTCATATGGGATGTATTGTGTCCTTTTTCTTCTTCTGGGATAGGATTTCTTTCGGTCCATCTCCAAATTGCCTCTACAAGCTGCGGAAATTCACAGGCTGGCCATTGATCGTCGTCTCTCACCAGGTCTGACCGAATTCCAGGAAGTCTATCGATAAGAAGCCTGACTTAGCCATTGATTGTCTTAAGTTTTCCCATCGTCTCCATTGCTTGTACATGAGTAAGGCGCTTCTGATAGAAGTCGTGTTTTTTGGCAGCGTTTGATCCATTGATTGTAGGTAGGTCCATGATCCTTGCACATGTGCGATGGCAATTTCACTCGTCTTACCAAATTTTGTCTGTTGCATGTTCTTGGCTCGCTCGTATCCTTCAGATGTGAATAGCAGACCATTTATAAAAAAGACGTACCTTTGAATCCAGCAGTTCCTTGAGGTAGGAGAATTTCGAGACATTCGATATCTTCATTGAATGTTTATCACGATCACGACCTTCACAGCTTCTACAACTTTTACAACTAACTACTCAACCTAAATCACAGCTACTTTTATACCTAAGTCTAGGCATATTCTAGCAAAACGTTGCCATAATTGCGTATCATTTTGATACAAGCTTCTCAAATTATTAATTGCGTCATAGCTAATTTTGAATACACTCAGAAATAACAGCAAAAGCGAGCATCGCATCATTCGAGAGAGGTAGCTCATTTTCAAGGAGACAAACAAGCTACAGTAATATTAATGCTTTTATACGAGCGCTAGCCAAAACATTGATTTATGAAAATGTACAGGAATAGGGGGATGCTGCGCAAGAAGACACGAAGGTATCAGAAAAAAACACTTCTAAAACTCCCTCGAACGGCAATCAATAGCCAAAATGCAACGATACAAATAGGCCGAGGATGATGAAGAAAATTCCCCTGCTCAATAAAATGCCTTGCCTGCGAGACCAAGTGAGTATTTTTGTCAGTATGGGTGCTAGCGATTGTTAGTTACGCATCGACTTTTACCTGTCATACTTGATGGTCAAACGAATCCATAGATCTGACAAACTTGCTGAGCCATAGCATGCTCCAGCCGGCATTTTTTGGACATTTTTAGTTGCAAAAACATTTGGATAGAGCAAAAAACGTTTCATCAATATGAGCAAAATGATAATCATAGTTATCATATAATCACCATAATCATGATCATCAATCTGGCAGTTCCATCATTCTACGAGCTGGCTATCAAATTCATAAAGAGATATTGTCAGGATATGAAAATATCTGGATATTTGAAGACTGATTAATGAAATTTTAAATAAGAAATATTACAAAATTACCCACCGGTTAGAGAGGGCTGCCAACCGCGAGGAGAGAAACCGCCAAAGATGCAACCAGCTGTAGATTCAATTAAAACCAAGGATGCTCCTTTTCCGTCACAGTGCTTATGAAACTCAGTTGATTTCCATCCATCTTCTTCCGCACAGTAGATCAAGACTGGTGCAAGGTTGATTTTGTTCGTTTCAAACCAGGTCTTCAGAATATTAATGTAACTTTCCTGCTCATTTAGTATCTTAGACAAAGCAAATCCATCAAACAACTTTTGAAGTGTTGTGATATGAAACCGAATGGCAGTGGCGAGAAGGCAGTCTCTCAGTTTATATTTAACGTCAGACGGGAGTTCACCATGATGAAGGAATTCTATCACCTCAGCGATGTGGTGCTTCGGAGGAGGAAGAACAAAAGCATCTTCAATCTTCTGTACCGCTCCCTGTTCACTGAAAAGAAATTCCGCAAACTCCGGATCTTTCCTTAAAGTTTCCATTGACGTGATGGTTACTTCACCGTTGTCGTTTATCTTTACTGGACTCAACTTTGCAACCATGTTGGCCAAACCTCTGAGATTGTAGTAATCGGCCTCTGTCTCCAACTCCTCTCCAAAGTCATTAAGGGTATCTCTAGGTACACCTCCTGTTCGCAGAAAATTCAGGATGTGTCGAAAATGTGTGCCATCGCGGTCAATAAAGTAGCTGCCATCATCCTGTTTTACAACGTCAAATCGGCCGGAAAACATTGTAGCAAGCATGCTGTCGGGATCTTTTTGTAGTGTAGTGATGCTAGTTACAAAAATATGCCCACCGACATTTAACTTAACAACATCAGAAAAATGGACATCTTCCAGCTTTTTAGCATTTTTTTCAAAGTTTTGTTTCTTCATCTCTGTTAATGTAATGCTTGTTTTCAAAAGATCATTACAAATACTAAGTTCATCTGCAGCAACCTCGAGAATTTCTTTTTGTTTGAGTGCATTATGCTCAATTTTTTCTCGCAGACCTGCATCATCTGCTTTCTTGCTCTCTTGCATTGGAACCGAGTCTTCGCTGTTGGCTTCTGTCGTTGGTGCTGAAAGTGCGATTTCCAAGCCAGATAAACCAAAGAACTTTGCCTCATCAATTAGTTCCTCAGCAAGCTGTTTCATGGCCGACGTTATTTTCTCAGTGCGCAGATAGTTGAGGATATGCCTAGCAAAAATAGGAGGAATCAGTTCAAAAAGATATGTTCTATTGAATATCAATGTAAAATAATATTGAACAACTGAAATCATTGAAATTTTGGAAAACTTGGTCGTCCCAAATCAATTATAAATACGATTTTAATAATATCTTTACGGCAATTTTTAAGGTAGATTTCCTCTTCACGGTATGGACGGGAAGCGGAAAACGGTAAACGGTAAACGGTTCGGAAAGTTCCTGCCCATCAATTTCCACCCGGCTTCCGTTCCATTTCCATTTCGTGCAATGAAACATGCCTGATAATGGAGAATGAAGACACGTTTATGCTAAACATTTTTATGATGCTTTTTCTTTTACAAGAAGTTTGAAAAGTTAAAATGATGACTTAATGAAATTTAATCAGAGTTGATTTCTCGAGGGGCTTTTGCATTGGCTTTTACTCCTGAGTTGATTATTGACTTTTATTCATATTTTTGGTCTCATGTGCCACGCTTTCTCGTGGTTCTCTTGCATTTGCGTTACTCGTTTATTGGTATTGCGAAGTGGTCTTGGCCTCCGGGGGATTTGTTTAGTAATGCTAGGGCAAGATTTATGGCTCATGGCGGTTTTCATTCCCTAGGTTATTCTTGGGGGTATTTAAGGTTTTTGGCGTAGTGTTGGTTACACTTTGCTTAGTGAAAAGCGAAATATAGAGTGTGCTGTTTATTCTTCGCGAGATGGCCGAGCGTCAAGTCCAAGTATCTGAGTCATCGAGTGATTCTTCGCAAAGTGTTAATGCTTTATCTTTGGATGTTTCGGCTAGAGTCGGTGTCTTAGAGAATGCTGTTTTAGAGATGCGGAAAGATGTGCGTAGCTTTTTTTATATGCAGAGCTTATTGCACTCAGATCAAGGTATTAGTTTGAATGTTCCTTTGTCTTCGGAACAGAATTTGCCACCTCGTGTTCCTAGCTTTGTTACTGTTTCCTCGGCAGGAAGCTCAATTCCAATCTTCTCGGCCGCCCAAAGTTCAGCAAATCAGTTGCCTGTGCATGATTTTTTGGGATTTACTTTTCAACTTTTTATGACCCAAGCAGGGAGTTCAAGCCTTTCAGTAGCTTTTGCTCTTCCGCCTATTCCTAATTATTTGATGCAAATGGTGTCTAAAGATTTGTTTGTTGAGCTAGTTTTACTCAGACCGTACAATTTGGTCCAGCTACCTCAAGTAGAACCAGTTGGTGCGCAGCTAATTAAACTAGTAAAATGCGAAAAGAATTCAAGTATGCAACCAATTCGTTCTTTTTTGGATTGGGCTGAGGCGTGGTGCGTTTATGCTAGCATCATGTTTCATGTAAATAGGGATAGGTTAGGTGATCTCCTTTCCTATTTTCTTATTATTGCCAAGTAGATATACAAGTCATTTTGGTATGGGCTGGTTGGATTACGATCGCCTCTTCCGTTTGAAAGCTGCAGGTAATCCTAATGTTTCTTGGGGGGGAGTATGATGTTTCCTTTTATTTGGGACACGTCTTCAAGAAAAGTGGATCCCAGGAAACCAAGCCTCCTAATTCTCATCCATGGACGGCAGGAACATTTGTTTAAAATGGAACAAATCAATTTGCGATTTTCACCCTTGTCGTTATCGTCGTATTTGCACTGATTGTAATGGCAATCACCCGTTTAAAACATGCAAGTACTCTGGGTTTGCTGAAAGTGATAGTGTAGATTCGGGCTCCAAGCGGCCAAGATCACTTTCACCTCCATTGGAAAGTAAAAAGCACAAGTGACTAGCGTTTGGCGATTTTGAAGTTTATTCTTATCAATTTCCCAATCCGTCCGAGATTACACCTTTAAAAGATTTATGCGTGGCATTCTCTTCTGACTCGTTTGCCTCATGTGGATGGGGAGTGGCTCCTGCAGGGTTTATCCGAGGGTTTCAGAATCGGTCTGGAAGGTAATGATCCTAAGTCAGCAGTGAATAATTGCCCTTCAGCCTTGGAAAAACCGGATTTTATTGACAATTAATTAAGCAAAGAATTGTCGTATGGATCGGTTGCTGGCCCTTTTTCAAAGCCCCCTTTCAAGGACTTTGTGCTTAATCGTTTTGGTGTCATTCCAAAATCGGAGCCCGGTAATGGCGGCTTATAACAGACCTATCTTTCCCCAGAAAAGGTAGCGTGAATGGTGGTATTTCGGATAAAAATGCGTCTGTTTCCTATGTTGGGATTTTTGATGCCATTTCCAAAGTTTTGAACTTGGGTCAGGGGCTGTTATGGCGAAATTTGATATCAAAAGAGCGTATAGATTATTGCCTATTCATCATGAAGATCGGAGGTTTTTAGGCATGAAATGGAACAATAACTTTTTTGTGGGTTTAGCTTTACCTTTTGGGCTTAGATCCGCCCCACAAAAATTTTCCCGTTTTGCAGATGTTTTACAGAATATTTTGAGCAATAAGGCTTCTGTTCAATAAACAACTTTATGATGCATTTTCTTTTGCAAGAAGTTTGAAAAGTTAAAAGAGAAAGAAATAGGTATATCAAGAGAGAAAGAAGAGCATATGGGTGAAACACGTTTCAAGTAAAAAGCAAAAAGGAAAGTTCCACCCAAGGAACTATGAAAATACAAGTGTTGCTATGAAAAATACAAGAGGAGCCTTCTCGAAAAATCCCTCGAAGATGATAGCAGAAGGTGGAAAAGGGTTAATTTTTGGCATTTACAAAGGGGCTCAGGGAGGCTCTACAACACGGCGTGGTTCCACTGATGATAGATAATACTATTTTAAGTATTTCAGAATGACTGTGAATCAGTTCGAAGCATGGCTTTGGCTAGTTTCTGAAGTTATGACGCAATGCCTCGAACATAATTGGTTGAGAGGTCAAACGGTACGAATTCCGTGGAAAAAAGTTGCCTTGATTTCAACTTTCAAAAACGGAAAGCGGTACGGTAAGCGTACCGTTTTTGAATGTCAAAATATCTTCTACGCGTGCTTGTACCGTATACCGTTTTCCGTCCATACCGTGAATTGGCATACCTTCAAAAACCAGACCCTAAGACCCTAAGACCCAGAACTCTTAAGTATTAACATTAAAAAGAAGGACCCTTAACACCAGAAGGGTCTTCACCCCGTTAGGAAAATAGTTGATAACAGTTGACTGTCATCATCGCACCATGAGGACATCTTAACTGTCAAATGCGCTTTTGTGCCTACTACGGCGTTCTTCCGTATACGGCAGCTGGTTGCAGCTGCTGTCTTCTATCTGTCATGGAGTCAGACAGCAACAAGGAAGTTTAGGGCATGCGCAAGGCAATTTCTTTAGCTGCTGCTTGTAGCTTTTGCAAGTTTTTATAATGCCCTCCCTAGTATGAAAAGTATGGCATTTTTTCTATAAAAACCTATAGAAATTTTTAGTGTGCAATTTAAACTTTGTTATATCAATAAACAAACTGTATGTACCCGCATTTAAGAAACTTGAATTTTTTTAAGCAGACAATTTTATTCTTATACACAATAAAGTATTTTTAATCGACTAATGTAAAACGCTGCCTTTTATGAATTGTTTTTGGCTGAACTTCCAGGAAATCAGTTATGAAATATATACTAGATATCATCGAAAATGCAATCAAATTTAGAAAAAATAGACGAAATTATTCTGGAACTGATATCTAATAACAGAGATCACCTAAAAAAACTCACCGCATCAACAAATTATTTGATAATTATTTTTTTCATAGTACAATAGCAGGGGTTTTTCAGATAATTTTTTTAACATGAAAATATTGTGTAGAATTTGCAGGAAAACTTCAACAACAGTTCTACGAAAACCATTCCAAAAAGGAACAAAAAGAGATAATAGAAGAAGCCAAAAGGCTGCCCTTAACGTCTTTGTCGCTGTCTGTGGATGTCCTACCCTGGGTGCCAGATCCACCAGAATCTCATAAATTCAATTGGTAGCAGAAGATAGGAATGGAGATGAGGAGGTAATCAGGGCCGTGGCGAGGCAAGCCTTGTTGGGGGGGGGGTGTGGACTACAAATTTACCTGATTAAAAAAAATTACCTGAAATTCTTAAGTTGCTGTCACAAACCTCTGCAATACATTTTGTCAATCTAACTGTGTGGCATATAATTCACAACATTCATTTCAGAATGATAATAAAAGACTTTCCTAATAGTTTTGCCAAATCTGTATACTGGGACGGGCAACTACCCGAGGCGGCACCATGGTTGCCGCCGAAGGACCAGAAAATTTTGTAATTTTGATGCGTCCAGTTCCATGGAAAATGCACTCTTTTAAGTAAATTTTACTAAAGCAATCCTCCTAATCCTACCGAAAATTCTTTTATTTTCGCAAACAAATTGAACAGCAGATAAAAACAACTGGTACAATCTCGCCGTGGTTTTGAGAAATACCATGTTGTTAGTTACTTCTAAAGCCAGGTAACAAGCAGCACTGGTTGCCAATTTAGATACCTCTTTCCATCTTAGCATGCCTTTTTAGGGGAAATGGACACAAGATACAATTTTACCTAAAGAGTTCCTGGATTTTTAGATTTTGTGTCAACAAGAAATCTTCAAATCTTCAAGTCGTTAGTTTTTTATCTTCCTTCGTATCGAGAAATATCATATTTAGCCAAAGGAGCAACTATCTTTGCTTGATCCTTTATTGATGTAAATACATGAAGGTCGCTGAAATACCTTAAGCATTTCTTCCACTGGGCAGATTTTACCTGAAATTTCCTATCGAGATACTATTAGGGGGGGGGGGGGTGTGAAACCCTCGGTCGCGACGCCCCTGGAGGTCATGTCATACTTTTCAGACTACGTAGGGTAGTATAAAACTAGAAATAGCTCTTGCTAGTACTGCCCGCAAACAATTAGTTCCTTGATAATGATTGTTTTGAAAATGTAGGTCAGGATATTCGAAGAAGACACCATCTTGGGTTTTCACAATTCTATAAAAACAGCTGCTCTAGTTGATGCTAAACTATTCTTTTTATCAAGAATTTTTGGTGTTCAGTTTGCCTTTGATTTAAGTCCAACGCCCTTTTGAAAATCATGAAGTTTTTCGAGGGTTTGACATTTATTTTTCGATAATCACGACAATCATAACTTTTGCTCGTACGGTCTCGAGTTTTTGGGAGAAAAGTGTGGCATTCGACTGGTTTTGATTCCCAAAACTTCGAATCAAAACTTCCATCCATTGCGGAGAACCGAGCTGTGATGCAGCACCGTTTTCGTGCCAAAAAACCGAAGGCCTTTAACAGAGTCTTGGCAGAGCAACGCTCCGAAGATAATTCCCTTTCGCACAAAGAGGTGGCGGTTAACGACCTTCTCGACAAAGCCGATTGATTGACAATGAAATTGATTGACAGTTGTCATGGCAGCAGAAAAGTGACAAAATCTGCTGACAAAGTGCTGACAACATGAACTGAAGCTTCCATATGCTACTTATACGCGGGGCAGACTATGAGCCCTTCACTCGCGCGCTATCGCGCGCGAGTTGCGGGAAAAAACATGCAAAAGCTACAAGCAGCAGTTAAAGAAATTGCCTTGCGCTTGTAAATTCCCTTGTAACTGTCTGACTCTATGACAGACTCATTTCAAGACTGGATAATAGACTTCATGACAGACTGGATAATATACGAAAGAACACTGTAGAAGGCACAAAAGCGCATTTGACAGTTGAATGTCCTCATGGTGCGATGATGACAGTCAACCTTGATCAACTATTTTTTTATCGGGGTGAAAACCCTTCTGGTTTTAAGTGTCCTGGGTCTTAGGGTCTGGTTTACCAAAAAAATACCAGAAAATATGTAGCAATTCTGGGATGGTGGATGTCAAAAATCACTTTTGCTTGTGTTTTTGTATAGAATGGCCATACTATCTACCAGCTACCATTGTGAACAGAAATGGCTTTAAGCTTGACCGTACACTGAGGCTCCCTATACTAAGGGAGGGAGGAAACTTTGTCACAGGCACGGGCGTCACAACAACCCTTGCATCCCTGAACTTCGAGGGGTGCAGATGCAGACGCAGGAGTGTTGTACATAATTTTTTTTATAGGTTTTTCTGCCTGCGCAGGATTATTGCAGGATGGGGCCACTGATCTCAAAAAAAGACTGGATCGAGCTTCTCCAGCCCAGCGTTGATTCCACATTGCAGCGTCCATTTGAGACCTCGCCGTGTTGTATGAGACTAGAGAGCAATCATGGATTTCCACGAGGCGGAATTTTTCGCTCGAACTTCAAAATTCCGTTCGAAATTTTTCGACCGAAATACTGAAACCATTTCCACGACGTTTTCGTTTCAAGCGCAAAAGGCGAACCAAGTTACTTCATGATGGCGGCTCACAACATTCGTTTTCTGCTGAAAAATTTAAAGTTTCTGCTGAAACTTAAATTTAAAATTTAATATAGTAAAATAAAATAAAATTCAAAATTCTGCTGAAAAAGTTAATAATAATTCAAATATTACGGCGGCGACTTGAGAGAAGACGACGTGGTCGTTTTGGACGAGAAAGATATACCAGGAGCGTAAAGAGAAAGGAGAGTTTCATTTGTTGGTGAAAGATCTCAGACTGTTTGATCACTCGGTCCCCTCAAAAATTCATTTAGCCCCTCCGTCGGCACTTCAATTTTTGAAAAATTTTAAGCAACGTCGGCTCATGACTTCTACTTTGTTATTTTTTATTTTATTTTTTTACATTGTTTGATTCGTTTTGAGTTTCTTTTTCAATTTTTGAACTGGAATTACCACAGCGGAAATAGTGTTATATTAGATCTTCGTTGTTGGTTCACTCACTGTCGGCACTCTGACATTACAGCCCCCCCACCCAGCATTTCTTTTCTGGCGCCATCCCTGGTTCTGTGGAATGAACTGAAAAACAGAGACTTTCTACGTGTCCCAAATACAGTTGAAGAATGGAAAAAGGTTGCAAAGGTCTTTGAAGAGAAGTGGAATTTTCCTCACGCCCTTGGTGCCATTGATGGCAAGCACATTGTGATGCAGTATCCTGCTAAAGGGGGGTCGGATTTCTTTAATTAAAAAAAAACGCATAGCAGTTTTTTATTAGGAGTCTGTAATGGAAAGTATGAATTCATCATGGTTGACATCGATGATTCTGGGAGGCAAAGCGATAGAAGCGTTTACAATAACAGCAGTACTGGCTACTGTACTTTCTCTCCCCCGAGCAGGTAAAAAATTCTAAGTACTCCCCTACGTGTTTCTAGGTAACGATGCCTTTGGCCTAAAACCAAATCTTTTAAAGCCATACCCCGGGCAAAACTTGCAAATCCAAGAACGAATCTTAAACTTTGGACTTTCAAGGGCTCGGAGGATAATTGAGAACACTTTTGGAATTGCAGCCCCGAGGTTCAGAATTTTTCGCAGGCCAATTATAGCCAAAGTTGACACCGTTAAAGCGATAACCAAGGCAGTTGTTGCACTGCACAACTTTTTAATGGCTAGCAGAGTACAAGAAGAACCTTACAATTACTGCCCCTTTGACTATGTCGATCAAGAGGTAAAAGGTAAATTCAAGCAAGGGGAATGGAGAGAGGACTCGGACAATTTGGGAATGTTACCTATGGGAAGGTGTGGCTCTAACAATTTCTCAAGCAGCGCAAAGGAAATGCGAGGCCGATTTAAAAACTATTTTAATTCTGACACAGGCAGTGTTGGTTGGCAAATTGATTTAGTTAATCGTGTTTCGAATCCAGGTGGAGAATAATGCTAATAAATAAGCTATTTTGATCAACTTTCAATAAAGTTATATCTATACTTTCTAGCGTTTATTTTAAATATTTTCGAATGTCTTTTTCATTTATAATCTCTTTAATCCAATCTAGCAATCAATAACATTTACCATGACGCAATGCTATTTCAATTGCATCTTGATTGCTATTTATCATCACTGTTTACTTAATCCCTTTAAATAGTGAACCCTCTTCCTATTACTCATTATCAGTCTCTTTTTCGTGATCATTTACGTTTTTGCCTCTCCTTGGTCCTTCTCGGAATATACTATTAGAGCCTGACTCATATTTTCTGCAATATTTTCTCATACCAACCCTTCCTGTTTTCCTAATCCCAAATAGACAATCTTAAGCAATCATTTCCGTAATTTATGCATACAAATATGTAAAATCTGTATTTGAATTACCTTCGAATTCTCTGAAGCTGATGCATAAAATCTTTGTGTTAGTACTAGAGTGATTCACTGCTACAACAGCTAATATTAAAACGTATTCTTTCAAATGAAAGCTTGAGTTAACTTGCATTAACATAATAACTGATAACAAGCTTTCCACCCTTCAAAGTTATTTTGAAATGTTCGTGCCAAACATAAGTTATGAGAAACTAAATTAAGACACGATAATTGAGATTAGCTGCATTTTTTATTATGAGATTAACTGCATTTGTTTCGAAATTATAGATGTTTGAACTTTCTATGACGTCATCAAAATGGCCGCCACTGGATTTTGTAAAGAGCATTTTTTCATCGTGTGCGCTCTACTAAAACAATTCTTAGCAACCAAATTGTTTTGTAAACATACAAGTTAGGTTTCAGTTATGCCGAGATAAGCTGCCCTCTAAGTTACCATCCTCTAACATCATAGTTTACGAACTTAAGGCAACCATTCATCCATTGAGTCCGCACTGGACGAAAAGTCTGAAACTTCCCATTCACTTTCATGTTCATCGATTATTGAAGTGTCTGAGCCGTCAATGATTTTTTCTCTTGTCATTTCGCTATCCCCATCATAATCCATATGTGTACTGGGCAATGCATCTCTTTGGTGCTCTTTTTTGAAGTGTGTTTTTGGCCCTTAATTTCATCATCACTCATCATAGTTGAGATTCTTGGCTGTTTTCTTTCTGCTTGTTGAAAGTGAAGGAGGCAACTGCTTGCCTTTGAACCAGATCGGAACTACAACCTGCTTTTCCTTGTCCCATTTCCAGCCGTGATTTTCAAAGCTAACTGTCTCAATGTTAACTTCACAACAGCGGACCCAGTGGAACACTTGGTAATTTGCTCGTCTGATGGCTTGCTTAACTGAATCTGGATCAGGAGGAATTGACGATGAAGACTTTGATTTCATTTCTTTATAGAGTTGGATTCTCGTTTCTACATATGACTCGCCTACCTTGCCACTGTAAACAACTGTCCTGATGAATTCCTTTACGTTGTCGATTTTTTCAGACTCGAGACTTTGATCCTGACCAAAAGATTCTAGAATCTGGCAATTCGACGGAGAACTTAACAACTTTTTGATGATTTTAACTTTTCCAGTCTTGTAGAAATAGGAAGTGGTGTCACATCCTGATATTGCATGTATTGCTGGAAGTGCTTGACAAAGATCATTTCCTAAAAATTGGCAAATTACTCCTATGTCAGCATATTTATCATGGTCCTCCTTGAAAAGCCACGTTTTACAAACAGAAAGCTTTGAATATGCCCATATGAGAAGGATCAGGACGTCGGTATTCTTGGAGACAATAACTACGTCTGCTGCTTCCAATGACGCATGCAAAACCAAGCGGGTATCCGCTACTTTATGATTACAACGGTAAAATAGCTCACATCCATTTCTCTCCACTCTGTACGTGTTGTTACCTTCTGTGACGATGAATGGCTGCTTTATCGTACCTCTAGCTTCTTCACTCATCATATGTTGTGCAATAAGCTTTATCAACTCTTCCTTATTTCCCTGATTCTGCAAAATTTCGTTCCACTTGATTCCTTTTGGCATATGCTGATCAAAGCCTTCCAATTTGGTTCGCGTACCAGTTTCCCCACGATCTCTCCTTGTTCCTTGTTTCGCACTCTGTTCTCTGTTTGTCGTAAATCATCCCAATCAAGCACGGCAACGATTCTTCTTGTGGCTCCATAACCTGCAGAAGGGCAATCATCCACTCTCTGTATGTCTTCCTTGACTTGAGTGATCTCACTGCTGCCATCCCATCAATAAACCATGCAGCATTTTTAGGCATGTTAGTTGTAGGAATCTTCGACTGTGCAATGAGGAAATTTCTCAATGAGGATTTGTCTGATTGTCGTAAGCTGCCTTCAGAGTAGCGATGGACAAAGGAAACATAGTGATTGGAAAACAAAATGCTTCTTCCAGACTAAAAGCTTTAGAGACTAAGAGTCCAAAAGCTTGACAATCTTCTTTTAGGACGGATGCTGCCTTGATGGTTTTCTTCTTTGCCAATATGCCTGTGTTTCACTTTATTCTCTTTATCGGGGCAAAGAAACTCTTGGATCCTTCAATAAGCCTTTCTGAAACAAAAGTTGAAAAAGCTTCATTGCCTATTTCTGATGCACTCAGCATATTCTTGACTACAGCAGGATCTATCTCTGTTCCAGTTGATAAGCATTTTGGATGATCCGATGAAAATTGATTTACACCATATCCTCTCAGGGTCTTCTTCAAATTTGACACGTGCTCAGCATGCAGTTTCTTGCTACTGTTCGTAGACTCCTTATGTTTTGACGAAGTCTTGATATTCAGCTGCTTTCTCAATGCAATCTTTAGCATGCTGTGGATGTGTATTGTCTACATCCAGGTGTTTGCTGCCTCGATATTCGTGCTAAAACCGGAACGAAATGGGCCAGCAGTTACCTTTGTTTCCTTGTTGAAAAGTTCTGTTATAAGGTCCCCATGTATCGTGGAGAAAGAATCACCAGTGATGCTGCCACCATGTCCTCGAGACTTTAAATCTTGGTATGCTGGATGAAATTTCCTTTTCAGATCTTGAAGGTGTACATGCTGGTAGCGCAATATCGAGCATAGTTTTGACGATCGAAAGCAAATGCAAAACAGATCATTTCACGCTCAGCTTCAAGATGTCGGTCGATATCACATTCTCGAACAGCAGACACTAATGAAAGCATTGCTGACACATCTCTCAAATAGGCAACGGTCATCTCACTGCAGAATTTGTTGTTGCAACTGATTGAACTGTGGCAGCACCATCACATCGTTGATTGAAGAGGCAGAAGGATTCTTCCGGAGCATCTTGAGGGCTGATAGTAGCTCCACATCAGTATTAGAATACGTGCCTACAGAAGAATGAAAATACTTTGAATTAACTTATCAACAGACTACAATAGCTTTCTTTGATGTGGAATCTTGTGAGCCCCCTTTAATGGGTGCTTTATGAACTATGTTATACATGTCATCACTTGATTTTGCTGGATTCATTTCCTGTCCTGAAAAAATTAAGATATAAAACAGAGAAGCTCATTGCATAGGCCTACCTGTCAAATCTTCGATCCTGAATTGTCCAAGAGCATCAAAGCATTCTTTGAGCAGTTGCATACTGTGAAAGTAATGTCTTCCTTCCAATGCTTGATCAACTGATCCCGAGGCTATGACTCCAGCATCTGTGAACCAGTCTTTGAGCCCTCTGCAAGCGTAACTTTTGTAAAGGAGTCTTTGCATTACACGAAGCTGATTTATGTTCAATAGAATTAGTTGCTGTAGAATACTTCCATCAAAAAACGCATTTTTAACCTCTGATTGTCATTTAACAGAGCGCACACGATGAAAAATTGCTCTTTACAAAATCCAGTGGCGGCCATTTTGATCACGTCATAGAAAGTTTAAACATCTATACTTTCGAAACAATAAGTCAAACAATATATAAGTGTTTTATAATTTTTGACTCAGTTTTGCAGGTTCTTTCGAATAGTATACTCAGATTTAAAAAATGTTGTCATTATTATTTTACTGACCGGGAGTGATTACGTCATCGAACACGTGACAACAACAAATTTTTCGAGAATGCCCAATAGAAGCGGCTTGGCCCACCAGGACACCAGGAAATTTCCCGGTGCGCCCTCTGCTCCAAGTTATTTTTTTTGAAAACTTGAAAACTTTCAAAAAGCAAATAATCTTTGCACAGAACTAAAATTGATTACAATCATCAATTGACCTCCTATCCAAAGTACGTTTGCATAAAAAGTTTACCTTGACCTTTAAATTGAGCAATATTAAGGTAGATTGCAAAGTTTTCCAATCTTTGCTATTGTTAATTAATATTAAAAAGACAAAATGTTGGTCAGCAAATTCTGCAAAATTTTCTGAAAACCTTGTAGAAAACATATTTTGTTATGAAAATGACTTTGAAAAAATAAACATTTTGAACATACAGCTTTGTTGTCTCAAACTCCTCAGAGTATAAAATGTCAAAAAATGGTCTAAAATAACAAGATGGAAAATTTGGTCCACAAATGGGTATTCATTCTCCATCTTGTTCTTTCAGACCCTAATTCTGACATTCTACACTCTGAAGAGGTTAAGAAGTTTTTAGTATAGTTAAATTGTTTGCTTTTTTCAAAGCAATTTTCAAATTTGGTAGCGCCAAAAAATTGTTCATATTTTGTTTTATTGACAGCAGTAAATGTGGTAGCAGTCAAAGCCTACTTTCACTACAAACCTGATTAACTTGTATTTTTTAAAGCAAGTACGCCATACATTTATTCGGTATCTGTTGAGGGGGTAGTAAGGGATTTTACTAGCTAACAAGCAGACTGTTTGCCAACTGACTAATGACTAATAATTGTGTGAAACCAATGACTTATGACTAACCGTATTATTTTTTTGACTGATGACTAATGCAAATTATTCCTAGTGCCTGATATCCAATAACCGAGGCCTCACACTTTGGAAAAATTAACTGAGCACTACCCCATGCTCCTTCCAATCACAATGGTTGTAACTGGGTAAAATTATCGATGTGTTGGGTATTGGAAGAACATTGGGAAAGTTCATATATTACGTAATCAAAGATGGGGAGAAGAGGGGGACTTACACAAATGTTATGGCTATTACATTTATTATGGCACTTTGTTGAAGTTTGTTAAAATAGTTGTTTAGGGAGAAGGGCAATTTTCAAATATTGCCGATTTTGATTGCGTAGTATGTGCACATTCCTTGTGTTGTCTCCCTTGAATAATAGTTCTTTTTCTTTGGGCCATCAACTATCCCTTGATAGTGAAAACTGCTCTAGGTATGATAGAGAATAATACTTTCTGAACAAGACTTTGGTGGCAAGCTATTTTATTTCTATTCTATTTTACTTAACTAACAACTCAAAGTCATCTTGCTTTTTGTACGTTTAAAACAGGAGTTTCATACCAAAAATAAATCATGACTGGCTAAAAAATCTTGTACAATTTTTGAAAAACTATATACATAATTTGTTGAGGATTGATGGTCTCATGTAAGAAACTTCTGAAAAATTTAATTGAAAATTAAACGGGCTGTTTGGAAAAAAACTGGTTTCAAATTTAAAACTAGCTATTAAAGTATTCCATTCTTTCTTCAAATTTAAAGAATTTCTGTCCCGGAATAGAGACTGTACTTTTTCTTAAGAAAATTCTTTACCCTTTCTACCATGTCCACGCACAGTTTCTCATACAGAAGGAGCCTATCAATGTACAAAATCATCAATTTGCCCAAAACGGGTGGCAGCAGAATCTCTTAGAACTCATTTTTCCAAGATATTTTATAAGATATCTTTTGGACAGGTCTACAGTTTTAAGCACATGTTCAATACCTTATCATAATTCGGCACGCTGATGTCTATCTTTTGCAAACAATCTGTAACTGCAGCGTAGAGGCAGGAGCAACACAGTCATTAAGCTAGCAGGTGCTGAGGCACCCCTTTACATTTTTCAAAGATTGGCTGCAAAACTTTATATATAACTGTTTGATGAGCTAAGGCAAAGTTTTTCCGGGCCTGTTTTACAAGCCCAGAAGTTAGTAAACTTTAGCACCTATTGCCGCCCTTTTGCTTGCTTTTCCCGGTAGCCAGTCCGCCACTGGTGCCCAAGGCTTAAATTGACGACCAGCCATCATAGAAGTCATATCCACTTCAAAAATTTCGGTTACCCAGTTTGCTAGATTGCTACAGTAAATTCCCTGTCTACACTGGCTGGTCTCAGCTAAGGGCACATACCTGAAAAGGGATCCATCACGGTCAATGAAAAACGAGCCGTCTGAACTCTTCTCCAAAACGATTCTTCCTGAGAACATTTTCTCAAAATAACTGTCCTTCCATTTTTTAAAAGTTGGTAATCCAGTGGAATACTTCTCTCCGCCGATGTTTAAAGTGACGATATTCGAGAACTGCGTTTCCTTAAGTTTTTTCGTCATTGTTTCAAAGATTTTCTTTTCTTCAATGAAAGCGTTGTAATCACCAATAAGGATTTCGTAGGCTCTCTTTGATGTTGAAGAAAACTTTTCAAACGCTGACGAAGCTTTATGAATAGCTTCGTCAAGTTCGGCCCCGTAATTATCAACACCGTCTTTTGGCCTGCTTTTTGTTGTGGCTTCTTCAGAGGTTTCTTTCGACGGCTGTGATCCAGTCTGTTCCTGAGGAACATGAAATTCAGAATTTGCAGTTTTCTTTTCTTCTATCCCCATTGCTTTGCCTTCGCTATTCGATCTTAAATTCAGCTTCGAAGAGAAGGTGATCGTTCAGTTAGTTCCACCCAAAGAGATCGTTCCAGCGGGATTCACGCGTTTCCAAGAAGCGCTTCTGGAAATGACTTCCAGTGAGTCGGAACGAGGCATCGCGCTGTTGTTGTCACTCGTATTTTCTTCGCTGACAGGCTGACGAACAAGAACTCGAAACGAGCACTACAAACAGCATATGATAGATATTCCTGTCTCTGTTCTGTGTCCACAGCAAACATTTAATTGACAAACAATGTGATGAATTTTCCAGTGAAATATGTTTTCAGATAACGAATTTGAAGTGGTATTGAAGGAATTTGAGGATCCAGATTTGTCACAATATGAGTTCTTTCTTGAAACCATGGATGTCACAATTTACCGGAAATTCATTCAGGTAATTCTTCTGTTTGGAATGGGATAGGTAGGAGCATAATGGTAATTTTAAGATATATAACTAATCCTCTAAACATCTCTTGCTTTCTGAGTAAATACAGTATTTGTAATCCAGATGATCAAATTCTATGAAGTACAACGAGAACACTTGTCGTTTTTAAGTTCAATAAAGACCAAGTTCCTTTCAAGTTTCAATGACAAGTGAAAATATTAACGTTTCTTTCAATTTTTCTTTCCTTTGACATATGCTCTGAATATGAACTTTATAAACTTAATGTTGCAAAGTGTTTTTATGTCAAAGTAGGTCACCCAAAAATTTAACTTTGCAAAAAGCATCTATCGGCTGTTATTTGTGTCCATCTATCTTTTAATATCTATCCATTCATCTTTTTGTCTATCTTTGCCTCTAGCAAAAATTATCTAACTGCTGTTAAACCTATCTATCTGCTATTGTTTGTGTGCCAGACTGCAACGTTAGGGTATGCGCGGGGAACGCATTCCCTGCGCAATAATTTTGTGCTCAAATCCCATCGACGCATTTTTGCAAATTTAGATTAATCCGAGAAGTTGGAACATGGACTTTCGCGCATAGCCTAATCTTGAGCCCTAAAAGTGCTATTTAAAAATGAAATCCCGCAGCTTTTAACCTGTCATTTTGCAACATGATTTGTTCCAGCGCAAGCGTAAGCAACAGAAAATAATTCCCCGCGCACAAAAAATACTTTGCACTCTGGTTTGTGTGTCTTTCTTTCTTGCAATGTTTATAAATCAGCGAAATCTATCTTTGTGTCTATCATTGTTTCCAGCAATAAGGGTCATTTCATGTCAAATCACCAAGGCCATGTCACCCAAAATCTCAGATTTTGCTTATTTTCACATATTCTGAATATGTAGTGACTCTACTTTGGCCATTTTACACGCACTTCCTACTCCTTCATCGATCATGCCATCACCATGACATCCACCTACATCATTCATAGCATCACCTAGCATATGACATTCCCTTGAGCATTGTACTCACATTCACACATCTATGTCATGCTGACTTCTTCCCAAGTCTAGATATTTCCTTCTCCATTGCATCATCATTACATCATCACAACACATCATTACTCAGCACATTTATTTTGTATATAAGTATGTTAATTTGTATTCAGTTCAGTTCAGTTAACATCAGAGTTACACAGGCAACACACTGTCTCTCTCACTGGCTCCGTGTTCTCTGCACGTTAAATAAGAATCGAAGCCAACACCAACGATGGAAAGTCACAGGATAAGATAGGAACCATTGCAATTCATTCCACATAATAACGTTCCTATAAATATGATAGGAATAGAACATTCTGAAAATTTCGGATCATCATCTTTAGTACTTTTTGAGATATTCATAAGTGAATTTTCAAGAATTTTGAGGTAAAATTCTATGAATCCGCCATTTTGAATTTTCATACAAATGAAGAATACAAAACTTGTTAAAAATTTGGTGCATTTTGATGTACATGATAGAACATCACGCAAACCCTTCTGGAAATTTGGCCTTCGGAATTTTTTTTTATCTTTCTAAATATACCTAATTGAATGAAATATTTCTACTTTATTCGGACGCCACTACCTTGGCTTGCTTTTACCACATTAATTGTCAGCTGAAGTAGTTTTTAGCACTTTAGAGTCAATATTTTTGGTTCATCATTCACAGAGCTCTGGGCTATATGAATATAAAGTTCTTGGAAACATTGGTTGCCATGGAAGTGTTTGTCAAGAAGTATACATGGATCTAGATTACAGAAAGTCTTGGGATTCATATGTGGCTGGTTTGTACTTCTAAGCTTCATGTTACACTTTATTACATCACAGAGCCAAAGTAAAAATTGTGCTTTCAAACAGTTTTCACAATATATTTTCCAACTGCTACTGAGAGGAATTGATGATTTATTAAAATAATGAATTTTTTTTTAAAATAATTCCACACAGGGACAGGCTGACCAGTAGCGTGACTGCTGGTCACTCTGTCCATGTGTGTGGAGACCTGACGAAATCATAAACTGCCTTGAATTATTTTGAATTATGAACGATTTAAATGGAAGTATCCTAAAAAAATATTCATGTATGTGCTGAAACAATTGAATAGTAAAAATTGGCTGTGATAAGACCTAAATGAGCACATGCCCTTTCCTTATTTATAAAATTCATTGTAGTTTGTTCTTGGATCTAAATTTTAGAGCCATACCAAAAAACTTGCATGCTGAGTTTAACAGATTAAAACAATTTATTTTTTCAGAACTGAAAGAAGTTCAAACTGACGACACCTTTGTTATTTATTGGGATGTGAAATATCCATTTCCATTGTCAAATCGAGATGTATCTTTTCATGATGAAACTGTAGAAAGGTATAAACTGAGATTTGTAAATCAAAGATTTGTGACCCTTTAACATCACTTAACATTATATTGAAACAAAATTAACTCTGATTTCTTCTCATCCAGTAATTCATTCATAACTTCAAACATGTCTTGCTTTTTACTATATATTATTTTAGGAAGACTAGGTAAAGGTCATATGCAATTGGGTCCTGTGTCATGGGCTGGCTCAAGTTGTTTTCTTACAGTATCATTGGTGCAGCCCTGGGTAATTATTTGTAAACATTTCATTTTGATGTACGAAGAATGAGTACATATAGGAGTGGGAGGACCCTGTAAGTACGGAAGTAAGTAAGTAAGTAACTAACGAAGTGACACGGTTTCCGTAACAGAATGCTAAGCGAATAATTCCCATTTTCCTCTAATTAGTGTCCCGCTTTCTATTGTTGCGGCTACAAAATGATGTTGACTCAACATCATCAGCAAGTAAATTTTGCAAATTTTTATTTTGGCCTTGCCAAAAGAGAAGTTGGCACAGTTTCAAAGGAAGCTGCAGCACACAATCCAGCAATTGTGCACCCGTACAATGGAAGAAATGCCTATTGTGGGAATTAAGGTTTTCTATTCGATAAAATTTTCAATCATTGACAAGGATCTTTGATACGGCTGAAACAATCTCCATGAAGAATCCGGAGAGGTACCATGTTTTGCTAGATGTCATATTTTTAAGAGAGCGTTCCCTGACCCTAGGTGACCCATGATTCATTGATGCAGTCAGAAAATATCCTCGACGTGTATGGCACAAGGTTAATGGGATTACCTGAACCAGATTCTTTACATGTGCACTCTTCAAGTTTGCGACATCTCTGCATACTCACGAACCATTGTGAATGAATGCAAATGGTTGTGAACCAGTATTGATCACTATGAAGCAGTGTTAATCATCGTGAATCATTGTGAGTGATCAAGAATCATCATTAGTCATAATAAATCTGCGAAGGTCATCGTGAATTGGCTCAAATGATAATGAATTATTGCAATTCGCTGTGAATCAGCATGCCATAAAAGCTCTAATAAGCCCCCCGCCCCACTCTATTAAGCCCTCTCTTCACCAAGCCCTATTACCATTCCAAAATTTAAAATAAGCCCCCCTCTCTATTAATTCCCCCTCTCTAGCCTCTGATATCAAACAAAGAAAACATGCACATCTAAGGGTTCTCTTGACGGCTGTGATGATGATAAGACCATGTGCATTAAATACGGCCAATGTAGAGGTTTTCTTGTGCGCCTTAGAAGTCAAGAGGATACTGATGTTGATTCTTTCAAAGAAATCCCATGGCTTTGTGGCCATAAAAAATAGGCATAAAATATCGCGAAGCATTTTAGTGCGTTTTTCAAAGATGTGCTTTAGTCTAATAATGCTATCATCACGAGCCCCCTCCCCCCCCCACTTTAAATTTCTTGGCGCTGCCCCATCACCGTCAATGACAATCTCAATGAGAGTAATCTCTCACGGAGACCCTATATTCTGATAATTTTTCTTTATGAACATCTTCATAGAAAAGCCCAATTATTCTTGCTAACGCTCTCTACTGAGCTCATATCACGTACCAGACATCTTCTTCGTACATAGCCATTGGGCCCCTATGTTTATACTTGAAAGGAGTAAAATGTAATCTATGTGCAGATTCAGGTATTTCACATAAGAGGCATTTTAGAGTCTCCTTTGAAGCTAGTTCAATGCATCAGCATTACTGAATTTAGTTATACTAATGTTAGCACATTTCGCTGGCAAATTAATGATATATTATTAATAACATTACTCAAATAATGTACCATTGAAAAAATAGAAAAAACAGTACTCTTGTTAGTAAGCCATAACTCTTTCAGTATTGCTATGTGCGAAAATTAAGGCACTTTGTGCATAATGGAAAAGATACATGGATCATCTTATCAAGAAGTTACAAGGTTGAGTCTATCCCAGTCAAGAAAAGAGCTATAAGAGTGGAGGACTATCATCAGTACATGGTTATTCAAGATGATGGATTTAAAAACACTAAAGGTTGTCTTATCATTCGATTTTTCAAGTTGTTTTGTAGTTTAGTTCAACTAGATATGATAAAGAAAAATCTACTACTGAATAGGAAAAATCTAATAACAACCAATATGGTTGAAAAATTATTTTACTTTTACCTGTATGTCTTCTTTTACATTCTACAGCATATATGCACTACTATGACAACCCAAAGGGGATGATTCCAACTTGGTTTATCAATTGGGCAGCAAAGGTAGGTTGTTCAGCACAACAGTAAACATCTCTCTGGCATTTGAAACATCACACTGCTCTCCACTTATACCAGTTTTACCAAAATAACAAATCATGGTGTGCACCTGAGTCAACTGCTATTTTTCATGAAACAACTACACATGAATGTTTGAATTCTTGACACTCAACAAAATTATATCTTATGCAATCAAATGGGGAGGTGTGTGATATTGCTACATTTTGAGAAGCAGGTGTGTGCCAAGATGTGGGTGAGCAATCTTGCATCTCAAACTTAGAGGCCTGCAATAAGAAATTAAACTAAAGATGTCAAATTTCCTGGACATTACATTTAATGGGGGCACACAAGAATAAAAGTATGCACCAAAATATACCTTCTTATATCAGCAAACTCATTTTGGCATCAAAATGTACCATTTGACACTTTGTACCAAGTCTGAAACCTACCAATTAACAAATAATCATTGGTGTAACACTGTCAGTGAATGCCTCAGATTCTAGTTTGATATGGTTTTTTGTATTTGTCCCTCCCCAGCTTCTGAAGGTAGGTTTTTGGACAGTAAGGAGCTTTGCTTGTCAAGAAGTATCCTTCCTTTGGATGCGACCACACTTTGTGATTTCTATGACCGAAGTAGCAGAGAGCTAGTGAATCTCTTTACTTTAGGTGAAATGTCAGTAGCTCAAACCACATACCCTTGGATTTGTAGTCCCCTGCTACCCCAACCACTGAGCCATCCTTGTACTCATGTTCAGTTTTGCAGTTAATCCATAGTTTTGCAGATGACAAGGTTTTGTTTTTTAGGTCAATTTGCAAAGGAAGAATTTTTCTTCTGATATTTTTACATAAAGAACTCAAGTTGTAATTTTTAAGATTTCTCAATTTTTAGACTGGCATACCATCATTTTTGATGTCAATGAAATTGGCCTGTGAATCATATGAACAACATAAAACTGAGAGATCAAAAGCTGCGAAGAAGTCCTAGCAACAAGGTAAAAAAATGAGAAGATGAAATGTTGCAAATCATTGGCCTAGTCTGTGCTCCCTCTGCCATGCTTTACATCATCAAATGTATTAATCAATTTTCTATGATATGTCCTATTTGCATGTTCATATAATATTTTTTGTTGTGTTAATACTTTTCAACCAATTTCCACACCTCTGTTTTTATTTATTTATACTGTAAAAGGCAGGTTGTAGTTAATATTATTGCATTATAACATTGGCAGTGCTTAGCAAGCTACAAAAAATAAAGTTCAAAATTGCACAAAATTTGGAATCACAATGCATGTTATTTAACCAAAGACAGACAGTTTCATTGAAATAGATAATACTCTTAACATGGCAACCTGAACAACTAACGTTACAGAATTAAAACCATTACAAATTTTGAAAGGGTGTATCAGATAACATGTCCTTGTTTAAGATGGCTAAATTCAAAACATCTAAGTGCAATAGTTTATCCACGCATTCACTATTGCTTTTTAAACTTGCCAGCAGCCATCATGCCAAAAGCCACAGCTGAAATACCAATTCCGATAACAGATAGCCTCATCATGTTTCTGGTGATAGAAAGTGATTCCATACTTAATACAATGTAATTAAGCCTTAGAGGAAGGCTGCAGATTTCTATCTGCAGTGGAATGGCTATGAATTAAATGCAAATTACCATCAATTAAACTTTCATTAGGAGCATATTTTTTGCTGGCTAGGAGCAAGGCACATGATTAGGGTACAATGCTTAGTAGAAGTCTTGGTACACTACAATAAAATTTCCCATTACATCAGTAGGACCCTCTCATCCCCTTGAAACAATGTTCAATAACAACAGTTTCAAAGTGTGAATTGATCCAATGTAACTCTATTAGCTAATTAAAGTAATAGGCTTTTCAACCAATATTGTTTTAGGGGGAGGGGGAAAATTCTGTATCTTAGAGCTGGAAAGTTTTACTTCATGAAAATCTTTCATTGACTGCAGTGTTTTCCAAGAACTAGGGCAAGGATTGTAGTTATACTTAGGGTAATTCCTGGGGTACATTGTAGAAACATTAATTGAAAACATCAGAAACAAATGTGGGTTCTGCCAGCCCTATTTATTCTAATAATAATTTGGAGATTTATTATTGAATTTTAAATTTTAAATTCAATAGGAGTTGGATGGAGAAATCAAAAACCTCTTAAAATAAACACATTTTGTGTTTTTTCCACCTGCTTTCTTTAATGAAGATACAAAGAGTGCTCTTTTTCAATTTATTGGTTTGTAAGAAAATGGAAACCAAACATAAATCAATGATCCCATTTTATCAAACCAGCAAAAGCCTTGCAAAATATTGTCACATTTTAGGCATTTTAGAGCAAAAAAGTATTTTCTCCCATTTCAAAAAAATAACCAAGTTATGAAAGTGTGGCTGTTTATTGCAAAAAACACTTTCTTGCACACTGTAAACTGTAGCACATGTACAATTAAAATTCCTGATGCAACTTCAGTTGTTGCATCAAATCTGAAAACCTTTTAGCACCAAAGCAACTTGTCTCCAAAAATACTTCTGCTGCGAAAGTTTTTGACATGTTTGATTTTCCATTATAAAATAATTTGAATGCTATTTTAGCAACAGTGACTAAAGGATAAAATGTAGAAAGCCAAACCTGTAGATGAAAGCATCTGACTTTGTTTTCAAAAATACAGGCATTCCATCATTTTTCTATCAAAGAAAAAAAAACTACAATCACATCATATTGCTTATTTTGTCTGAAAGGAGGAGGCAGTGAAATCAACAGAGAAGGAATATAAATGCATATAAATATTAGCCATTTTATAAGAATGACCTGACATCAAGTATAAATTCATCAGCTTTGTAAAATGCAATAGGAAAAAACAGTAGACAACAGCTATAGCCACACCCAATGTTACTTGAAAACTTGTGACTTTTAAAGCTGCTTAATTAAATAGTTTTGCTTAATTGCGTCTTAACTTTATGTGACTGTAAACAGGTGTGCCATTAGGTAGGGTGAATTAGTGGAGTCTACATTACTGTAGGTAAAACATTACATGCCAAAAAATCAATTTAAATTAGTTGCTTGCATGATCTGAACATATCTATCATATTTTGCACTCATGTGGTTGGGAACTGGCTGAAATCGCTTTGCCCTAGGAAGACCTTGTCATAACTCTAACTCATACCCTGCAATCATGCTTCTTTAACTTTAGAACTGTTTGTGAAAATCCTAGAATTTTCTGGCTTATAAGGTACTGTTAAAAAATTGATGTTGAAAATTGGGTGCTTAACAAAGTGCAAACCATTCCCTGTGCCAGTATGGATTCCATGGCAGCTGCATTCCCGAGAAATTTTTGCAAAACTATGATCGATTCTGGCACACCCAAATGTGGGCCTTGTTTGGGTGTGGTTTTGGTTGTGGCTTGAAATAAAAAGTGTTTTACAAATATGGCAAAACGACTTTAATTCTAAATTTGTTAGCAACTTGGATTGGCAAAAGTTTTCGAACCTTTTGGGGTCTGGGCTGCCAAAATTTTTCAGACCTGTTTTCACTGTCCTGTTTAAAAATGAAAACACAACGGTACAAAATTTGTTGGCTTTCAAAGCAAGGTCAAAACTGTGCCAATTAAATGGCAGAGGAAAATTATCTAGGTTCCAGTTCTAGCATAAGGGGAAGGGCAAGCCACCACAGTTTATTAGGGTTCAAAACTTGCAGGGAACAGTGTAAACAGGGTCACTGTGGCACTGGGGAAATCTTAAAAAGAAGGCTTCGAAGCAAGCAGAATATTTTTAACTTTTTTAAGCTACACATCAGAACATTTTTTGCAGTCATTCTCTTGCAATTGCTTAAATGTTCTATTATTTTATTAGCCTGAGTTCCAGACCAAAAACTAAATGTATTGGGTCAAATGTGCACATTTATCACAAATGCACTCTTGCACTTCTGGCTAATAGCTTGTGCACTTCTGAGATCTTGTTGAAAATTGCCATGAAATCAAGACCAGCCCCTGTGCATAGAGTAACATTATGTAAAAATTCCATGCAAGCAATTTTCCAAAGAAAAACTAAACTTAGAAAAAATTGATAATTTTATTTTAACCACGTCGTTAGCTCTCTCTGGGTACACGTCTTGCAATAAAAAACCCAATCCCAAGTTAATGAAAACTCCATCACCTACTTCATGAATTTGGAATGAGAATCAAATGTTAGCATATTCTATCACACCTTTCAACACATAATGTACCTTCGACTTCGAAATAACATACATTAACAAAAACATGGCTAATGTTTTGTTAGCCAGTTCATGGTTTACAGGGAATTACCTGAAAGAGCCTTTGATAGTGACCAACGTTATTTGGTCTTCTCATTACTCCTTTAGCAGAATCGGCAATGTCTTGCTGCACAGCTGTTTTATACTGGTTTTTTAATGATTCCGACATTTTCCTTTGTACGTGCTTCTTTTCATGCTCCTCGAAGGCCCTCTCTCAGAATCCAAATGAGTATCCTCGACTTGAACAGTGTCAGCCTCGATTACAATAAAATTGAAAAATCAGACTGTCGAACTTTCGTTGTCGCGACAAGATTGTAATAGGGTTATTTTTGTCAAAACGAATTCATCCACCCTATCGTTACAGTCGATATAAACTAGTCCTTCAATGAGAATTGAGACAAAGAGACAAATAAATAATGTTTCAAACGTCCATCTTCCGATCATGTGATCTCTCCGCGAAAGGTTATAAACTTCACAATGTTTCTCTAACAGGCACAGTCTTTCACAAGCACTGTCCGTTCAAACTATACTATAGTAATGCACAATCAATAAATCATCACGCGCGGTTCCATAAATCCAAATACGGCTTTGAAAAAAGCAAACATTTTACAACATACTAAAAGCTTTTTCGTCTGACACTCCTCAGAGCATAAAACTTCAGAATAGGTTCCGAAAAAACACGATGGAAAAATATATACCCAGTTGTGGATCGAAATAGGCCAATCAGAAAAACGCCTGCACAAGACCGGTATAGTTGACCAATCAGTGCCGCGAGCCTAAAGAAACAAAAAGGACTACATCAATTTTTAAACAAAAAGGACTACATCAATAAAATGGAGGTTATTCTCCACGACAAAGAAAAATTTGCTAAATTGGGTGATGTCGAAACACATGACAAAACGGCCAAACTAGAGCGGAAACTCCAAAAACGTTTGTTGGAACTGGTCAACTCAAAAATGTTGGCTACAGAAATTTATGATAGGATAAGACCCACGGGCTCTCAACGACCACAAATGTATGGCCTCCCTAAAATACACAAGCCGAACGTCCCACTTAGACCAATTTTGTCTATGGTTGGCTCAGCACAACACGAACTGGCTAAGTGGCTTTCTGAAGTTTTGGACCCTGTTCTTCAAAAATATTCAAAACATTGCATCAAGGATTCTTTTACGTTCGCTGAGTTCATGCAAAACTTGAACATCGAAAACGAAACATCTTTCATGTGTTCTTTCGACATTAGTAGTCTTTTCACAAATGTTCCTTCGAGTGCGACCATCAAAATATGTGCCGACGCTTTGTACCGGAGCGAGCACCATTCCCAGAGGAAGTATTCATTGAACTGATGGAAACTGCAACACGTTCAGTTGAATTCAGTTTTAACAATGAAATGTACCAACAAAAGGATGGTGTCGCTATGGGTAGCCCTCTGGGACCTGCCTTGGCCAATATCTTTGTTGGCTTTCATGAAGAGCGTTTGTTCGACTACGACCAAAAGCCAGGTGTCTATTTTCGGTATGTGGATGACACATTTACCATTTTCAAAACAGAGGCTGAGTGTGATATTTTTCTAAAACACGTAAATAGCCTACACCCAGCCCTCCAGTTTACGTTTGAAAAGGAAGAAAATGATTCCTTGCCATTTTTAGATGTTTTGGTCGGAAAGTCTAACACTGGATTTCTTACCAGTTTATATCGCAAGCCTACTTTTACCGGTCAGTACATACGCTGGAATTCATTTTGCCCAAAACAACGCAAAGTCAACCTTGTCAAAACATTAGTACATAGGGCACTTATGATCTGCTCGAAATCTAAACTGCACGCTGAACTGGAAAAACTCAAAACGATCTTCTTGGACAACGGCTATCCTGAAGACGTCATTTTATCATATACTAAGGAGAAGATCGCAAGTTTTTCGGCTGTTCAAAAGTTTGGTCCGCAAAAGTGCCCAGTTTATTTGAAACTACCATGGATTGGTAACACTTCCTTGCGATTCGAGAGTCAGATTAGGCAAGCCATAACCAATTGTTTCTTTGCTGTCAATCCTCGGATTGTTTACAGCACTAGGAGAGCCCTTCCATCCATTCAAAAGGATTGCGTCCCTACCAAACAAAAAAGTTCCGTCATTTATGAATTTACGTGCCAGTGTGATTCTGGCTACGTAGGGCGCACAACCCAAAGATTGGGGGATAGGATAAAACAGCATGTTCCTTCCAACATACGAAACAAAACTGCCCCTCAAAGAGAACAGCCTCCTCGATCTTGTAGGTCGAGAAACACTGTTAAAACAAGTGATTCTGCCATTGGTCAACATCTTTTGGACAACCCAGATTGTGCAAAACTCTATAATGACGACATGTTTCGGATAATTGGCAGAGCCCGGTCGTCCTTCCATCTAGCAGTTTTGGAGTCAATCTGCATAAAAACGAAAAAGCCGCCATTGTGTAGACAAAAGGAGTTCGTTTTCTCTCTTGGACTCCATTGGTAATTTTTCTTTAGGCTCGCGGCACTGATTGGTCAACTATACCGGTCTTGTGCTTGCGTTTTTCTGATTGGCCTATTTCGATCCACAACTGGGTATATATTTTCCATCGTGTTTTTTCGGAACCTATTCTGACGTTTTATGCTCTGAGGAGTGTCAGACGAAAAAGCTTTTAGTATGTTGTAAAATGTTTGCTTTTTTTAAAGCCATTTTCAAATTCTGTACCGCAAAAAAATTGTTCAAATCCAAATACGTATTCCATAAATCCATACTTCATGTCGACAAGAACTTTCACAAGCATCTTGCCACATTTATAAAGCGTCGAGAACCTAAATATACAAAATATCAAACTTAACCTAATCGCTCTCAACCGAATTCCATTTCCAACTTCAACTCCAACGAACTCAAAAACTAACTCTATCTGTAACACGCCCAAAATATAACTAAACAAGAACTTATTGTAAAGCTACATAGCTACGTAAATTTACATAATAATAGTGAATACAAAATATATTAGTCCCAAGATTAATTACATAAACTGAATAATGATACTAAAAATCCCAAAAGAAATAGTTAATGAATCTAAAGGTGCAATTAGAAAACAAAAGGAATTATAAACAATCGAATGTGCGAACGGTGATAAAATTACTAAGGTTACAGGATGCAAAACAAACGAAATCCAAACTAGCACTATTACAAGATCATTCTAAGAAAACTCTAAAAACATGAAACTTCATTAATTTTCTTCCAATCGTTTAAGAGCCTTTATTTTGTATGCATAGTTCTGTTACTTTTAATTAATTCAATTGGAACACGGAATTCATTGCTTTATGAGGCCCACTAGACCTCAAGCCCCTTGAGCATTTCCACCCTTGCACCCCTTTCGCCGGCCCTGTCTACGCCTAAAACCTAATGTTTGAAAATGTTGGCGTCGTTATTTTTTCTCTCGGATGAAAATAACCCCCGCCCAGCATCTATAGTAAAAATAGATTAAAGCAAGTGTACTAAACGTTTCTACAGGTTTACTATTCGTTTTTGCATGGGCTGAGGCGAGACGCATTGTTTCAACGGATGCTTTCTCGATGTTATTCGATTGTGTTTTGATTCTTGGAAGTTGTTCAGCCTTTGGATAGCATGATTGACATTTTCTCTTTTGAGTTTTATGCATCAAGGTATTTCATAGTCGTGAATATACACAATTTTTATTTGGTTTTGCATTGGTTATATAATCACGTGTGCGTTGTGTGTCCCACAGCTAGGCCCTGCATGTCCGCCATTACACTGTAGTGGCTGGTTTAAACAATCAAAATAACATAGATTTAAACAAAAAAAATAACGCACAACGAAAAGGAAAGGAAAGAACAAACAACATTCCAATCGCTGACGGATTCGCTGAAGATTTCGCCCAAGTGGAAACTCGCCGTAGCACTTGAAACGCGTACGCGTTTCAGCCCATCCATAAACGCATATGAAATCGGTATTAAAAATGCTATTGCAGAGGGGCGCAACTTCTGAACGCTCTTTTATCAACATTTTACTGACGACGTCACTTTTAAATAAGTGAACGCCCGCACCTTGTACCGCTGATTTTGAATATGCAAATAATATTCTCCTTCCGAGGCCATTTTTTCCGACCATGTAATTTTCAAAAAATACTTGAAAACGGTAAGAAAACTATTGAAATTGTAACACCAGCTTGCCAAACAGGATTAGATATCATATCACCGTTTAAGATACTGCCATCCCCTGTCTAGTGTACCTATCTGTCTGCACCAATTCTTAGTTCACTACTGTTTCTTCAACATTCCAATCTGTTATCAATGTGTCGAAAATCATTACTTTCTCGTCTTTTCATGTAAATTTCTAACGTTTCTTTAAAACCCTCACTTTAAAACCTAAAAGCCATGAAACCTAAAAAATCATTTTTTGCCTGTGTACCTTAAAATTACAGTTAAAAAACTTTCACTTTCAACATTTTTTACTGCTGAAAGTCTTTTTCTGTTGAGCAACTCTTCTGCTGCGTGTTGAGGATAATAACACACTTCATATTAGAAATTCATACCTTGATAATCATTGTGCAAGGTAACGCGTCGTTGATAAAAGATTTAGTGAAATTGAGATTCAAATAACAAATGCAACAAGCCTTGTAGGTTCTACAAGTTTAAACCTGTGGCTAGTAGTTAAGAAAAGCTAAAAAGCCAGCTTTTAGAGTCCAAAAAAGGACGTTCAAAGTCAAACGTCAGAAAGCCACGGCAAATGTCACGGGAAAAAAATGTTCCAGCTACCACACACGAGTTTTGCCAGAGTAAGAGCAAATTTTTCTGGAAAATATATATCGAAACAAAAATCAAAGGAAATTTATTTATCGATAATTTCTTCATCCAAGTGTTTGCTTAAAAACGAATTTAAAACAACTCTAGATTCAATTTTTCTTGTATCAAGTGGCAGTTAAAAAATATTATTGCATTCACTATCCCCCCTCCAGGAATAGAGACACAAATTTGCCCAGTTTAGTTTCCATGTATGATAGCTGCAATATCTTATATCTATTTTTTCTATTGTCAATATGGTTAAAAGCGATTTTGACGTGCTTCCTCACGTTTCAGTATACCCGCTCTACAAGAAAATGTGCAATCCTGTGCAATAGTACTTCTATTCTCTTGGTTGAGCTAGGGATATTTATTGGCACGAAATAGTCTCACTTTGCCAGGTAAAGCCTTATTACAACAGTGCTGTTCTCTTTTTGGCACCCTCATCTTGTTTCCAAATATAAGCTTTCTTCGGTATAACCTTAACTGTTTCAGTATAATCTTTATCTAACACCATGAAAACTTTTTATACCTTCGGGAATTTTCTATGGTATTTGACGATTTGACGTTTTTGGATAGGGCTAATGCATCGGCTTAAAGTAGGGAAAAGGTACTTTTCTTCTTCATTCAAATCTCGACATCATCTACGTTTAGGGTGTTTGTGTAAAATCATTAGTACGCTCTTCCTGTAAGAGGTTTATGGTACGCTCTCGATGTTTTCTTTCGTTGCTATTGGAACGTAGCGTCACGAGTTACGTAGCTACTGATGTCTATCTAAGGGAGTATTTTTGCCTTACAAGTTGCATTTCAATTTCTGTCGCGAGTAAGAAAATGCCTTTTTGTTTGATTCTGCAAAAAATGTTATTGTTATTGACAAATTATCAACTTCACATTGAAAATCATAGTCAAATTATAAACTGCAATCTGTTTATCTTCTGCATCTGTGTTATACATAGAATTGAGTAGTCGAGTGCATACTCATCAAAGAAGATTTTAAACGTAAAAGTGAAAATAGTGTTTTAGAATTTATTTAATGATTAAATGTAATGATAAATTTTATTTGATATCTGATTGTACTGAAGCAAGTGTCTGGGTGAGCATTCGAAGCCTGTCTTTTAATGCCTCTTTCTGCAAGTTCAACTGCTGTTCTAAGGATTGTGCATCCTTTATTATTTCATCTAGCCTTGTTGGATAAAGGTTTTCGACATTTTCACAGTCTCTAAAAGAACAGATACATTGATATGTTTTTAGTCTTAAAGAGCATCTGTGGGGTTAGCAGTTGGCTAATACCATAAAAATGTTTACAGTAGAATTGCATTGCTACGTGACTTTTCATTTCTGCTTCATGGAGTTTAACTGCCGTGAAAATTCATCCTCGATTAAGCGTTATGTCTTAAAAGCATAATTGTATTGCATTAGCCAAACTGAATGAGTTGCCAATAGACTCAATGTCTTTTTAAAAGCCTATATAAAAAGACAAGCCTATGGTTGAGATAATTGAAATGACAACAAATAGTAAATAAATTACTTGAACGTTTCTCCCCATTTTTCGAAAGATAATTTGATCTCAGGAAGTGACTCTAGAATATAAAAAATCTATGACATAACAAAAGTTTATTTCAAAAAGCGAAAAATTTAAAGACATGATGCCCCTGATAAGATAGTGCTTTTTGAATTGATGTTATCAAGCAATAACCAGGTATAAAATAATTTGAACAAAAAGTTGGGAATGAAAAGTGTGCAGCAAACGTGTCTATTTTTAATATATTTGAAAAGATATTGCTCCCTTTTAGATGATATTGAAATATAAAACATATTGAGAATGTTACATCTGACTTGTGCTTTTCGAATTTTCATGAAGCCTGACCTTGGAGAACTTGATTCAGCGACTGGCACTCGTCATCAGCATATGAGTAACAAACGTCTAAAAAAAGCAAAATATATGAAACAACATTATAAATTTCAGTATTTCATCGACTTGTTATTCGCAGGCATTTACTTTGTATGCATCTGGAAAGAAAAACAGTTGATGTAAAGTAGTGCTAGTTATTCATAGAGTAAAGTTCTCATCATTTATTAACTCATTTTTATTCAGTTTGATCTACGGTCTCGAGAAGTGCTAGAAGCCGCGTAGAGGCCTATCCGCCCTTGTTTATGCCTGAAGGTATCCAGTTTTAGAAATAAACTAATATAGAGGAACAGTGAGCTATCAGCTCAACCACCGGCATTTTGTTATACCTTTGCATCGGAAGCCTAATTACCAGGTTTTGTTCGTAAGGTTTTGCTTTTTTTTCAAGGTATGTAATTTTGTCAGTTGTCAATAATAGCTCATAAAACAACGTGTGTACCAAACAAGGTCTCAAGTTTGAATAGTATTCTGATAAAAGGGGTTTTGAAAGGTGAGTATTTTCGTTCACTAACATTAGCAGCTGTGCTATTCCTGGTATCAAATTACCTCTGTGAATTCCCTTGTCATTTGCATTTCGTATCTCAGCTTCCTCTTGATAGGCACTGCTCTGTGTAATTGAGATATGAAATTAAAAATGATGAATTAGGAATCTTCGATAATGACGATTGATTCAGTGGAAATGCAGCGATAATTAACTTCCAGTGGATCAGCTTTAATATTTGTTGTTGGTGTTGAGCGTGGACATGTTTTCATGTTTTCAATGAAACATTAATGATTTTCCACTGGGTTATGGACAGTTGTGTTTAGTTTTTGCTAGCATTATGCTCATTAGCAAGTATAAACTGGTTGTGCTGTGCGCCAATGTGCCAAAGAGAGAATGACTGTTTGAGACTGTGTCAGAGTAGACAGAGAAGATTATCATTAAGCATCAGCAGGGCTTTTGAAAGGGACATCGATTTTATTCCAAACACATGATTTCTAGAAAGATTCTAGAAAATGGCTATGGAGTAGGTACTTTGTTCATAGCATAATGTTCTTAGATTACCTCAAGACATTCAGCACAGCGCCTTGCACAAGTTACTAAAATTGTCTTCATTCGGTTAAAGATTAAGAATCAGAGTTCCCTGATGCTATATGTGGTGTATCCCAAGGGCCAGTGCTACTATATTTTACTGTTTAAAATTACTGTTTATTTCATATAATACAACATGCTACTGTATGTATCGTTAAACAAACATGAAAATACTTGCAGACTATACCAAATTGAACACAGAAGTTAAATACTGAGCACACAGGAGTGCTGTTTGCTGTCCATGAAAGACATGATTAATTCATAGAGCCTAATTTCGGGGAGTACAAAGTAATGGATGCAAGCTAAGACAGTATTGTTTATGTATGCACATTAGAGGATCATGAAAGTAGAAGATAAGAGTTTGGGACAGTGAATAAAAAGGTCTTGGGAATGACAGGAAAATCCATAGGGAGCATTGGCTCAGATTAGGAAAAATTCATCTCTCTTAACAACATTTGCAGGACATACACTCCCCTCACAAAAGTATTGCACCACCTCGAAGGAGGGAAAATGGCGCAACAATTATCGAAAGCTATTGTTGTGCGAATTGATTGTGTTTAAGTGGCGAATGGGAGTGTGTCGGAAGTGAAACAACCACCAATCAAAACTTCAATCTTTTTAGAAAACTTTTTTCAAAATAACAGTTTCAAAACGTCTTTTAACAGTTTCAAATTTTAATATTTGACGGGAGCTATGAACTTTGAAACCGCTTTATGCCTCCTTGAATTGGTTGCATATAATTGGGCAACGTATTATTGTGGAATTTCATTCCAAACCTGAAGAATTCTTTTAATTAACGATTCTTTGGTTCTTCAAGAACCTTTAAAATCATGGTTCGGATTGTTTTTCATACGAAGCCAAACATTTTCAACGATGTACAAATCTGGACTTGAACGACGCCAAGGAAAAACTTGAATTTATCTTGTTCGGAAATAAATCGTTGTAAAAATGGTTTCCTTTTATGCAGGTGAATTTCTATTTTATATTTGTGTAAGACCCACATTATTTTTTGTTTGGAAGAATTTTGAGCTGCAAAACATTGCTCAGCGTAAAGTTGCATGTCTTTTACTGTCCCTTGGTGTAAAAATGGTGACGTAAAACAGACAAAATCGCTACCCCTCTAACGTCAATTTTTTTATTAACCCACTTCTCGGTTTATTACTACTGAAGCACTCTTGAGAAACCTTTCTTGATTTATTGAAGCTGTTGTGTAGCTGCATCTAACATGGTCAACAATTTTTAAAAAACTAAAGACCACTTCCCTGTAAAAAATTTATATGGACTCGCATCTCATTTGACAAATTTTCTCCCTCAGGCGTGGTCTACATTTTTTCAAACAATAATGTTTTTGCGTAAAATTTACATTTCTAACTAGGTTTTCTATGGCGTCAGCAAAATTTGCAAACTTTTCCCGCCGAAATTTGATACAAAATATGCCAATTCCACCCAATTCATGCATTCAAATGTTTTGTATTGTCAAAATATTAACAAAAAGTGCCGCCATTTTGAACAAGGTGGTGCAATACTTTTGTGAGGGGAGTGTATGTGCGACCGCACACGGAGCCTTGCTTACAGGCATGGAACCAACACTTGCTAAAAGATATCAAATTTCTTGAAAAAATTTGGGCAAGATGACAAATCTTGTCCCTGGACTAAAAATGAACTTATCATAAGAGCAGTGCCTTTGACGGGACATTGATACGAACTAGAACAAACAGTTTTTAGCTTAATAGACTACTTCAGCAGTCCATAAGAATTTCTTCACGTAAATAGCTTGATCTTTTTCAAAATTATGTTTATAAAATACTAAAGGAACTGCTTTGGAAAAAATCAAGGGCTTTATGCGCCTGTAAGGAAATTATACCAGGTTACAGGTTTTTATAAGAACACTTGGCTCCAGTTTCAGCCTGGCGTTTTTTTCGCATTATTTCAACCTTGTGTGTTTCCCTTTTTTATTTTTGTAATGGAATTTCCAGTGTCCGGACTTAACCTGTGCTTTATAAAGTAATCGATGCTATTGCTTATGGCTCTGTTTTTCTGTTGTTATTTGCTGGTATTTTATTTCTTGAATAAGTTGAATTTAAGCCTGCCTTGTTTCTTATGTTGTTCTGTTCCTATTTTGTGGGTAAATCTCAGCCCCATAATTCTTATGAGGGTTGTTCTCATAAAAATAAAGCGTGTAAAATGAATTGTGTTCGTGTCAGTTTGCTAGATGTTATATTAAGATACCATATACAAAATATAATAATTGACAAAGATTAAAAATTGCTTGGCTACAAAGATCATAAACAAGCGAGATATTATACCTGATTCAGTGCAGTATCCTCTCTTTCTGGTGACATTTTTTGTGAAGGAGGAAGCATTTCAAAGCCCTTTTCCTGATTTTCTGCTGACATTGTCACATCTAACCTGAAACATTTCACTGTTCAAGAGCTGGCTTTCAAATCTTTCTTATAATTGCAAAAATATACAACCAATAACCAAACTCAAATAAAACAGCTAAAGTTTCATTCTCTATCGAGTAGCATTGGCGATTGAATAAATCTTTTTTGTAAGAAGGAAGGAACGCAGGATATACTGTCCGCCTGATTCTTCGAATGGGTAAAAAGACGAACATAAAGGTAATATAGTCAAGAACAAAGCAAGACGACGACGAGAATCCTAATCATATAATTTTGAAATGAATTAAATTTGGTAATTACAAATATTTTGTCCTTGCATAAAGGGCTTCATTAGAGTAAATCTTAGTCGTTAAAATAATAGAAAGTAAATCGTGAATGTCAAAGACTCACTCTGTCATCATTGAGTTTAAGCTGTAAAAAACCTTGTGATTCCGCCAATCTTTTATTAATTTCAAATTTCTCAGCTCATAAATAAAAATGATCACGTCATCGACAATTTTCGCGCCAATCCGTTTTAAGCTCCTTACCAGTAACAAACCTGAATTGACTTTTCTTTATCAATGAAGCAAGCCTAAGTGTCTTACTGACTTCAAACTTACCAACAGCCTCTAATTCTTTAAATTTTGAACTCTGATAGTCTTAAAAATTTTGTTCCTTTTAAAATTTGCCCATTAATCTAAATGAACCGAACAGAAGGGAATCTCATGTTGATTAGTTAAATTATTGAGAGAGTTCCTCCTTGAGAAACTCAGCCAGCCATACAGTTTTTATCATTTTGTTATGTTATTATTCTTTATTCACATATATCTTTAATTTTTGTAAGCATAGTTAGATCAAGTTTATCAATGGAGCTAAAATTTTATGTTGTGTTGAATTTTAAAATAAATTAATTAACTGAACTAAACTGGGCCAATACCGACACGTTGTTTTTTAGAGAGGTGAACAAAATTAGGGTGCTGCATAATGTAGTTCTTGTATCTTTTTCAACATAAAACAATTTATGTTAAATATAACATAAGATTCTAAGTATTTATCACAAGATAAAGAATGTACAGAAAAAACTGGCACAAAAGACATTTATTTAAGAATAAAATTACAGTTAATAAAAGCTAACTATCCCAAAACTTCTTTTAACAAGAGATCTGTTAAAAAATTCTTCATATACATTAGCAGCTGAAAACTAATAAAAAATCGAGCCCCAAATGTAGAGTTGTAGTTGAATGTTTTATAAAAGTTCTTCAATGAAATTATGCTGCTGACGCTAGTCAATAGCGACACAATCGAGGGGGGCGGAGGGACTGAGGGACGTGTATCCCACCTCCAATTGAGCAAAATTCCAACAGTTCTTTTGAAAAAAACAAAGCTTCTCGGACAAATGCATTTGATAATGATCTGGCTTTGCAGAGATTTCGATCTTGCAAGTCGAGAGGACAGATTCATTCAACATCCACCATATATCTGCAATTGTATACTCTTAGTCATCTGGAAAATCCGCCACTGAGCTGAAGGAGTAATCCTTTTTCTTACGATTGAAAAATCCACTCTAAGATTAAAAAGAAATTTCAGTAAAAGTCTTCACGGAAAGCAACTAAATCTTGTGTATCATCTAGATTAGCAAAGCCATCAGTTCAAAAACTTTGAAAAAACTTGATATCGCTAATGCTTGTTATAAAAAAGATAATGCTGTTCAGATGCTATAAGAAATAGATGTTTAAAGATGGCATAAAACAGCGTAAACCTAACAAACTGAACTACTTCTCATTCGACACTCTTCAGTGTATAAGCATCAAATAGCGACCGAAAGTAAGCAGAAAATTCAAATTCAGGCGTGGATCCACAAAGGATAGTGACAGAAAGATGACCGATGTGGATCCACACCTGAATGTTGTCATTTTGTTATGATGAAAGGGCGAGAGGTTGCTAAAGAAGATTTTGTAGTTTTCAATAGTTGTGCAATATTTTTCTATGGATGTCATTTTCATGGGGTCTACAAGGATGTCATTTTCATGACAAAATTTTCATGACCACACCATCCTCATAACCTACTGCTGAGGCTGGCATCGATTTTATTTCCATTTATTCATACCGGAAGATTATTCCAGTGAGACCTTTGCGAAGGCATACCTTGTAAAGTACAAAAACAACTCCAGCTACTAGAACCAAACCAGCAATTATAGAAATCAGTATAATCCACCACGGAATTGTTCCCTTGACATCAACAGATCTTCCTGGAGACAGGACTGTTAAAAGTGGCTGGAGGGTAAAAATGGCTGCTTATAAATATAACGATAAATTTACATCATTGAAAAGATTGTTTTGAAAATTGTTAACAGTCAATTATATAAATATAAGGAAAACACTCGCATTTTCGAAATAGGAAAAATTGTTTGAATTCAACTATTCATTGAAAATGATTCACTTAAGCCTAGCGCACACTAGCGATTTTTGTCGCCAGCGACGGCGATTTTTGTCGCTGGCGACTAAAATCGCTAGTCTGCGGGAAAAAACATCATAGAATTTTGGTCGTCAGCGACAGAAACAAATATCTAGCATGCTAGATATTTGTTTTTGTCGCCAGCGACTAAAAACTGAAAATCGCAAGTGTGCGGGGCGCAAAAACAAATTCTTGTTGATCAGCCAATCATAAAGTGTTCTCAAGACATGTGGAAAGTGTGTTGATTTTTAAGAAACTTGACAAGATGGAGGTCACAGGAACATGCTCGTTTTCTTGGACAACGCATTAAGGGGATTTGTTAGTCGATTTGTGGCGCGAGAACTTGCATACCCTCTCGACAATACGACGATAGGACGGCAAAAGCTGCAGCCGTGGCTGAGCTTGCGGATGCTCTTAGTGCCACGAGCGGGTACTACTGCTCTCAATTATTGATTAACGTATTTGGATAAACACGAACAAGAACAAGATCTCATTGCACTTCTATTAATATATCCTTTTAGCAGTATAGGTTGCCTATAAAGCGAAAAATCTCGTACGATGTAGGATTTACTATCTACTAGCAACTAATAGTAAAATAGATAACAAACAAATTGTGCATGTGTTGGGTTCAAACAAAAAGCCCTTGTGTTGGGTTCTCTACAGTTCAGTTGGGTAGCTTAGTTCAGGTGAAGCTAAATCTAAAATTTTGGGCCTAATTTTTTGCCATTAAATGTGGCCTGGTTAAATGAAAGCTGGCAATATTTTTCATTGTTTTTGTCTAAATTTTCCCATCCCGTAATTTTTGAGGATGTCCAGGCACATGCATGGGTTATAAAAAAATTTATTGTTGATTTCTGGTCATTTTTATCGAGGCTCATTATGAGGTAGAGACCAAAAATCATGGGCCAAGGCAGAAAAGATCGCAGGTGTGCGGGGAAAAACGATTAGTCGCCAGCGACAAAAATCGCCGTCGCTGGCGACAAAAACCGCTAGTGTGCACTAGGCTTCAGTTTCATCTGTAGCTAGGAAAACTATGTGAAATTAAAAATTTGGGAAAATTTAGGAATATGCTCAAGTGCCTAAAAGGCCGTTCTGACAGGGCTTAGTGACTTAGTCTTAGTCTGTCTTTAATAAACAAATCTGGATGTAGTGATTTTGCCGTCAAACATTTCATAATGATTTACAAAAGTCTTTTCAATATTTTTACCCTAGTTTCTTTTATTCAAATTATTCAGTCAAATTATTCAACTAAACAAACCTCGCTACTGTCTGGAAAGTTCAAACGAGGCTGCCTTATCGACTCCGAAACAACAACTGCTCGAACCACAACATAAGTATCTCTTTTTAATTTCTGCAAGAAAACGACATCCGTAAATGCATGCTTCACAGTCATAATCTCGGGGTAGTTTAATACGATAGTATTAGGCCCCGTTTACATGATACCGTTTTCATTTGATATCGGATTCGGTTTCCCAATCCGATATGCAATTTCTCCCTGTTTACACGATACCGTTTTCATATCATATCGGATTGGGGCTCTGTCTACACGAATACGTTTTGGGTGGGCGCTGCGGGAATTTCGCTTTTGTTCTACATTCTCTGCGCAGTAGCATTTTGTTATTTTGCCAAGGAAGCCATCTAGGCGCCAAATCCGAAGCTTTCAGGGAACAAGAACTTTGCGAAATTATAACTAAACTAACTCAGTATGGGGAAAGAGAAAACCAAAGAAGATATTTTTACATGGACTGATCAGGAAATCGAACTGTAACTGGAAACAGTAAAGGCTCATTCTTCGCAATGCTCATACGAAGGAAAGGATTTGGAAAGCATCAAATCAAAATATGACAAAATAAAAAAATTGTTTATCGAAAGGTACCCAAAAGAATCAGAGGAAGAATTCCCAACATCTTTGAATATTTGACTGTTTCTGATAATGAGGCATCGTTTTCATTTCATATCGGATTCGGCTGTTTACACGGCATATCGGATTCATTTGAAAACGCATTCAGATCGTTTTCATTTGAAAACGCAAAAACGGTATGAAGCGTATCGGATTCATTCGTTCTCGTGTTAACAGAAGGCCAATCCGATATCAAATGAATCCGATATCAAATGAAAACGGTATCGTGTAAACGGGGCCTTATTGTGTAGTAGAAGCTTGAATACAGAAAAATTTCCACAAGTGGTGTAATATACCTTTGCGAATGTTGATTCAACAAGACTTGAGTTTATTTTGATAGTTACGCTCTCTCCACGCGCCATTCTCCCTAAATCGCACTTGAAAACCTGACACTGGCCTGTGAGACAATCCTGGAAAGAATATTTTTCAGTTGAATGTCACAGCACTAAACAAGATGGAACTTCACTATTTTAGTGAAAACAAATATCAACTGTTCACAATGAAGTATTTAATATTTTTAAAAAACACTAGAATTGGGTGGCTAAGAAATTTACAATCCAATACTGTTCAATAATTCCAGCAGGCTCTAGATAATAAAATTTCTGAACCTGGACAGTTTCTTTATTCAAGTGAATTCACCTTGCTCCATGTTTTTGGTCACATTATCATCAAATCTTCCATTCAAGAATAAACAATATGAAAAATTGTATCCAGAATGAAGGCATGGTTTTATTGTGGAGAGGAGAGGGCGAAAACCTTCAAATCAGTGAGGAAACCTGGAGTCAGAGAGCACGCCTAAAAGTAACTTTGTTTTATGTGCATTCTCTTTGACTCCAGAACGGACGGTCGCCTCACTCATTAAAAACCTTCTCTTGATCGTCTCCCCAACAAGGTTGTTCATTGTAATATGTGCTCAGTAAAGTCGTGCAATGAAGATTAGCATAATTTTCAAAACGAGGCCATGTGATGACGTATTTATCAAATTTTGATAAAATGATTCCGTTATGTAGACAATGCCTTATACCTATAAGACAACCGAGAGAAATTATGACAACGAACGTGAAGATGCGAATGGAGAACAATTCTCGTTAATCACAACCACTTAAAAATTCATTATTCGCTGTTGAATTTGTTCCCGCATAATTTTTTGCCGCAATAAAAAGATTTTTATCGAACAGGGTAACCAGAAACAAACTTTAAAGAGAAACAAAAAACTAGTCCTAATAACAGGAGATAACCAAACAGAGTGCTTTGGATTGGAAGCCTGTTAGGTAGAATGTACTGGACCGGTGCTCATTGTACCCGAAATTCGTTATCAGGGGACCTGAGACTCGCTGGTGAAATAAAAGATCTGAGATAAATTTGATATCCAGTGTCTTATCTGTAGATCGCAATGCGCAATAGAAGACATATAACCAGAGCCAAAAAACACTCGTCTTTCTTCCGAAGGTTAACAATTCTCCAAAGAAAACAATCAAACTTGGAGATAGAGATGGAATATATTTTCAAGAACTTCCTCAAATGAATAGAGCGTGCTATCACCAAGGCTTCTTAACTCAACAACAGGGAAAATCACAAAAATACCACTTTGTCTTTAATTGAACGGCGTTTCCTTCTGTTCACGGTTTGCTTTCTGTCATTGCCAGTTGGCAGATTCAGCTGCAGGAATAAAATTGAGGCAGTCAATGATTATAACACGAATGAAGATTATTGTGTCCTGCTACATACACCACATGACGAAATTCGCTTTCATGCTACATGAAACATGCCATATCTAAATTACTCTAAATGAAGCCTTTGTGTAGGCTTCATACGTTGATCTTGAGGGATGTTTGCTAATTTCGATGTAACATATAGCAAACTTTGATATTTATAAGATGTTTCAAAAATAAATTGTTTGGTTTGCACTGTACCTGAAGTCCAAGAGGATTGTAAGATGAATCATTGACGTAACAGTTAACAGGTCCTTCAGCCTAAAATTGTAAAGGGATGATATTTCAAAACATAAAGCATGATTCAGTGGGTTGATTCTGGTGTTGATTGGATAATTGAGCAGTAGGATATTTGGTAACTGAAAAAAATGATAATTAAAGAAAAAAGTCTTACATGAAAGAAAACTAGAAATAAGAGAACTTTGAATAGGGCAAGATCGCAATAGTCTCAAACTGCCCAAAAAGAATTATATTTTATAGCAGAACATAATTTCTTTCAGGTCATTGACAAAAGGAAGAACCATATTGAAGGGCTTCTCTATGAACATAAACTTTCAAGCAGAGATGAACTGAACAGCAAATATGTTATTTCTCAATTTTGGTGTAGATGAAGCATTTTTGCTTTATTGTTATTTCTAGAGTTGAAGACAAACCCAAAAATTATAAATAGATGCAAACGATACTTGAAGCCCAAAACCCGCTTGCAAAGCACAAAGAATATTTTGGAAATGTCTACCCGGAACTAATTGCAACTGCTAGCTGTTTCTCAATAATCATAGTTCGTATAACTTAGTTTAGTATATAATCGTCTCTAGGTTCTTTGTTTCTGCTAAACAACATACACAAATTTGAAAAATTCTTCAAATGCTCAAAGAGAAGACTATAAATGACTTCTATTCACGTGCCGATATTTTATGACAATGGTTGCGGATAGCGACATTGCCTATAGTCTATTGTGGGCAATGATACAATAACAATGGTACATATCAAATGGCATAAAACCTACCGTTATTGAAATCAAATTCAGAATGTAATCATTTTCCACTTTCTCAGGAAAATAAATGTCCACCCTGGAATTGTCAACTGTGCTTGGGCCTTTGTTCTGTATCTAAAAATGAAAGTAAAATTTCAAGATATTTCTATTATGGACATGAAAGTAGAAGCTAAACCATTAGAAGCTTTAGAGCGAACTTTTTCATTTCAAAATAAATTTATACCACCAGCTTAACGAAAAGAAGCAGGAAAGCCTTTTTCAGTTCTTTGATCTAATGTGAAATTCTGTTAGCTTGATTCATAATTAGATTCAACCTTATTTGTCTGCGAATTGTTGTCTTTTTATTGCGCTTTCCTCAGCTTTATCATTTATTACCATATGATCATGCTAGTCGTAGAAATACTTTTACTCACCAAAAATGAATGGAGTATAAAAGTGCCAATGTCTTTTGCAGATCTAGAGTTGCTATATATTACTCGCTCTGGAATTGCTACCCTGCGAAATTTAGTAAAGCATATAACTGATGAATTTCAAACTTTGATAAAAAAGAGAACAGAAATCACACATTAACGTATGTTTTGCTACAGTACATGTTAGTGGTGCATAGTTATCAAGAAAAACCAAATTATACAGAATTGTGAAGGTACATCGTTTGAATTGAAATAATTTAGCAACTAGAAAAACAATGTTAAAATTTTCTAATTGAGAACATAGCAATATCCTCAGCTTTTGAAACGAGTAATTTCAAGACTAACAGGGATTGTAACATCAGTTGCTGCAAATAATTTAACCAACGACGTGTTTTTCCTGTTGTAACTAATGTGACAATCCATCAAGACATCAGACTGGATTATGTTTAAGCATCTCTACAGACAAACGAGTTAACATACCCTGAAATGGTCATGTCTGCAACCAAAACAACATTGGCATTCACTACAACTGTATTGTCTGCTATATTGTTTTCTTCGCTATTTCTAAGAAAAAGTAGAAGTTTTAGTTTAAATGTTCGAAATAAGCAGTGAGAAGATTTGATAATAATCAAATTGCTAAGTAACATTTTTGATATCCAGCTTTCACGGGGTATCACTTTCACAAATAAGAAAATATTCTAAGCTTTAGCAGAAATTTTAGCTTTAGTAAAGACTCAAGGTAATTACTGTAATTAGAAACATTTGAGAATAATGACAAAATATTAATCGCTGTATAGCGGCATTTTTACGTCACTATGAGGCACAAAAGCAGAAAAATTGTGACGCAAAATTTTACATTGCATTTTGCTTTCGATACTCTAGCGTTTTGGTTTACAGAGCAATTTTTCTGTTCTGGTTTTCTTGTAGATCTTCTCAGAAAAAGATGAAGTGACAGGAGGCCCAAACATGATAGGATTCGATGTTGTGTACGGTAGACTAGCAGGCAATGCATGTTTAATAGCATAAAACTTACGTTGTGACATTCACATGAAAACTCAAGTAATCAACGACAGTGTGAAGACTCTTAGCTGTTAATCTGACTTCAAAGTGCTCCTTAAATTGAATAATACAGGAAATTGACGCAAGACAGAATGACAGAAGCTTTGTTTAAGGAACAGCTTATTTACAATATGACTGTAAATGGCCTGAATTGAAACGATATTCTTCAGTTTGTTGATAAACAAAAAAGCACTTTCAAACTGTATTTTGATATCAAGTGATTGGTATGAATGATAAACCTATGATAAGAATATATAGCTATATTTCTCTCAAAGCGTAAAAGAATTTAATAGCAGGATGCATTGACTAAGCAGTATGAAGTCAGGCTTAACGCATTTCAAAGGAGAAGTTTGATTTAGAGATTAAATGTTTTAAATAAGCAGTATTAATAGCAATTTTACAGATCTAGGAAAAATATATCAACTTTGTTGCTTAGTTATGTGATGCAGAAAAAAAGCAGTGCTTTACCTCTTCTAAGTTGCCAATAGGATTTCCAGCATCAAGTGCTAACTGGTTGTGTGTCTCATTAAAATATTCGAAGTTCCAATCAAGAAATGCGAATTTTTCCTATAACGAATAGATTGACTGCTTCTAAATGCTGCCAGAGTCTATATGGCTAGTGTTGTGTTTTTCGCCTCAACAGACATATAAGAACAGAAAATAAAACTGTTTTCCAATATTAAACTTTCAACATCCAAACCGCACAAAAACAACTCAAAGAACAATGCTTTTGAAAAAGTATGTTACGTTATACAAATGGTGTTCACTCACGCATTTTGATTAACACCTTTAAATAAAGCGTCTTTTCGAAAACTACAACAGCTAGCCCGTTTTAACAAGAATAAAAATGTCTTTTATGAGAGGATATATTTGATTGAAACTAAAGAATTGTTTCTTTTAATTCAGACCAATGTCTGTAATATTCTAGTAAAAAACATTTGCACAATTAGCGTCAAACACGGGAAAATGTTGAACGATTACTCTTCATATGAAATGCCTGGTCATTACTACATCGATGATAAAAAATTTGAACCAGAAAGTATATACTCCTGGAATGTTTCGACTTAAAGTAACAAACCGTTATTATTAAGTATTGATAATTTGCTGCTTTGTAACACAATACAATAATAATGATAATAATAACTATAAAAATAATGCAAATTGCCTGAAAAATAGTTGGTGCTAATAAAGGCCAACTTTACCCTATTTACAATATTTTCAAAATTAAACTTTAGAATACAACTGTAGCAGTTTAATTCGGACTTTTTCCAAGCTTTGATCTTCATTTTGAACTTATTGTTGTTTTTGTAGGTTTATTTTGGTCTGGAAGTCGGTTCCAAACTATGCTATCCCTAAAGAAAGAGTCTCGTTTCCATATTTATTAGTCCCGGTTTTAGAAGTTTGGAGAAGATCCTCTGTTCTTTAAGTAATATGGAAAAACTTCTCTATTGAAGAACTCCAGCAAGAAGAAGGGTTCCCATAAGTAATACATTTGCATGCGACTAGCATAAGTTTTGAATTTTTTTACAGGTATTATGATTTCCACGTTCTAATGTAAATGCTCTTCAAAACTTTAATTTATCAAAATAAAGAAAAATACTAAAGATAATAGAATATAGTTTATATTTTATTATATGTCAGAATGTCTAGAGTGTAGAAAAGAGTTTATCTTTGAGAAAACAAAGGATTGTGGTGATATGAGTGTAAAATAAACTACAATCAATATTGTAAGTATTTTGCTTTAATCTTTAGCATCTCTAAACAATAAACTTTTAACATAAAATCCTTCATTTTTTCTTATTAATAAGTTGCAAGAAATATCTTAATAAACATACCTTTAGGTTGTGGACACCTATAATCGATAATTGCCTTGGAATAAGTGTAGTTATCTTCGTAAGAAATGCATTCTCGCCGTAATTTTTCACAAGTATTTCGAAACTAAAATTCTCTGTAACACCAGCGTGAATTTCTGTTTTGTTGCTTTAAAAGGAAATAGGAACAATTATAAATTAACCTTTTAGAAGATGTTAGCTGGATAAGTACAAAAATGCAAACACGTGAAATCGAAGAGAAGAAACCTATAAACGCCTTTTGATTTCCCTTGAAAAGAGCAAATACAAACAAATACAAATAGTAATGCAAATTGAAGGAAGATAATTTTATCACAGTTAAAAAAGGAACTTGTGGAATAGCCCTTTTCAATCTTTATATTACATATAGAAGATTTTATTGCAAAATAACACGTCTTATCTTATAAGAATTCTATTTTGTTTGCCATTACATGAAATTTGATTCATCTTCAATATCTTACTGAGGAAGGCGGATTTTTGCCATGACTTTTAGGTCTGCACCACAAATCATGTCAGTCCCACAATTTTTTGAATACGTTGCCTGAAAGGTATGTAGATGACCATTGTTATAATAAATACCAATAGGACGTATATCTAAAGCTAGCAGAATTAGAAGATAAGAAAATTAAGTGAAATTGAAACTTTGCAAAGAAAATGGCTCAGCAAGCGAGAAAGAGGGTTGGAATCTTCAAGTTTGTTTTGGAGAAGAAATGAACAAAAGTGTAAGACAAAAACAAATAACAATGGGACTGTTTAATCCTACAGAAAGCTAAAAGAACAGTCAGCCTGTCATCGTTTATGACCCGTAGATCTTGAAAACATCTTAGATACTTTCTCAATTTTTCTCACAGAGGGGGTGGGGGATTGGTACAGCAAACGGCGATACCTTGAAAGACCGTCTTGCGTTACGTCACGCTCAGCAAAACCCCCTCCATCTTCCCAATCAAAAATAAAACAATTGTTACTTATCAACATTTCCAGAGCAGCTGAATTTTGAAATACTTGTTCAAATGCTGAATATTGAAATACCCTTGTTTTAGCTACAAATGTTAAGTTATTTGCAACACCCTTAAAGAGCTAGACACACCCTATTTTATCAACAAAATTATTTCAGTAAACCTTCGAACAATTTTTTTATGGTTCGCTTCTTGAATGGCGAAAAACGTAGATTTGTCGAGAAGAATCTATCAAGCATTGTCGTTTTTTATTTTCATGAACGTGTAGAGCCACAAAGCCCCGAAGAGGAAGAAAGATCATTCGATCCAATACAGCAAAGGTTTTAAAATTAGAAAAAGAGCCCTCTCATATCTTTGAAGTGAAAGCTAGTAGGTATCAGTACCACTAAAAAGAACACAGCGTGTAGCAAAAAGATCTAAGTACTATTGTCAAGGCAGAAAAAAGTAGAAACTTGGTATTAAGCAATCAAGTAAGAAAAATTACAAAAAAGATAAATGACTACTCGCCAAAGCTTTTGCCGATGTATCCCTCATTATTGGACATAGCTTGCAACTAGTTGCAGCTTGGTACTTGAAGGTTGCCTTAAATACCACCGGGTCATCAATATTATCCGGAGCTTTCTGGTAAAGATCATGTAAAAAAACAGAACCCGCATCATTGTAGGTAGATGTATGCATTTTTAAAATTGAAAATATTGCTCGATTATCAAAAGTTGAAAAAAAGCAGAAAAATAAACATTGACTCGAAATCAGCATGTTTAGATTTTGTAATATTATCATAAATAAACTCACTTCCATATAGACCAGATGATCAACACAGACACGATGGTATATGTGAAGCCTTTTTGAAAGCCTGTATTTTGGCACTGAGTTTTCAACAAAAACACCACGCTTTTTATTATCCAGGAGCTTTTCATCAATGATGTATTCATATGTAACTTCTATTGGAAAACAATATAGAGAAAAGTCATTTCAGGGTATAGCTTGAAAATATAAAAGCAGTGCTTAAAATACTTTTTTTCTAATGATAGTTCTCTAAAATGAACTCTCACACGTCGTGGCAATTTCTCATTGACAATAGAAACATTTGCATTTAACAACAACGACTTTTTTCCTGGTGATAAGGGAAACCTATGTTTGAATAAGTTTCAAACGCACTGGACGCTCTGAATAAACCCTGCTACTTGTCATGATATGGTCGAATACAATGCCAAAGTGTTGCAAAGAAAGTAAGTTCTAAACTTTTGCTTGGCCTTCAGGCTCAGTCTTATGTTGAAGCCCTTACTTACAGAACATCAAACAGAAAGCTTTGACAACTCAAAGAAACGAAAATCAAACTTACCAACAGGTAGAGAAACATTATCACCCCCAATAGCGGCACAAAGTGTAGTATTCAAGCTGATATCAAGAGAAAATTGATGGTTTTAGCTTTTTGTTTATAGAACTAAACCTGCAGTATATTTTATTCAAAAAATAATAATTTTGGAAACTTTTCATTTTCAATTCAACTAAAACAACAATTGCAAATTCCCCTATCATAAAGATAATTTGCAACTGGCTAGCCTGGCTTTACAAAGAAAAAGCCTATTTCAAGCACAAACAAAAGAAATTAAGAGAAAAAAGAGAAACTGTATTCGTCTATGTTTGTTTTGGAAGTTGTCAGAAGCAGAAATCGTTTAAAAAGAAGACTTAGATACGATGCTATGATATGCATCATAAAGGTTGAAGAAATGAAAATCGCAAAACACATTAAAATCAGTGATGATTAGTATGAAAAAAACGGTATTCAAAGGAAGTGTCTTATTTCGTACGGCAAATGTCGGTATGGATGTATTTACAAATGAAATATTAATTTTTCACAGACACATCGATTCTATTTTTCTTTTATTGCCAAGCTTGAAGGGGGCTTTTGGATTTCTCTCGTGATGACACAGGTCATTTTAAAGCATTGCTTAACCAAAACTTCAATTTAAGAATAAAACCAAGAAAAATTCAGGCTCCTCGACACGAAAAACGCTGCAATCGTGGAATGGCAGAGTGGAATATTGTTCTTATACAATAATTGTCAACTTTATAGAAAATATCTTTTTTAATTACCTCTATCAATAACAACTCAGAGTTTCTCAACAAATTTCTTAATAATTTTTTTTAGATATTTAATAAAAATATCTCGTTTTACATTTTGAAATGCTTTATTCACATCCATTTTAGCTTACTGGACAAAAGTTTGCTTACACCCAGAATTTTTATACTCTTTTTCTGCACGCCAGGGATACTACACAATTCATCTTTCTTTTATCTATTTCAGCACGCACATCCCATAGCAAACTGCTTTAGATTACTTTTTGACTCGAAGAGTTTCTTGAATAGGATAAATTTTTCAATGGCATACTTAAATGTGCAACTTTTCGGAATATATTGTTTGTATCCGAAATATATTAACATATAAAAAATTTATGGGTCTATTAGTAAATTTGCAAACAAAAGCAGTTTGAAGATCGCTTTCATCGTAACAAGAACAATAAATGGTTTACCAAAGACGCCTTGATCCATCGATTCCGGTACAATTTTGCTCTGTAGAATTCGAGTTAAGTTGCAAGTGGCTCAAAGTAATCGTTCCTTTCAGCATTACCACTGGTTTGGATCTGTAGCAGAAAAAAAGACAACCAACGCTGCAGCTTAGCAATTGATAAAAGACAACCATTGTTTAGTCATTTTATTTGTCGGTAATTCATCGTCATGAAGATTTTTTTGTAATTGCTGCAGACTTAAACATTCCTTTCTAGGGGTGACATGTTTTCCTGGGCTACATGTTTTGGCATAGTCGTCTAGTTTTTGAGATTATAAAAAGGGAAAAGGGACGGAAAATAGAGCTACAACGGTATATTCTCCTTTATTACCTATGAGTATCAAAATAACATCAAAAAGCAGAAGCATAACCCTTTTGATCCTGAGAGTAGGAAGCTTGGATAGCTACCAAAACGAAGATAGATCGACCCCAGGAGATGAATCGTAAAAGTATTGAAGATCTTTATTGTTTTCAGTTAAAAAATTTACTAAAGGTTTAGGGAAACTATAAATTCACACACGTCATGCTTGTCAGCAAGGCTCCTTCGTATCAAAGAGCTAACTTGGCTACACGTTAAACATTACATACTGTAAGTGTAAAATAGCTACACTTGAAACGAAAGGTTATTGGTTTACCCAAGAATGAGCTGGTCCGGGACGATTACTTACTGAAAGTTCTTTCATTTATTTGTGTAACAATACGGGTTTCTATTATAACGGTGGAATAACAAAATCGTTGGTGAACCGATGGGCTAGGCCAAAGGGCCTAGGCCCCGAATAAACAACACACAAACCCTAGAACGTTACATTTACAAGGTTGCTTTCAATTCTGTCAATTCTTGCTAGTGTGGACTAACATACCAATGGAAATATCAAATGAGACAAGAAATAAACTGAAATAATCTTTTATAACTACCTTAAGAAGACAGCTTTGTCTGAGAGAAAACTTCCTACTGCCAGATCTGTCGAAAAAAACAAGTCGTTACTTTTCTTATTAATGATATCATTTCTTGAAAGCTGCGCAGTTATAAACAGAAAGTAACGAGGTACCTGAATATCCATTATCATCCATATCAAGCCCTCCGGATAAAGAGCTTCCAAATGCCGTCAATGACAATCCAACGAGGCCAAACTCCGAGGGAACAATTTTCTAGAAGAAGAAATTCAATGAGACAACAAAAAAGGGATGTCTGGTTTACAAATCTTCTTATCAGGTTGAAAAAGGAAGCTTTCAGTGCAGACTCTATCCCGTGCACCAATAATTTTTATGGGGATCTAGACAACATATTCACTCTCATTCTTTGCAAAGAAGACGATATGTAAACCATACACAAGAGACAAATAGAATTAAACTGTTTCTTAAAGGGAAAATTGAATCAATGATATCTCTTGTATTACAAAATGTGACATGATGATAATTGCTCATAATCGGACAACAATCATCATAAACAAACTACAATTTGAGGAAAAGCAATTGTAAATTTGACAAGATTCCATCCAGTGGCGTCGTTTGACGGAGTGGAGAGTCATCGAAAGTAAAATTTAATGACGAAAACGATAAGTCAAGAAAGAATCAAGTGTTGTATGGCCTAACGAACGGCGATTTTACAATCAAATTAACAATTTAACGGACCAACTGAAGATTTATCTACAAACTGGTGAAGAATTGACGGATGTCACACCCTCTACACTCCCGCTAGCTTCGCCTCCTGATTCTGTTGGTCACTTTGGTATTCTGCAGTTGACATAATGACATAATATACCTATATGAAGCCCTGTATGCCGGGCCGAAGATTAGTATACGTTTAATTTAATTAATTTTGGAAAAAATTTTCTCTTATAACATTGGATTCTCGTCGCCGTTTTGCTTTGTTCCTGAATTCTATTTTCGTATTTATATTATACTCATTGTAAGATTCACAGAATTCGGCGGACAGCCTATCCTACGGTTCTTTCTTCTCGCACATAATATACCAATGTTATCGCTATTTAGGCCCATGTGAAGCAAAGCTCGAAGATTGACTCCATATAGAAATTTTCTTCTCTTTCGATTTTGTCAAAAAGAGTAGAGAGTCCTTTTCTTGAAAATGAACTCGACGTTCTAAAAGTGCATTTGAACTTGTGCCTTTTTCTCGCACATGACCATGTTTGATAGAATTAGACAAAGTCTGGACGGATAAAAGTAGCAACAAAATATTATATAGCTTGCAATACACTCCAATATCAACAAACGAGTACCTGAGAATACTGGTTTGACAACCCATTTCTTGATCCTTCATAGATGTAAACAACACCTCTGCCGTCAACTCCTCCATTTGGAGCTCCAATTGCTACATCTTTGAAAACAAATTGGTAGAATAAAGAGGTTGAACATGTTACAATGCCTGCAGAAATATTTGGAAAATCCAACAGCATGAGTGTTTTTCCTATATTTCAACTTCTTTTTCACAAATGCTACAGCTCCAATTCAACATATCCATAGTTAAGGTAGATATCATGCAACTCCTATACAAGACTCAAAATGCTCTAAAGACGTTAAGTTAATCGAATTTCGCGCGAAGGAGGAGGGCTAAATTTGATCTTGAAAATTTGAAGTTTTTTTCAAGGCTTTTAGTCCAGCAGCCATCAGATGAACTTGACATAGAGTACATAGGAATTTTTTCATATTATCTAACGTAGCCGTATTTGTGTACTTTATTTATTTGTGTACATCAATACTTAACTTATTGAAATTTTAAGCGAATATTCTTTTTTAAACAGCTTCTCGATGATCTCTACAGTTACAGAACTTAAATAAACATTTTCATACACATGACAGATAGCTGTCAAGATATGCAAATGTTCAACATCATTGCCGGACAATGTGCTGGCATGTTATGTGGTTCGGGAGCTTTATCAGTGGGGGAGAGGGAAATTCTGAGCGCCGAAGGTTGGGGCAGATAATTTTGCAACGTCTGATTGCTCTTGTCATCATTAAGAGTTTAAAAAACAAAAGAAGGCAAATGATATGACGTCAAGCAAAAACATTGTCTCATGTCTCTTGAAATGCAAAGGCTTTTTGATTCCCATTATCAAATAACATTGGGAAAGAAGCACATCCAAACAAGACGTGCAACACAATCGATGATGGATGACATCGTTGTGTTCTTCTACTATCTTTCTTTTACTGATGAACTCCTTATTATCCTGACTTATTATCCTGAAAATCTTCCAAGTAACCTTTCGATACATGAAGCAAAGCAATGCAAAAGCATCTTTATCTGTTGATATAACTTTGACATTTTTCGTTCTTGAATAGCCGCATGTATTTGGTAAAGGTGATATAATCTGCCTCACCGAAAAACCACTGCAAACCTTTTCTCTTTACTATGCCGCCACGCTTGTGGTTTGTGTTCTTAGAAGTGTTCGTTATTGGTACTTCGTTTCTGTCGTATTGGATAATTCAATAAGAAGCTACCAGTGATGGCTTCGATCAGAGTTTCTTTTGTTATTTCTGATGTCCATATCTTTTGAAGGGAACCCCATTTGTATGGAAAGTTGATGAGATCTTTTGAACAGTTACGCCGGAGCCGGGGGAGGCTTGGGGGGCTATTGCCCACTCAATTTTTTGCGGAACTATGATATTCAGGTAGTGGCATCAAAGATTATAAGAAAAACAACAACAAAAGTTTGCCATGTTGTCTAGAGCTCCCTCCCCACTCCAAAATGCGCTCCGGCGCACCTATAGAAAGTACCACTCCTACCTAGCCTTTTATCGAATTTTATGATTTTTTAAAAGTAACGAACAAATATAACAAATTCCTCTGATGAATGAAGTGTCCCATGGCTATATAAATAAATATATATACCTCTGAATATATCCAGCAATAGTCCCGTTTAAGGCTTATACACACCAGAAAAACATAGCAATTTTTTACTGTTAAACTATACCCAACTTATACAACGTCATATCAAAATCAAACGGCTCAGTCAGTGACATAGTGTCGCAGAATTGTCATTACATTTCCTCCAATAGAAAAATAAGATAGATTTGAAGACTGAGTTCACAATTTATCATATTGCAATATTTAAATGATATCAATGTTACTATCGTATCAATTTGTTTCATTGAAATTTTATGATAACATTTTTTACGAGCGATCCCTATAAATTTGGTAATTTAAATACATAGGGCACTGTACCCGATAACCATATTGTTGGTTCTCCATACAGGTGTCCTATGAACTAATTGACTGCATTAACCCTAACTTCTTTCAAGTAAACTAAAAATTGGAACTTTACTTTAATCTCTAAAACTTTAAATTGCAAAAATGTTGCTAAATGATAATTTTGAATTTGAGTCTCAATTTAACAAAACATTTGCCACAAACGATCTCGTCACACTGCCTATGGACAATAACATTGTGGGGTCCGATTAAAATAACGAGTTTGCATCAATGAAAAATACACGATCAACGGGTTTGGAAAGGAGCGAGGGGGTTTTGAGCAAATGCAAACGATGGAAATGCAAAGTTTGCATCAATGAATTCGGACCTCACATCGGGGCCCCCTTCCCTTCTTTGACGCGGCCTGTCTGTCCATTTTCACTAACCCTATCCAGGTGCCCCGTACACAAATACCCAACGCCCCTACCCCCTTCTCCCAACCCAGTGATCCCTCCACTTCAAAAGCCAGGCCATGTCCTGCTTATTCCCACCCACTCCATTTAAATGCCCCTATATACAGATTAGACACTTAACACCTCCTTCTTATTTCAACCCTTCATATCTATAGCAAAAACAAAACCAAACGACATACAACATGGCCATGTTTTTTTATTTCAATAGCAGGTGGGGCAAATAGCTGCATAAAAAATTTTGCCCAACAGTTACAGGTTGGCAAAAACGGAATTTGATCCATATCTAATAATCCGTAAAAAAAAAAAAAATTCATACGTTCCCAATGTCGAGGTAAAATTCAAGGTTCGGCCGCCGGACCTTTTTGACGGTGGTTTACCCTCTAATAAAGACAACCCTTGGCATTCAATACACGATGATCAAAATAAAGAAACAATATGGCACGCAGAGTGTATAATTGCAATTCTAATTGATTTACCTTCATACCCGTCATTGTTCAGGTCTCTTGCACCGACCATCGACATCCCAAATCTACCTCTTGGCCCGGCATCGCCGCTCAACTTAACAGGCGATAAATCCAAGTTGCCCTGAAATATTGATCGACAATTTTATTATAAATTGCTTTTTCTAGCTCTGAATTGAATCGAGACACAATATCAAAGATTGAAAGATATAGTTCAAGACTAGGCTGTGGTAAATAGAAGGTACAGTACCAAAGTTTAAAATATTCCATAGGTAAATATTGCAGTAACTATTTTCCATAGATTTAAACGACCATTAGAAATGTTTTTAGAAAGGGGTCCTTTTCAGTCGACACAGAGTATGCTTTGTAGGCTTTTATCAGAAACGGAATACGTGGCTGTTTTGCTGTCCAACTTAAAATAACATTGATTGATGTTCTCCTTTGAAAAAATAAGCCCTGTTCCATACCCTTTTGTTGTTGATGTAAACAATGACGATACCCTCCTCTATGCTAGTGTAATAATACGGTGCTCCAACCAGGAGGTCTTGATATCTGCAAAATATAGAATACGATAAATCATTTCATAACAGCTGATTGCCCATAATATTTTCATCATAAAATTTTACTCAGTAGGTCAAAAAACAAAAAGTAACAGACCATGATAGGAAAACAGCTATCTTAAAGAGCAGATGAGTTTATGTGAAATCATGAAATATATTGTATCAGATATTGTATAATTTTCTTGGTTTTACATACCCATCACCATTAACATCTGCTACTGCCAAGGAACTTCCAAAATATGATCCTATCTGGAATAAGAAATGAGATGTTGCATAAAGTGCCGAAAAGAAAAGTTTCCCAAAGCAATGATCTCAATCCGCTTACAGGCGACAGGCAATCTAGGCCCATAAAACGAATGTTCAGTGGAAGGTAGGATACACCTATAGCTGCATCATCCTTTCATTTGATTAAGCTGACATTTAAACTGTAAAAAGTTTTTCGTAGATCAAAACAAAAGCCAATCTTTGCTTATGGTTTTCGTGAATTAGCTTTAGACTCACCCTTGACACAATTCAGGCCCAAACAACCTTAGATTTTTTTGAACGCAGTATTTAAGCTTGAAATAAAGAAGATAATACGACAATTGAAGTAATTTTTACGTCATTTTCTTATTACTCGCGCTACAAAAAAATGGTGCAAATGACTACAAGTGGAAGTAGAAGTTTGTATCCTTTACCGAAGAAACAAAAGATTGGAAGAGGTTTTCGCACTCTCACAACCACGGTATATCCGCCCCTGTATATATATATTTATGATGAAATATAATGCTTATTTACACTGCTGTGAAAGTTTCTAAAGTGGTATGTCATAAGTTCATCGATCATAAGAAAAAATCTATAGAGCTGCTGGTTCGAAGCAATCACGAAAAAACATCCAAAGAACCATAAAATTAATTATCAGCATACTTGCTTTGTTGGGTTCTTGAGCTCATCAAGAATAGAAAATTTAGTGGTCTGCTTGTAGATTTCAACCTGCAGAAAATCCAATAAACAAGTGATTAAGGCATTTGCAAGAGAGCGTTAATAAATTTGGATGTTTAGCTGATAGAATTTGTCTATCATCTATCTAAGTACAATCTTTTTAACGATTTTGGAAATTATGCTCCATTTTAAGGCTGCCTAGGAGTGAAATTCATTATATCAGTTTTGTAGATGCTTTTAAACTTCTTGCTCGGAATGTCATTGATGAATTCTGGCATTAATTGTTGTACAAAGGTTACTTAAATTTTTCTAGTCATCAGTATGTTGACGATGAAAAGAAACGAGTGCAGGTTTCAAAGCATAGTTGAACATACAGTGCCTCTTCTCAAGTCTGCAACTGGGGCACCAGCAACCAAAACTACAAAAGGCAAATAATGATTCACTTTAACAGAAAAAGGTGCAACTTGATACAAAAGACTAGAATATAGAAGGATCATAAATGAGAAAAAGTAAGGAAAATACAAAAGATAGGGAAAATCACGAAATCATTGAATTGGTTTGCTTTTCTATCATAAAATAATTTTAGAAAAACAAATCAAGTCAATAATCCGATGATAGTCAGTTTTTCAGCAAGGCATTTTCTTTTTCTTTCACATTTTGAAGGCTGTTTCCATGGAAACAACATTTGAATTTGACAGTTAAGGAATACAAAATCTATGGTACAGAAGATGAAAAGAGAGCTTTACCTTCCCTTCCATTTGCATAAAGTTTGCAAAATATCACAGAATATCCTAGAATGGAAAAAGCTTACTCTTGAATTTATAAAATATAAAGTTCTCTGCTTTGTGAAAATATAAAGAAAAAATAAAATGCAGCTCAAATGCAGCAATCGAAGATTCTTATGAATAAAACAGGGCTGTCGTTGTTTATGATTGATTAATCAAACGTCCCTGCTTGAATAGAATTTAGTGTTTCTTCTACAAAATGCACTGATACAAAATTGCTGTTGCACTCTCAGGACGTGAACCCAAAAGCAACCGAGATTTGAAAATTCTCTGTAATTTCTTAGCAAGAATACTATTTACTTGAAATGCAATTTTATTTTGCTTTAGAGATTTACTTTCACTGATAGTCTTACCGGTGTAATCTGCAAACTTTGAGACAGATTTTGAAGTAAACCTTGGTGACAGAAAACTTGATTTGCGACTAAATTGGTAATGTATTAAACGTCCTATGGATAAAGGTATAATCATAAGCATTTTACAGTAAAATGAAACAGCCAAGTAACTATAAATGTTGCCATTTTTAGTTTCATTACCAAAGTAACAACACCAATATAACTGAATAACAACACCAAATGATTTCATGCAGGGCCGTGGCGAGGCAAGCCTTGTTGGGGGGTGGGGGGGGGCTGTGGACTACAAATTTACCTGATTAAAAAATAATTACCTGAAATTCCTAAGTTGCTGTCACAAACCCTTTGCAATACATTTTGTCAATCTGAATGTGTGGCATATAATTCACAACATTCATTTTAAAATGATAATAACGGATTTTGCTAATAGTCTTGCCAAATATGTTTGAAGAAAAATAGCAAGGAAATTTTGATATACTGTAAGAGATGAAAACAGCCTTTGAACAACGTTTCCTTTCCCAAAAACAGAAATTTTGTGGAAAATTTTTTGAAGTTCACAAAAGATGATAATTTACTAGAGGATTGGTTCGTAATAAGGATATACTGAGTTACAAAGGTAAGGAAAATTGTCAAGACGCACCGTTGGAACCAAGAAGACGTGGAGCTCCTCCAGCCATTTCAGTTGCCTGTGAATTGAAGTCTGCATCTATGCCATAATTACAAAAGCCAAATCCCTCCCTAGGAACTGTGACAGAACAAAAGATAATGGGTCATCAAAAAAGTTTCTACTTTGCGAAGGTTTGAGCTGTGGGATCGACTGGAGGTCACAAACATTGACAACTCTTTATATCTGCGTTTAAATACAGGGCATCTATATATACTAAGGTTGGATCCATGATCTTTTGAGATGCTAATGAAATGCAAAATGCAGACATGAATTCAGCAGTTTTGTTTCTTGCTTGGATTACACTAAGCTACTTGCACTTTCATTGATCAAGGTACAACCCTCTGAAGTATGAATAAGGACATACTATCTTCATAAAACGGTTTGTGGGAGGGTCGTTGCCTTAATGTTGAAGTAGAATAATCTAGCCCCGCTGAAACTAAATCCATATCGCCGTTGCATCTACTTTTTATGAACTATAACTACAAAAAACCTGTACAGTCTCCTCGCAAAAATTTGGCTCAATACCTAGGCGACAAGGCTCTAATCTCCATTTTCGTGAAGTGTCCTCAGCATTTACTATCTCGCATTTACCAACAGGAAAGTAATTGGCCTCGGTCTTATTGGTTCCAGACCACGCAAACCTTGGTGCACATGCCTAGCAGGAAAATAAATAAAATCTCTTTAATCTAGTTATGCTGCTACGCTACGCTGATATGTACGTAAAAAATAAGGAAGCTAGAATATACTCCTGTGTAACAAGCCTGGTGAAAACCATCCTCGGAGTTCCAGACAGGGGGGATATTTGAAAATTGAGCGACACGGGCATTTTCCACTTCCCCACGTCTCTCTGCAGGCTGTAATTTTTTCAGCCGAGTTAATCTCGAGTTGTCCTTTTGGCATGACATTCCATCCACTGCCTGTCCAAGAAAAATTTTGTTGCACCTACCACATTTGTTTCCTATCATATATAAAAAAAGCTCGCCAGACTCGTTACACGGGTTTTATAGGATGTTCGGGATTTACCATTCTATATTACACCAGACTGTCTACAAAGATATTCATAACATCTATCAAGTAATGTGTTTTTGATAACCCACATAATGTTTCCAACAGATTGATCGCTACCGGGTCAAATTTGACATCTTAAAAGATCTTAAATCACTGTTGAATTGTCCTGGCTTTATTAAAAAACCTCTTACGAGTCAAAATGGTACACAACACAATAAAAGATACGCAAGCAACCCATAATGCATTTTCAGACAGTTTCAAATCAATTTTGGTTAATCTGTAGCAGTTTATGTCTACATCAGTTTATGTCTGTAGCAGTTTCTGTGATTGTCTGGATCGTCGCCTGGACAGTTTGCACCGCGCGCAAAGGCTCATTGTTAGCAATTAATCTCTAACAGAAACATTTTTGATACCATTATGTAGTTTTTTCTGCTCCTAACTGTGGCCCCCATCCATTGCCCTGTTTGGTAATAATCGCTCCTCTGACTCGTGCCTATAAAGATAATAAAACATATCCATATATTGTCTAATGTGTTGCTAAAAGAAATTGGTTTGTAAAAAAATTGACATGCAACTCCGAGCTAAAAGTTTTGGGGTCTTGCTTTTGGGGTGTAGTGGGTGTAATACCCCAAAATACTTCATGACTTCGTCGGCAAATCCTCACTTTGTCGGTAAAATCACCTATCCGTAGAAGAAGTAACACCTAAGTTCTTCTCCTCCTATGTCTTCGTCGGTAAATTTTTCTATCGACCACCCTACACCCCCCTAATCTGGAAGTCAAGCGACGCCACTGTCAAGAGGACCTCTAAATAATACAACATAAAGGCACAGAATAGAAAAAGGGGAAGGGTTGGGTTTTATAGTCTCCTGAAAGTACCGAAACAATATCGAATCTAGCAATAACAGATACCAGTTTCTGTCTGCAAAACAACAAAGATATGTGAAATAATTGATGTTAAGCAAAAATACAAAATTTGTTTAACTCAGTGCCTAAAAGTTTCGGGTCTTATGCAAAAAACTTTGTCGATTAAAAAACTTGCTCGTTGGAAAAAGCACTTGAGAAAAATTTTACTCGTCTCTTGACCAACCATTTCGTGCAAGTTTTCATTTCAACATTTTGATCTACAGTGGAGCCTTCACATTACGGACACCGTTCGGACCAGAGTAATTGTCCGTTGTGTAGAGGTGTCCAATCTATAGAGGTGTCCGTTAGGTAGAGGTTTCCGTTCTGTAGAGGTGTCTGTTGGGTAGAGGTTTCCGTTGTGTAGAGGTGTCTTCTAGGTGGGGGTTCCTTTGACCATCTTAGACAAATAATCTGTCCATTGTTGAGATGTGTCTGTTATACAGAAGTGTTGTTTAGAAGTGTATTGCGAGTTCCACTGTATGCTTTTGTTTGATTTCCAACCCAGTTAAATGCCAGCCCTCTTGCCTGCCGGCAGTGACTACTTTTTCTTTGGCCTTTCATCATTTCATTTTTTGCACAAACAGGGTAACTGTAGTGGCAGGAAATGTTTAAACTTCTATTAAACCATTCGTTTTCATAACAATGCAACAATTCATTTAAACAAGTACAGCAAGTATCGACGAATAGCCTTCCTCATTCCATGACTGATTCAAGTTCTTGGTTTTGGAGAATTAACATCAATTATAATTGTGGCTGAATAAAGTTGAAGCCTTTTTCTAAACTGACATTGATAAAATCTCAAACTACCTGTGCTTGGCCAATCGAAATTTCTCATAACATTGCACTGACGATTGCTTTTAGAGAGATCACATTTATAAACAGCACCATACTTTGGTTTAACTCCCATTCCAGTGTCATTGCTCAAAGGAGCCCCAACAATAAGCCTACAAAAAGTGAATTAAAAGCAACGTTAAATGCTTCATCAAGAAAGTAGAAAGAATTAATATCTTGGGAGGCAAGGCTTTTGGAAGAGCACCCATCATGGTCACCACTCAACAATCACCAAGACGTTATGGAAGATAGGGTATTGTGTCTGTAGAAATTTAACGAAAAAAGAGCACCTACTCCTCCTGCAAGGACCCTGGAAAAATATACGGGGTTGGGGCGGTTTTCCTCATGCCCCTGGACCTTAAGCCTCGGTGTTTCACTATAAGAATCCAGTAATAAAAATATCTGTTTAAAAAAATGGCAGTTCAATTTTCTGTCTTCTCCAGCATATTGTTTCTGAGGCTGTTAAGCGTGCTATTAGAATATTACAAAACATTTCGCCGAAGGAGAATCGAGGAGTTAAAAAAAGTAGTAAGGCTTTACATTGGTAGTTCCCCATCCGAAGATAAATATTCACCCTCGTCCTTAAAAGCCCAAGATTGAGATGTCTTAACCTATTCAGACAGTGTTTGCTATCGTTAACTTTGATGTCATGTTACAAACATTTTCTTATTCTTATATCAAATGTATCTACAATAAAGCCACTACGTTGGATTTGTGGGAAAAAAGGAAAAAACTGCTCTTCTCTGAAAGAAAGGAAAGTGACACAGGAATTATTGTTAGTCATTGTATACCCTGGGTGCCAGACCCAATGAAAGAGAGGGGCGGTGAAAGAGTGGGACCAGATCTTTGTTCGACTTCCACCATCTCCTTCACTGAGGCTCTGGTACCAAGGGTAGTCATTGCACTTTTCTGGCTGGTCCTACAGCAATAGTGAATCTAATATAAGAAGAAGTGAATCTAGTATATCTGTTCTTACAACGGAGGGAATATTTCTTTTAATGACATGTACTGACAAATATATCCGTAAAAATAAAACAATGCACAACAAATGACAAATGTTTTGTCCGCAGGCGGTTATCAGGAAATTGACTCAAATGCATGCTGAAGACGAACGGTGATCTCTGGTTTATTATTCTTCAATTTTATGGTTTATTAATTTGTTTTTTAATGTGGTTAACAGATTTTGTGACGAAAAGGGATTAGATACTGTTTGTGGCAAAATGCTCATTAAAACTGATTGCGCCAAATAGCTGCTAAGAGATTTCAAGAGTTTGTCGGATTATCTTGAGATTGAATATACATGCTGGTTTTCATAAGAATACCTATATCGTTTAAACTAGACGTACCGTAAATCCTCGAATAAGCCCACGGGGGATTATTGGGTGGGGGCTTATTCGAAAGAGGGATGGCTTATTCGATAGGGGGGGGGGGCTTATTTCAAAGTTTAGTATTTTCCCCAAAGGTCGACATAAAAACGACATTATTTTTCTAGCAAGTCTAACAAAGAACTAACAAATATTATAATTTTTTATCATCACATAAGTCGCTTTTTTTGCTTTTTGGACTCCTGCTAAAGGAAGGGATACTGTACAGCTATTGTCATGTGGGGGCTTTCTTGAAATAAGATACCATTCTGCAATTATGCTTACCTCGAATGAGAGCCCATGGGGGCTTATTCAAGGGGAGGGCTTATCTGCAAAAATGATTTTTTAGGTGGGGGCTTTTTCAAGGGGGGGGGGCTTAATGGAGCGTGGGGGCTTATTCGAGGATTTGCGGTATCCGCCCATGACTCATTACTGCTATAGTGCGGCACTAAAGTAGTTGTTTTGTTTTCCTTCAAGAAATTCAAATAAACAATAAAATTAATTATTGATGGAGCTTGAACCTTGTATTATTCTATTTCAGCGATTTTGAGCTTTATTATTCTTATAGATAATATTCTAATATAAAAAGGTGTTTATCGAAATTACGTGAAGACAAGCGGAAAACCAAATGCGATGCACAGTCCTATAGCTGAATCTATGAAACTCAAACTCGACCTCAAACTCAAAATCTTTTCAGCAAGCACAAACATAATTATTATATACTGAAAAAAAATTAAATTTCTAGAAATTTCAAAAATTGGAACAATAAGTAAGTCCAAAAATGTCAATTTGGACACACGAAACAAACTTTTAGTTACGTGTGTCCTTCAGCATAATAGAATCGGCACTTCAGTACTTTGCGATTTGTTTCGAGTCACATGCGCTGCTTGATATACTTAATAAAGTTATATGCTCCAGATGTTAGTTTGAATTGAACATAACATAACAGTTAAGTTAATTGATAAAAGAAGTACAATAGAAGTTCGTAAGAAACCAAGATAAAGGTGGAAAAAATAAAAAAATAAAAGGTAAAGAGATGGCGGGGGGGGGTGGTGGTGGTGGATTTAGAAGTGAGTAACTTGACTCTATCAAATGTTAGAAAATTGTCTTGGAGGTTTGTAGAAACTGAAGGAAGAGAAAGACCAAGTTTGGAAGACTGTCTGGTAAAATATTGATGTAATTTGCAAGTCTACTAAACTTAGTTTGAAGATAAGTACTATGATTATCTTGGTTATTAAGTACTATGAATTTGGCAGTTTCGAGCTTGTAGAGGTTTTCTAAGTTTAAAATAAATCTTGAAGCGATTGAAAATTGGTTCTGAGTGTGCTGTGTAGCAAGCAAAATCTATTACTCTGACAGCTTTTCCTAAGCCTATTTTCAGTGGCTCTAAGGTATTTTTATTGGCACAGCCCCAGTTAAGTAGACCATAAAAACGTGGGATTGAATAAATGAATTCTAATGTGTTAATAAGGATACCAATACTTCTAGATATCTTAGCATTTGACTGATTTATTTGTTGAAAGATTATGAAAGAAATTTTATGATATATATGAACTAAACTGGATTATTAAAATATCAAATATCAACAAAATCGCGCTTGTCTAGGAAATCAAACTGTCAAAAGTTGTGGTACGCAACAGTACATCGTACGTAAGGCTGATTGTTCAGATTGGGCTGACTGCTTCAAAAAGTCATTTTCTGCTATTTCTTTATGGTTTCTTTATTGCCCCAAAACCGTTAAATCTGTATGATTTTGAAGATTGTGGAAACTTTTTACAAATGTATCAAACCAAAGAAGGAGGCTTTCGGCACAAATGAAGCAGCTTTGGCTTGCGGATTGAACGAAATCATTTTATAATGATTTGATAGCCTGCATGGAGACTATTGTTTGTAAGACTTTTGACCTTAATTGTTAGTTTTTCAGAAACCTATATTACCAATTAATTTACACGAAATATTTTATAAATTTTTTTTTATTAGATACAAACCCCTAAGATCGCAATAAATTTACAAAAACTGAAGTACAGGGCTCTCTCGACGCACAGACCGAGCAGTCACTACGGTTGACCACTAGGGGTGGGGAGGGTGTTTTAGAGGAGGAAGGGGCTATTTGACACCTTGTAGGTAGAAAACCGAGGAGTTTTTACCATGTGGGGGTGTTTCCTCGACAAATTTTTGGCTTGCGCAATAAAGGATGTGCTTACCAACATTTTCGGCAAATGGGGCTTAAGCAACCCCCCTTCCCCCAGAGGACAATACCAAGCGACGGGCCTACGCGCAAAATGCCAATTGATGGTTCTTTTGAAGATGGTTGCAAACTATTTCAAGCGAAAATGTTTTTTAGTAGTCTTAAAAACAATCCATTGTATGTAGTTGCAGAAAAATCAAAGTCGATATTAAAGCAATATCAAGAAAACCCTAGCCTCAAATGATAAAAAATAAGAACATCGAGCCTCGGAAAAAATTATCCACACATAAAACAGAACATATAAAACAGATAAGAACTTACCACTGTTTATTGCTGTGCTTATATAATGCGACTGAGTAGCCAAAATAATAGCCTTTCTTACCAGGATCCAGAATCATGGCATTAGCAGTGTCCACGTTGAACGACCAACAGTTCTCAAGGTAGCATAAGAGTAAAGATGCTAAAATATGAGCTGTTTTATGGTTTCGAAGCATGATTTTGTTTGCTACTTTAAATAATCTTGTAATGTTTCGGCAACAAATTGATTCTGAAATGTAAGCCTGATCGCTCGCTGTTCTTTTGCTGTGTTGATCGTTAATGCAAAACAGATGAAATTAATTAGAAATTAAGGTGGCGCAAGATGTTTTTTATCACCGTCTTAAATGCAAGTCTATCCAGCTGCCCTCCATATTCACATTGCCCCTCCCATGTCATAAGAAACGAAACCAAATTGAGAACAAACAACCGGTGCACAGAGCAGGAAACCAAATTGGCCACATCTCAGCAAAAGACACTTCAAAACTTAAAAGACCATCAGAGTAGGATAACTTTCATGGATATGTAGGTTGGTAGCGGCTAAGAAATAACGGCGCTTGTTTTTTGTGGCGATTAAATACTTTTAGAAAAAACCTTTATCTATTGAGGTAAATTCCTTCGATACTAGGCAAAACCTCTTTTGAAGACCGGCCAATTGTGCCTGTATTCGGAACACTTTTCTTTACACTTCTTTCCGTTTATATCCAACAAAACGACATTAAAGTTGAGTTTCATCTTTCAAATATTCCCTTTCTGCAATGTCTTTGCTGACAATACAGTTTTTTCACCCTTGTTGTTATAACATTTGTTTTCAAACCATGTTTTTTAACGTTTTTATTCTTTCCATTGCAAAATAAGCAACCTTTAAAATACACCTCCGAAAACCTGCACTTCTAAAAATCTTTTTTCTCGACATGCATATTCCACTTACTTTAGTATGTCTTTTTATTAAAAAACTGGCGGAAACATGACCAAAGTCACATTGGCAATTTTTAACTAATACATTGTCAAAAATTCTATGCAGCATTATGAATTTATTTTTGACTGATCTCTTATCTTAATTCTTAAAGAATGCATTTAGATTGCATTTATATCACCTGTTGCGTAATTTCTCTAATAATCGAATGCAATTAAACAAAAAATGAATGGGTGATGCTTCTGAACCAGGTGTAATTATTCAATGAATATTAGTGCAGATTTGCAAAACTTCTTCTTTGTTTATGACCTCTTTATACCTTTAATTACAATTAACTAAGCAAGCCACAAAAGTTCATATTTACACAAAAAACTTAATAATACAATAACCCATTTCACTTGGGCTTCAATTTATTTGCTCTTTCAAATTCTTTTTGTAGATTTTGAAAAAATCGTGTCATAAATCCTTGGACAGTTCCATTTGGTGGATCATATCTCACTTTTTGCCTCTGTTCTTCATTTTTGAGGATTTCATTGACTTTTTGCTGACCTGTATGATCAAATATGATTTTAATATAATCAACAGAAGATTTAAATTCATGAGCTCGAGGCTATATGGCGAGAGGAGGAGACTACATCTTCTCATAGCTCACAGTCAAAGAATTATTAAACTGATTGCTCTATTTCTAGGCTGTACATAGGTATTTAGAGTCAGGGGGGGGCTGAGCTCTCTTTTTAATGCAAAAACCAACCCTTTTCTACTTCATGGTATTGTTTTTCAAGAATGATTTTGCAGGGCCTAGCTAATACTTCATAGAATTGCAGCCAGGACAGTAAATGACACCATTCATCTAAATGACACTCTTTTCAAGACATTTGGAACTTTGGATTCAATCATTCAACAATAGTATTCTTAAACAATTTCATCTATCCATCTTTCCGTGCTTCTTGATAGAAAAGCATCTTACCACAGCCACACAAAAAAGTGTAATGATGAATATGGGTAACTAAAAGGTTTTAGTTACTAATGATGGGCATTGGCAAGAAGGACATTTCTTAATTCATAAGCTATATCGATCAAGTTTTTAATAGACTGTATGTAAATAGTGTCCTTGATTAGCAGAAATGCTAAATCAATCTGACACTGTAATAAAGAAATAATTATCATTATTTCTATCATATTATTTAATGCTAAAGGTTTATGAAAATTGAAAATCACCATTTGTGGGCACCAGCATATCAGAAAAATTAACCATAATAAGAATGAAATTTAAAACCATACCAACATAGGTTGCTCTTCGGTAGGCAAAATGTGTCATCTGAGCAAGTCTCCTCATGAATGGAGTATTTGCAAGCTATAAAAAGGGGAGAAATCTTAACAATCTATATATAACAAAAAAATGACTCACATGTGAGGGTAGATTTGTGGAAAAGAAACATCAACTGAAAATGTGTTTTGTCAGTATGTTAGAAGACAGAAATGCTAAAACACAAAATTCTGGAGCAATTTAGAATTCTTTTGCAAAAAAGTCCAACAATCCTGGTTAATCTAGCAAAAAATTAAGGGCTTTTTGCTATGGGCCATGCTATGGGCCATGCTTTGGGCCATGCTTTGGGCCATGCTTTGGGCCATGCTTTGGGCCATGCTTTGGGCCATGCTTTGGGCCATGCTTTGGGCCATGCTTTGGGCCATGCTTTGGGCCATGCTTTAGGCCATGCTCTGGTTGTGAGATTTGAATGTTTTTCAAAACGTCAGTGGTTCAAACCACTAGCAAGAAATGGTCTAGCAATTGGGCCTACTTCAAATTACTTAAAAAATATTAACATTGATCAACTTCAAGTTTTCTGAAATCTGAGACCTCCAGGAGCTTGGAGATCATAAATAGGATTACTGGGATTAAATAGGATCATAAATTGGATTAAAATTGTAATACAGCATTGTACTATCCATCTATACAATAGTTGCCTTGTTATTTATCTATCACCATATCCTAATAACCTTTGACAGTAGAAAGTAACCATTCTGTGAATCCATCAATGATTTACAAATCTATTTTCCAGAGAAGCATTAAATTTGATAAAAAATATTCCATGCTCAGGCCTAAATAAACAATCAGGTCACTTTGAAACAAGGTTAATATTTCAATAATTGTAAATTGTAAATATTTCAAGAAAAAATCTGTTTTTCTTTCAAGAAATTGTACAATTCATTACTAATTTATTTTGAAACTTTATTTCAGAGTGATATCCAGCTGCAAAGCTTCAGTTTACTACAATTGGCTTTACTTTGCTCAGGCAAAGAAATCAAACCAATCATAAAGCTGGATTTTGCTCCAGTTGTTATGTGATGTGATTGGCTATCTAGCACTTCCTGGAGCAAATTCGCTTCAACTGGTGCAAAAAGCAGTGATCTGATTGATTTACAGGATCATGACCTATATAAGCTGGAGCAAAATTATGAATAACTTCTCAACAGTCAATGCATTCTGAACTAAATTCAAATGTAAACAAAGAGGTTCTGTGAGGGATGCAAGGAGGATATGAGGAGCCCTCAAGGAAGGATGCTAGACGATGTAGTAAAGTTAAGTTCAGTTCATATAATTTTAAATTCCACTACATAAAAAATTTTGTCAAAACATTAAAATAAACTATAGGCCACAAGTTACACTACAAGTTTAAAGACTAAACATAACTACAGAAAAATTAGAAAATTTGCATGAAGAGGAATTTTTAAGGAGGAGGTCTCTCAGTAGCAAAGCTAATCGAGAAGAGGCCACCCCCTTATAGGAAAATTTTAATTGATGAATATAACTAAGAAACGTTTTGAGGAAAATAGTGATGATTACTATCTATAATCTGCTACAATAATTATTTTCAAAAAGAAAGGCTTTTAGTCTCTGACGAAAGATATGAGCAGATGGTGACCGTTTTATATCTAAAGGAATTTTATTCCAGCACTTTGATCCATGGTGATGTATAGATCTGAGACCATATTGATTGGTATTTCTTTGAGTTAAAATTGTTTGTTCTTGCGAGTCTGTAGTGTACCATATTGGTGAATGGACGCCACAGATTTAAACAAGTTGTGGAAACAAGTAGGGGAGATTTTATTGACAACTGTTATTTTCAAAAAACTGTCATTTCAAATTCTAAGTGCTGAATCAAAGTAAATAGAGCAAACCTGAGGAGCAAATGTTACTTTGAAATTCTGACTTGAGCAAATGTGATTTGTTTGATAACAACTCATGTCTTAATATGCAGAATAGTATCTAAATAAAAAAATTCCTTACCATCTCAACCAATTGGTGCTGATTTGCTAGCATTCTAAAAATGAAAATTTTTCGAATATGATAAAAATACTTTTCTGCAAAAAAGGGGCAGATAAACTAAATTAAAAATAAATGGCAAAATTTAGAATTCTTTTGCTTTCTAATTGGTTGAAGTTTCAGCACAAAGTTACTGATTCAATTAATACAGACTTCCAAGAAACAAGTAAAATTCAAGCAATTTCCTTTAACTACAATGTTTTAACGAATGCATTAATTTTCATTTGTTAACTCGTCTGATTTGTAAAGTATTACCAATGGAACAAAAACTTGCTTAAGCCTTTCATCATCTGAGAAAAATGTTCAACTAATATTGCCAGACAATTCCCCAAATCTGCTGTCATGAAATATTCTTTTATGCATACCATTACATTACATCCTGCAGAAATATTTTGTGTCCTTCTTCAGTAAATTTCCTGAGAAAGTGCAAGATCTTCTTTGCAAAAAACCCCATTGTCAAGTATGCGATGTTCTGAGCTACTTAGAAATAAATCAGGACAGACAAGTATATTTGTTTCAGACCAGTTCAGCAATTGTTTATTTCGATTATAATTACTTCGGTTAAAGTCACACAGTCATACTCTGCATTCTGTTTACAGCTTTTCAGGCAACATTTTGCTTGACTATAACCGGAGTGTAACCTATTTTAATTTCCAAACTGTGCGCTTCTAAGAAAATCCTCTCTTCTGCTAAAACATAAAAGTAAAACTTTCTTCCCTGTCGACCTAGTGGTTTGCCTAGACTTTGTGACAACGAAAGAGCTCACGCAATCAAGTCAAATTCAATTGTCTAGGAAAATATACATGTTTTATAACGTGATTTTAGATAAAATATCCATAAAATTGATCTACTGAATTTCTCACCGAGCAAACTGCCTCCATGGCATTTTGGTAACCAGCACTTTTCCAAAAATTATTCACGCACTTTCTTTCGTTGAAAAATTTTGCTTATCCGACAAATGACGTTAGTGGTGCCCTGTTGGAAGAGTCTCGCTACTAATCAGAGACAGCAAAGACGTCACACGACTATGCTTCATGCTTAGATTTCGAAAAATTAGAAAGGATGTTTAAAGTTCTGTAAAAATTTTGAAAATAACAAATGGCGGAATTTCAGTTTGAATCATGTATTATTTCTGATACTTGAATTGTTTTGATTACTTTTACCCTTTAATTCATTCATTTACGTTATTTAGCTATGGAGAGGCCAGCTCTTAGGCACATGGGCTGGTTTGAAAGTAATATCAATGTTTAAACACTCCCGTAAAATAACATTAAAATTACAATTAAAAAAACCAACAGAAATTAACTAAAAAACCTAAATACAATCCAAAATCCTACAACTAGAAACGCTAACATTTGAAAACCCTAAAAAAATTTCTTAAAACAACTAAGGAAGGATGACTTGACCCTCAGTTAGAATGGAGAACGCCGAAACACAAAAGATTCGCCAGGTCTTAAGTATGTAAACCTTCCTCATTGAAAAAAGTCACAAAGTATTACCAACAACATCAAGATTTCAAAAGATGCTTCTATCAACAACAGAAGCGTAATTTCTGAAAACAGTCGTTACAAAGGACAAAGCGACGCAGTGCCATAAGAAAATATCTAAGTGACTCTGCATCGTGCTATCTTTTCAGTTTTTCCTTTTGAAAATCATTTTTTGAATGGCATTGCTTAAAGCAATTGCATAACAACTTACATCAATCAGAACATGGAATTTCTCACCCACAGTGTGGTCAATAATTCCTCATACCAAGAACGTAAATACCTAGCATCTTATTATCAAACATGGTTATTGAATTTCTTAAAGTTATCCATTCTTACAAATTATAGTAACTTAATCAAGTGACATGGTTTTAAATGTTGATCAATCCAGCAACCAAATAATATTTACTTTGCTTTTTCCAATTATTTTGACATGAATTCTAAATTTACTATTTTGAAAGGAGTCTTACTATAAGCTATGCTCATTGTAATGATTCATAACATTTTACTTCACTTGCATCTAAGCAATTCAATCTCTGACATCCACTGTTTCAGCCAGTACTTTCAATTGTGAGAGCATTGTCAGCTCATATTGAAGGATTTTCATAAATTTAAATGAGTTACAATATAATCAGTTTAAGTTTCGCAAAACAAAGACCAGCAGCTTATTCACATCAAAATCTAATTACATTATGGACGATCACACGATACAAAGAAAATTTTACAAAACGTGTCCAGGCAACATTACCAAGTGACTGAGGAAATAGACCCTTTCACTACTTATGATAACAAAAATAAGATACTTAATGTCACGTTTGATCAAAGCGTTTTTTTCACTTAATTGTGTTGATACGCGACGAAGTCTCTTGCTTCCATCTAGGCAATTCCATCTAAATGTGTTCGTGTAAAAGATAAAGGGTATATTTGATAAACCTACCAAAAAGGTGCTATAAATATTTTATCTCTACAGCTCTAAGTCAAAATGTGACCAATTACGATAAGAGACACATTTTCCGACCAAAAAAATATTTTCTTGATACTGTTCTATATGCTTCCGTTTCGCTTTGCTAATTTGGAGTAAATTGTATTTAACATTAACCAAATTTCAACGAAGAAAGAACATTCTATGTGATTGAAAAATACACTATTTAAAAAAGAGCAGAACGGATCCAACTGTTTCTGCAATTATGAATAACAGCATATACAAATAAAGTTTACAACAAGCTCGCATTTACCTATAATCATCAGGAGGATGAAGGGGTTAATTAGGGGTCACATTTACTCACAACTGTCTCAATACCAAGAAAAAGGCTAGCAGGAAGTAAATTTTGAAGCAGGGAACAGATAAACCTAGTAAGCGTAAAAAAGTTGCAACAATGAGCAGCTTAGTGTAACTTCGCAGCCAATTCGCAGCAACTATATGCATTAACATCGAATATTTACTTTTAATTTTCTGGAATATAGTGCGTTTCTTTGTACGTTTGACTTCAAGGGACTTGGTATTTTTACAGAAGACAGAAAATTAAAGTCTTCCAGTTTGTACAAGAAGAAAGTTTCCCGAGCTTCAAAGAATTAGAATGTCAGTATAAAATTACAGCATTTTCTTCGTCGACACAACTACTAAAAGTATCTCTGTAATATACGAATTTTTGAAAGAGATAACCGCTTAAATTAGTATCTTGACATGGTTTATTTAAGATATTATTTCAACAGGCAGATACTATTTTTCTTAAAAATGGGCAGAACCTTAAATTTGGGCAGTGTTTACTCTATACCGAATGAACTGGTCTCTTCAACAGCATAAAGAAGCTTTTCGTAGAGCTCTTCAAAGTTTCTGTAGGGCGGCAGGTCCAGTCGATTGAAACAAGTGTGGGCTCTAGAAAGCAAAGTTGAGATAAATAAGATATACCAGGAGATAGGGGGCTTCTTTATCAGAAAGCGACAGTGCTTTCAACAGTAACTGTGTAAGAATATTCCCTTTCATCAAGCGCAAGATGCGACACTTTCAAAAACATTTATTTAGGCATGAAAATTTGAAGCCTACCTGGGCAGCATGGCGGGGTCACCCCAGCAATCAACAGTGAACTTTCTTGGACCAGTGCTACCACGCAGTGCGGAGAAGCCTTCAAAGGGAATGCTCGATGTTCCAGTGACAAACTAGAGAAATGAAGTCAATAATTTTTTGCAGATACTTAATCACAAAACACTACAAATACAGTTTTGAAGGAAACATGGATGCGAGATAGCACTTTGGTATCATATTACTTCAACTCTACTACGGCATTCAAGATAAAAATAAATAGTAATACAAAATAAAATCTTATCTACAGTGGACCATGTTCAAAACTGAAATTTGCATGACAGGATAAACACTCGAAACCTATTACAAACAAAGATTAGAGAAAATTTAATTTAAATTTAGTTAAAAACAAGAATGAAAAAAAAATTTTAACGTCAAATTTTAATATTATTTGGAACTGTAATGTAATTTAGTGCAAGTTTATGCTACAGGCTACAGTGCAAGTTCTAAACTTAAAACCGAGCCCTAAAGAAAACGCTAAAACCACAATTAACTAAACAGATATATATAGTAGAAGTTGCGGTTTGGAGGTTTGATATCCTTGACGTCACCAATTCTGAAAGTATCCTCTGTTCTCTCGGCCTACTTTGCACTAGACCTTCTAAATCATTAATTGCTATTTCAGTCTCTTCCTCTTATGAAGTTAAAAAAAAGACAGGAAGAACAAGGCCTTTTGAAATAGAAGAATCATAAATAGGCACTAACTTAAGACCGCAATTGGATTGCGTGAACAACGAATCCTGTCAAATATGTTAGACAGTTATTTGGAGTATTTGACGTAAATTTTACCATTATAATTAACCTACAGCTGTAAAAAGCTTGCCTCAGGGTCAATTTGAAGTTAGCAGAGAATAGACAGGTCCAGTACACTTGATTTTGTCATGATGACGAAAAGAAGTTAGCCAGAAACACATGACTCAATTCCCGCCCACTTCACCAACTATGTAGTTTCCTGACACTTCGTAACTGCATGGTTACAATTCATTCTTCAACCCCTAAGTCATTCGCCAGATATACTTTTTGTTTAACAAGGTTATTCACGAGGAACGTTAGCTTAGTTAGACCAAACGGTAGGTTGACCAAAAGCAGATGATGGTTTCCTATTTCGGTACAGTTCAAAATAATTATTGGATAATTTTCCTCTGACCTACATACGGTATCGACTTCTATACTTAAGGGTTTTCTGTTAATCCCTCCAACACTATGTGCCAAATTTGTTGAAGGAGAACTAGCCGACAACACTAAAAACACACTAAAAGCTACCTTAGAAAAATCTGTTTTATTTGTCAAGCAATTATTAAGTTAGAGAAATTTGTACCTGGAGCAGCCTAAGCCTCTGTTCATTGTTTACAGAGTCGACGGCTTTCCAAAACCATTGGATAACGGGGTGTTTGTCGTGGTAACCTGGAAAGGAATTATACAAATAAGTTACGAAGCTCAAAATAGAACAGGGACACGGTGTGACATTACGGAAGCTTCAGAAAATGTTAGTAAAAAAGAAAGTGCCTAGAATGAAAAACAGGCTTAGGCGTGATCAAATGGGATGTGATCATTACCAGAGCGATAATCTGTGTTCGTTCTCCAGTCTTTAACATCAATATCAGCCGTGCCTGCAATAACCAGCTCAAGTTCACGTGCATCAAAAATTGAGATCATGTGCAGGTCAAGAACCTGGAAAACAGAAATAAATAAAACACGTTACCTGTAGGTGAAAACTTCGCACTGTATAGAAAATAATCAATTAAAACCTGACAGATTTCAGTTGGCAGAAATAAGTAAGTTACAAGGAACATGAAAGAAAAAAATTACCTCACTTGATCTTTAAAGTGAAAATCAAATGGTTTCCCTTCTTAAAACCCTCTGGTACTCTAGATCTGGAAATTTTCGATAGCTGTTTGTTGACAACCTTGTTGTAACTTTTGCAAATACATAGCAAACTTCTTTAAGGTTCGAAAAAGCTAATCACACAGCTTGTGCCACAATAAAAACAAGACCAGATATTTAAAAATATGAAATGTCACAATTACATATTGATTCAACAAAAATTCTGCATTTCAATTACCTCATTAAAGCCGTCGACGAGCTGTTTCATCTGCTCTCCAACACCTCGCTCCATTCTCCATTTAATCATTAAATCGACATATTCCTTTTTGTTTTCATCCGTGACTGGGATGGATTTACCACCCGGCTTTAATTCTCTCTCTGTTACCTAGATTTCATCAAGGAAATGAACAATGAAGTCAAGAAAAATACATTGCTTAATTATATGAAGAATAATACCTCAAATAGCTAGAGATCACAGCTTCAAAATATTAAAACATTGAAAAGAGAAAGAGGCGAAGAAAAAAGAGAAACAAAATTAAAAACACGGATAGTAGATAGAAAATAGAAACGATGAAATAAGAGAAAAAAAATTAAGAGGACGGATACACCGTATTACCCTGCCGCAAGCCCAACCTTCCAAGGGCTTACTTACTTACAACTTGGTAACAAGCAGAAGTCACAATAAAATTTTTGTGATCTGCCTTCCCTTCTTACCAAGTATAGATTATTCCCACCTGTCACGTGACTTACTTGTTGCCGCCATGATGGATCACAACCTACTGTTGGATACACGTAGCAACGCGCTATTTATGTCATACGGATTTTTAAACGGATAGTTACCTTCGGTGATTTCGAAACAGTTTATATGTCATGTGACAGGTGGAAATAATCTATAGACACATGGCAGCTCTTCCCCAGCTCTTCCCCTCCACCCTAAATCCGGTAGTTGCACGGCACTTACCTCATATTTTAAAGAGTAAATTTTAATGGGTGTTTACAAGTCCATTGGTTATAATTACAGAGGAAAAAATCTTTTGGTGGTACAAAGCTTGAAAATGGCTTGAAAAAAGCAAACATTTAGTAAACTAAAGCTTTTCGTCTGACACTCTTCAGAGTTTAAAACACCAGAACATAGACCGAAAACTCTACGCTAGGAAAGATATATACCCAGTTTTGGATCGAAATAGGCCAATCAAAAACACGAACACGTGACTGTTGAGGTTGACCAATCAGTGCCGCTTGCCTATTAAGAATGTTACCAATGGAGTCTTAACGTGAAAACGAACTCCTTTTGTCTAAACAGTAGCGGTTTTTTCGTGCTTATGTAGATAGATAGGAATTACATAGGAAGTTTGACTATTTCAAAAATATTGATATTGCTTACAACTCACTTTAATATACAGTGGATATGCCTAACCGGTTGTGACTGTGATTACGTTTGTATTCGCGAAAGGGAAAACCATGCATTGACAGGTCTCATGCATTGAAATCGTTTCTAACGACTGCCGTCATATGCCTCTTGAAACTGTTAATAGGGGATCAGTTGGGCGACAAGATTAAATGTATTAAAGCCTGGTTTTGCTAAAACTATATGACTAAAGTTATGACTGATCTAGAAAGGCGATGATACACAAAGAAAAACGATAAAAAGATTGTAAATTTTTAAATTCCTGTTATAAGATATAAAATAATGGGATCTAAAATCGCTTAATGGAATCTAAGAATCTAGAGAGAACTGAAACAGCTAAAGACAAGAATGCTTTTCCCACCTGGTCAAAAACAATTTCATCGGTTGTGAAGTACATATCTAACACATCAGTGATGTCATTTTCGAGTATCCAAGACAAACTCTGATGGAATTCCGGATCGAAGGATTCGATGTCACTAAGGTCGTAGGATCTGAAACAAATATCCATTATTAAGACATGTCAGCTGTGGACAACAGCAAACAGCATCAACTTTATAGCAAACTTAGTTTGGGTAATAATGCTTTAGGCTGAATAAAAATGACTGTTGTGTTGATATGACACCCATCAAAACAAAAAAGCTTACGATCAATGACTTTTATCAACTGGGAAGTGAATTTTTATCAAGAATATAAGGCTGAAAGGAGATATTAAACTGACTTACTGTCGAAGAAGGGCTTTGTATATCGATCGTGTGAAAAACACATCTAGCAAATGCTGATGAACAAGCGACAAGGCGATTATGCGACCGCAAAAACGGAGCCTGGAAAAGCAAAAAAACTTTCGTCAGATGATCAGTGCTCGATCAGACTGCAGTAATTTTTAACGTACAAAATTTGAAAGCGAGATGCAAATCGCGAAATACTGTGCATTGAATTGGAACAAATTTTTTTCTTTTGATACAAACGGGAAATTTTTCCTGGAATCTGACAAAACTTCAGCTATGGTCCTAGTTATGAAGCAACGTAATTGAACGAGTAATAAAACCAACAACTAGCAATGTAACTTTTTGAATGGAAAATAAAGTAAAAGCTCCACTAATATAATCACTAAAAGTTCAAAGGCAAACGATTGCAAACAAAAATGGACGGATGGAAATGCACCAAACCTACCACAAATGAGAATTTGTGACGAAGCGGGCTGCCACTGGACTTATTTGTAGAGTGTAAGTGTCACTTGCAGAATATTCGAACAATCCATAGTAGGGGTCGAAGCACTGTCTCGAGATTAAGAAGAAAAACTCTCGTGCGGGTCCACCATAATCCAGGCCTTCCTCCCCAAGGAATTTAATGTACAAACGGTCCTTCTGCAATGCCCTTGGCGGCTGTTTCATTAGTTGTTCGAAAGCATCAGAGACCACGTGATCTCGGCGTATTTTCATTCTGATGGAAATTGAGACGATAATTATGAATACTTAGTGCAATTTTTAAAATGTTTAATTTGATGATAAATATCATAATCAAATACATAAAAAACTGAGAATAACAGGACATCATAAACAGAAGCACCTGATAAAACATTTAGAAGAAAAGGGTTCTTCGAAATTTTGATCTAGAGGTACTTTTTTGGTTACAATCAAAGTATTGTTGAATTCACGAATGTCCACGAATCTCCAAATTTCGTCACTTATGTTAAGGTTACGGTAAACGTTTTCTGGATGAAAACATCAATTTTTCAATTTTTTCATATTCAAATAGCCGAACTTTCAAGGCATACAATGATCTCAAATTTGAAACAAACAAAATTTTTGAAAGTGGAAAAAATCCCATTCAAACGAAGGTTTCCATAATTCCTTTATCAAAACTTTTAGTTGAGGCCTTAAAATCTCTTGACCTGTTAAGCCGATTATCGTTGCTTTGCGGTTGTGGTCGCATGCCTCTTTTACAATATCGCAGGGCACATCCATGTATCCAATGTACGGCCGTGTTTATTTAAACAGGCTTATTGATCTTAAAGCTTCAAGTGACTTGACCCGGATTACATTGTGGTTTACGAGTGTATCTTGCAAGTGGGATCAGTAAAATCCCGTTTTCTCCGGACTTACAATTCGTCTACATACAGGTATGAAAAAGCTATTTTGTACCCAAGGAACCAATCGAATGGCTCAAAACTTTGCACACGGCCAGGACAGATGTCGGGTAAGCAAAGAGTGTCTCGAAATTTTTGTGTTTGCTCTGGTCCGTTATTTATAGCCAAATACAGCTATAAGAGGGAAGAAAAATTGTTTGCCAATTTTTGACAGGATAAAGTTTCAAGGGGAGGAGGAATTTGAAAAATCTGAGACACGCTTTGGTAGCTAGGGTTCGGCGATTTCTGCTGATATAAGTCGGACTTTGATACCTCAAACGCAAGGGTAGAAAATGGCTTTTGAAGGTGGTACACTCATTTGAGCAATAAATTTGCCTGGAAAGTATCATTTTACATATTTGCAAATTATTTTGATGTGGTTGAAATCGCCACATTCTTGTGCATCGAATGATGTATAGTTGAATCTGATTCCGTATATTTGGTTTTCTCTCCCTAAAAGCGAAACTATTAACGGAATCCGAATATCGTAACCAAATATCGTGTCAAAAAACGTTTACCGTAACCTTAAGGCCCCTAATCTTATAGCAGTAGCTAAACACGTTTACCTATACTGTGGAAATATGAGAACACGTAGAAAAAATGATACAATCTACCGCAAGTACCTAGGGTGAAAATGAGTAGCTAAATCTATGATGAATACTTAAATTTACAAACCTTATTTTCCCTGGTCCTTGTCCATACCCTGACTGGACCATTTGCCGGTGGAACGTTCTAAGTTTCGCTTCAAAGTCTCTTCGATATGGTGCAGGCTTTCGTGTGCCCTGGGGCCCTGTCAGAAAGGAAAATTTTGTGTGACAATAGTTAGATTATGACAATATTTCTTAATATTTTGAGGCGACAGAAATGTGCAATGCATTTACAAGATGTTTCTTAATGCGTGATGTTTGTTTAAAGTCTCTTTTTTGGAAATAATTGACCATTTTCAGAAATCCATAAGTTTTAGATTTAAAGTTTCCTGAATGGCAGGAGCCTCATCGATAATCTATTTAGTAGAAGCTGGTATTCAAGATGCTAACTACATATACAAAGTTAAATCTTCCAAAGCTTCCAGACATGAAATTGTATTCGGAGAAGAAGCAGTTCTGCCATCTTTAAAATTCCACCTTACATCAACATAACTGTTTTTTGGTCGAACTTTCACTTCCGTCCTTCCAATCAAGAAACGGTCACACAGGCGCAAGCACTACCTTGATAACAGCAATTGACGGGGATGGTTGACTTAAGTCTAGAAGAATTTCCCTTGTTCTTCTCCCCAAACACAGATATTCATCTAAACGAAATCATTACTTTTGGACAATAGTGCTACAGGAACACGAACGATTGCTTTCGGAGCATAGTACTACAGGGACATACTTGATTCTCTTGTTTCTTTCGCTTCGATAGCACTTGCTACTTCATTCTGCGGCTGTGCATCTGGTACAACGAATGCTTGAATCTCTTCCTCACATATGCTAAAACAAAAAACTAGTGAAATTACCCCAAAATTGAAAGTTGGTGCCTTTTCATGATGATAAGGATGGGAATGAATGTGGCCAAACATACTTTCTTAAAGTGAATTTGCATCACTAAAACAGTAGCAACAAGCACACGAACATTTATAACAGAATACGGGCCTATATCCGAAGTATTCAGCAGCATTTCACTGTTTTTAATTTGCACAAAAAACAATTCAAGCCTCACGATTAAACATTTCAAGACAGAAGGATGCTCAGCTAAATCACTGACGCATTAATCGTATATTCAAAATGGCTATTCAGGAACAAAAAATTATACTAAAACTAAAAGAAATCAAAAAATTTTTGATATCCTTTCGCGATAATCGTGATGGTTTTATCACGAACAGAGGGCATAACACGATTACATTCGATGTACTCACTGAGGATAAACACGATTACAGCCTAATCGTTATCGTGATAATTTTGATAATCGACTAGTGAATACCGGACTTTTCAATACTCTGTCTTACGGTGGTTCTCATTAAACCTCGTGATTAGAAAACACAAGCAGGAAAATTTGTTCTAAAATTATGCATCTTTATCGAGTAAATATTTTCGAGATAATTCGATAGAGAAATAAAGCAGGGATGCGACATGAGGAGAAAAAGCCACAAATCAACCAGGCAACACGACGAGAAAGAGCCAGATGTAAGATAAAATCTAAACAAACCTTAGTAACATGACCAGCTCTATATCATTGGAAAGGCGATCTAATGCCCGTAAACCATCTCTTTGAATAACCATTATTTTTCTCCTAAAAGGAGTGCATTAACAAGTTTAAACAGACTTCACATAAAAAAATGATCGCGAAACGATTTTGCTGGCATTTAGATAAAAAAGCTAATGAAAGTGAAATGCTTGGATTAATCAAAACTACTGCGAGAACACAATATGCCAGCAATATTTGGGGATTTGGAGGGAGTAATTAACTGACCATGCCGAAATTGTGTCAAGTAACACAAAAGAGACTTAAGGTCAAAAAGACAGTAATGGATCCTTGACAGAGATATGAACAAAACCAGATTAGGTATGTGAAAAAAACTCAAAATTTAGAGAAATCTGCATCTTCATAGAGGTTCTGAGATGGCGGTAATCTGTCAAAAGTTAACCCAATATGAATAAAATATTGAGACACTTTATATTTTTACACCGATTACATTTAGATTGGTTCGTTTTAATAATTAAATAAAAGGGCCGGTTAACTTCAGAAGCTTCAGCTTAGGGGGAAGGGGTTGGGCGTGGGACCTTTACATGAATGGTGAACAAAATGTTCCGCACAGGTTTGCATCGGGTGATAAATCTGAAAATTTGCAAAAAATGTGTTTGAAGAACATTCAAACAGAATGAAGTTGTCTTCATAGAGAGAAGCATGGAAGGAATTTTATGTCCTCACCTTAAGGCATTCTTAGAAGAAAGGTTGGCATCTTTTCTTTTGAGAATTTCTTCGATAGCTGGCTGTCGCAGAAACGCCAGTACACGCTCGTTGTACGCTAGAAGTGTTTGAAAAATATATCAACTCAGAAAGTCTTTAAAAACATTTTGCTATTGATGACATATTACTAGAAACTTTATTCATATAAATAAGCCTAAAAAACATTAACAGTTGATTAGAAAATTCAATTTCTAAGAAAACTTTTTGAACTCAGGATTAGGAGTCAAAATCGGTAGCAAGAGTCGGTTATTGCAGGATTTTCGTGCATTATAAACATTTGAGAATCAAAGAGGAGGTTGCAGATGGGAGTTTACCAACAAAATGTTGTGTTGAAGAATTGTGATTTCTCAAAAATAACAAAACATTTGTTCAATCAACAAACACCAGTATCGATGTTGATTTTTTCTAGGTCATCAGCATTTGGTTTGAGTCCATGATACGAAGTTTAGATTATCTTGTCAAAAACCAAGATATTACTACGAGGACATAATGGCGAGAAAAAAGACAAGGACAACTACTTTCGATGTCACAGGAAAAACACATGACGTGACAACTACTTACATGTTGGTTGTGGAGCTGTATACGTTGCATGTCTACTGGTTGGTGTGGCCCCTTGGCTTTTCGATGCAGATCCTGGGGTCGATTGATTTGGGGTAGCCGCTTGCCGTGGACGCTTTGCACTTGATGCCTCAGGGGTGGCAGTCGCTGACGAAGTCTAATTGAAAGGTTAAGAGCAACACTAGAAACAGAGTAGCAACCAAGCAAGATTTGAAACTTTACAATGAATGCGAAATAGTATTCTCAAAGCCCTTCTTTTCAGAATCCGTGAAGTAGATATTCCATCTCTTAGTTACAAAATAAAGCACATACCATTCAACTGTGTGAAGTATTTAAGATTTAAATTCATTTGTTAATGCATCTCGCCGATAACAACGTATATGGCCTGCCTGTAACTTTTCGAAATTATTTTATTACAAACGAAATTATTTTATTATTTTATTACAAATGATTATGATGCACACCAACAAACTAATTGTTAAATCTATAAGATTCATAGAAAATGGGGTGACAATATGCTCTTAAACAGGGAACTTCGTCTGTGGAATAGTCTGCTGCAAGACCTTACTAGTCTTAGTAGCTACTCTCACGGCAAAACTGAATAAGGCTAATTACACTGTATAAAAAACCACTGAACTACACTACCATGACGATACCGCAAGACTGTGTCTACAAAGCAGCCATTCAACAAAAAGTTTTAACAACAAGTGAATATGAAAAAAAGAAAAAAAAGAAAAACAAATAATGCACGTAACCATTTTGCAAAGACGCGCTGTTTTCCTGGGTCGCATATAACCCAATTGAAAAACTGGATATAACCCAGCCCAGCTTTAGAACTTTGAAGTGGGACATATCAAGTTTCATCCATTCAAGTTTAAGGAATAATCCAAGGAAGTGTACAAGCATCTCATGAGCTGACTACCGGGGAAATATTCACAGTAGAGGGAAAAACTCGGAAAAAAGAACTTGTGTTTTTACAAAGGTGAACAGTGTAACGGACTATGCCAATATAGGGAAGAATTTTCACTGAGCATTGGAGCAAAAAAAGCTACCTAAAAATTTTAAAATAAAATTAATTGTAAGGATCTTTAAGTGTAGCTAGTCTTACCAAAGGTCGACTCCTGGGTCCTGGGCCAGTGGGTTCATCTAGTGGTAGTCGTGGGTCGATGAAAGTCGTACTTCGTGTATTGTGATCAATAAAGTATGTCTTATAAAGAAGAACAATAGAACAATGAAAAATAGAAAAAGGATAAGAAAGCATCGAAATCGAAGGGGAGATAGACAATCTGCTATTAAAATGTTTTATATGAGATACGTATGAAAAAAATTTCACGATGCTTTATAAGGCCTTAGCAAGAAATGTACAAGTCAGTAACAGCGTGCCGATACAGAATGACAAATTAAAATGACGGAGAACTGCTAACATCAGACTATCCTAAACTATGGATAAATCGTTTTTCACTTCTACGTTCAAAGTTTGGTTCAACGACCCTTCAGAAAATGAACGACTTTCCATGGCTATACTTGCTATCCTGACCCAAAAGAATTGAAAGTCAGTTCCCTGTGAGAAACATCTAAGGAGCCTGAGAAAAATAGACCTTGAAGAGACCAAATAAATGATGAGTACCTACCTGACCGTACTGATCAGCCTTTTTTTCCCAACCAGAAGGAATTTCCGCAGCTGGGTTCGAGAAAAAGTTCAACAGTGTGACAAGCTCACGACTGTGTTGATACCTAGGAGAAAATTGAGAAAAAATTAAGAATTTCATCAAGTGAATGGGTTTAAGAATCGACACAGTGAAACAGAAAAGCAAAAACCTTTCGGAAAATTGTTCTGCAACATGCGATAGAGGCTCTTGCAAAACATTTAAATTCAAAAACTAGTTCCCGGCGAAGTTAAAAGAATTTTTCTAACCCATTATGGTTTATATCTAAAGGAAATTCACAATACAATAAAATTTAAAAAACAAAAAGGAAGAAAAGGAATAAGAGGTACACATGAGTGTGATAATGATCAATATACCATGGTCTTATTAAGAAGGTATGGACCAATTCGATTGAGAAATTAGAATCATTCTCCTTTTATGTGGGCAAAACTGCAATGAAACAGACAGCGAGCGACTGTTGCACGCTTGCACAGGAGCATTTCTTATTTCTCAACCTGCCTATCTACTCGGTGTCGATGGCGTGCTATGCTGACTTATAGAAAAGCGTTTTGTCTACAAAATCTTTTCCAGATAATGAACTTGGAAAGGCTTTACAGCGGACACATCACAGTACACATCGTCAATGACAAAAATATGATATCTGCACGGCAAACGATTTGATAATACCCACCTTTCGAATTTAGAAGGATCAACTCGTATTCGGTTTACAGTCTGCTTCAACGGACCACTGCGATGGAGAAATTGGCTCGCCATCTGTAAATATATTAAAATATGTATAATTAACAATAGTTTGCTGAACAATTTGGAAATTCATTGGGGGAACTGAGTCAAGTTAAAGGATTTGCTTAAAAGGGGAAGGTTATCTTTAAAAAGGACAGATGTGCACAGATCTAAAGGGGGATTTTTCAAGACCATGAAATTGCTTAATATTGAGGTTCAAACAAAAATACTTTACTTGGAAACCCACTAATTATATATTAGCAAAATTGTACTTCGCAAATCGTGTAAAATTAGATACAAACATTTTAATATTATTTTTTCTTAAGACATTTGTGACAGATTCTTAAATGTGTTTCTGTGCCTAATATAAAAATGTGAATAGCCCCATGATCAAACCAGCTGCATTATGGGAAATTAAAAATAAAGTAGTTCAAATAAGCACATGAACACACGAACATTCTTATTCAAAGTTAACGTTTTGCCAACTGGAGGCTGCATACATACCCCATGATTGTTGATGAACTGAAAAAAATCCCGTCGTCTTATAAACCTGCATCCGGGGGTATTTTCAAATGAACTTCTTGCATCCCTATCTGCAGGTGTCGGTTGTGGTTTGCTTGGCGGCCCGTCTATGGACGATGCTTCCTCGGTGGTCCGTTCAGTTTTTTGTCGCGGCGTGGAGCTCTCTGATGTCTGCCTCCTGGAAAGATGCCTAGGTCGGTCCCGTGGCTGCTCTGGCTCCGTCGGTCTCGACTCCTGAGGGAGGATGGTTGGCCTGTTTGATTCGCCTCCACGTCGCTGGCCTTTGATGGTCCGTCGCAAACTTTGGTATCTAGTATTCACAAGAAAGGAAACAACTAAATGTTAGAGGCTTGCCTTAAAATTCTTGCTAACGGCACGCAAGTTCCAAAATAGAGAAAAGGCTTTCACCATCAAACTTAGACAGCATATATTATACGGTATAGTACTTAGACAGCATATATTATTTCAATTCGTTACCCCAATGTTTAAACATTGACCTTATAGCTCGAAATTTCACTAAAAGCTTGTGATTTCTTTCTCTGCTGTTTAGTCTTATCAAGCGCTACTGAGAGCTACAATACTGGATAATAAGATAAACTAAGTACATTAGCCAGGTTTTTTCGATATAGAGAAAAATATTCGTGATTTTGGTCATGTGTGATTACATATGAACTTTGCCTTCACCTTGACAAGACGCTGCAGTGCTATAAAAGTAGCAATAAGTACAAAAAAGAGGGCAACACCTTTTGAAAAAAGCGTTTTAAATAACGAATCTGCTGTTAAACAATCTTAGTTCGCTATTTGTCTTCTGATAAGATATAAAGAGCAGATTCAATTTTTAGTCTTCCTGTTGCTAGCTAGTGCCTCTGATACTGATTTAATGAAAAGGTAAATTCTATAAAGGATTTGACCGAGACTTGCAATTAAGGGTTGAAAGCTTCACTTGGAAAGATTTCCGCGGTTCATATTCATTAGAAGTTTTCAAAAATTATATCGTCATAAGGACTAGAAGCATGTCGGGAAATCCTGAAATGAGCTCAAAATGACGTCCAGGTCAGTATGGAGTCCTTTCCAAAACGAGGCCGTAAGTTGAATTCATGTATTATGATCTAATAGAAATAAAACATTTGTTTCAAAACCAAAGCAAAATAATTTCTGCAGGTTTAAAAGATTCTTAAAAAATTTTACCAACTTGAAACGATATTTTTGAATTTGAAAATAGCAAACAAATATTGATGTACCTTCTATCATACTGCTGAAGATGTTGTTGTTGTAATTGTGCAGTTGTTGTTGTGTCGCCCTCATTCGCAGTTTGGGCTTTGAAAAAAAACGAGAAATCATCGACTCTAAACACAAAGAACTGCAATGCAGGAGCCTTCAAAGCTGCTTAGCATAGAAACTAAAGCCTTTTTTGAATTAATAAATCACGAAAACAAAGATACAGGTTACACAGTATTTCAAAACTTATCATAATCTAATTTTCAATTACAAAGCAGTTTAGGATTTCCAAACCTAAATAAAAGTTTAGTGCTGGCAGCCATTATAAGCTCCAAAAAACATAAAAAGAATTATGTATATAATGAAATGATTGATTTATGCATGAAAAATGCAAAATCTTATAAGGAAAAACAGGCATAACGACGAGAGTATTGCAGAGAGTACTGCTAAGGGGCTGCCACGAGACAAGATTCCCTAAGACGTCAAGCAAAGGATTTAAGGAGGTTATGTTGCTATCATGTAACTTCTCAATTTCTTAAACATTTAAGAAAATCATACATTCATAGGAAATATCATCGTACCTTCATGTAAACATATCTTTTAATGTCATTTTGAGACTTAATAGAGTAAAATATTTTTAAGTAGAATTTAACATAAAAAATTCCGACAAAATTTTTCCAAAACTTTTATTGTGCCAAATCTGGTTTTGTCCAAAACCGTCGTCCGAAAGATTCTTAAGGAACCGAAAATGCAATGAAACAAGAAAGCTTTGAAAATTTTTAATACCCCTCAAGGGCCTTTTACTGTTGCCTCTAAATCTCGTTGCCATATGTGCTAGTGCTATGCCATTTTTGCGATTTCCCACCTTACGGTTCCCCTGTAAATTCGAGCCCCACTCCCCCGAATCAAATTTGATTAATTATCTTAAGTTGCCCATGATTAGTTTAGGCAAAATTAATTTGGTTTCTTGTCTAAGAGTTTTTGTCCTTGTCACACAGTTTTTTGTCTCAAAGTTTTTGTCCGACATTTCTTAAAATTCGTCCGAATATTAAAAGTTTTCAATTCTAACGTATTTCCTCAAGGTGATTTGAAAATGGTGTGATTTGGGCGACAAACGATATTTCTTGACACTCAATGTACGAGGCAACTTATATGGAGACAAAAAGCCAAAAAGCTCAAAACCAAGAAACAGAAGACACCAGAAGAAAAACATACACTAGAGAAGAGATTTCAGTTGTTTAAAAGCACTTGTAAATTTGCAGTATCTATGATTATAAAACTATGAAAAGCTCACAAAATACATCTTCAAATCGATATTAATACAACAACATACAAGAAAATTTTAAAAGATATTTACACCAAAACTATAACTACAAAATTCTTAAATCAAAGATTGTGATCAGATATAGAAAATATTATTTATCTCATTATCAAGAACGAAATGGGATCTGAAGGAAGTAACGAGACATTTCACTAATTTACAATGGACTTAGGGAGGAATACTTGTAAGATAAAAGCTTACAAGACCTTCTTTCTAAGAAATCGAACTCAAATCTAAGGCTTCCCGTTATATGGGTAGAAAACTTTGGGCCAAATATATATAAAAAGATATCAATAAACGCTATTTATGATTGCTAGTCAGAGTATGGAAGAGTTGTGCGAGTCTATTCTTATCTAGAAAAATAGATTTATCTGACTAAAAACACCATATAGAATACAAAAAGCTTGATATTTCTTAAAAAATTTCAATCCGTTCATGAAACCAAACAACCGGCCTCCTCGTGTTTAACCAACAGGGACATCCTCGAAAACGTCTTATGACACGTCCTGCAGCTGTATTTCTTTACATCTGAATGTGTTTGCAAGTGTGCCCTCAGGTTTGACCGGTCAGCAAAAGCCCTTTGGCACATATGACATTTATAGGGCTTTTCTCCAGTATGGGTTCTAATATGGCCTTGGAGAAGCCATGGCCTGCTGAATGCCTTTCCGCATATGTTGCACTTACAAGGGAGCGTATGAGTGCGTATGTGCATTTTCAATGCCCCAAGGGAGACATAAATTTTCCCACAGAATTTGCAAGTAAACTTTCTTTTACCAATTTTTTGTTTATCCTCTTCGTCAGAGAGCACCGGATTATCATCCGGAACATTGCTACTCTCCTCCCCAGACCCTTCTCTACTGGGATCAGAATCATGTTCCGTAACTGTTACCACACGATTTTGAGCATGTTTGCTAGATACTGCTCCAGAGTCATTTTCGTCAATTTTTGGAAGCGTGCCGTCATCGTTCTGGCTCTTTCTTGATTTTCTTCTGTTAGCCCGTTTGGCTTCAACTTGCCGATATTCAAATTCCTTCGAAGTATTACAGTCTTCGGTTTCGACGTCTCGCACAAGTTCCATGGTCTCATAATCTCTTGCAACTTTCTCAGGAGAACTCCAGCTATTTTCATCTCGCTTTGAAAACACGTAGCCATTTGGTTTTGCGTTTAACAGGCAAGTGACGGGATTCGTTTCAGAGCGAAAACCCAGTAGCTGCGGCGGGTAACAGAGAGGATATTTCTGACAACATGGGCTTGGAAATGAGCACCCATGATACTGGAAGTGTAGACTGCTGCAAGAAGAATTTGACAGAGGCAAGTACATTGGGATTGGTGCCGTAGGACTGAATGGGGATATTGGTGACAGTGGTGACAATGGAGACACGGATGGCACTGAATTGGTGGAAGACAAAGAGCGTCGACAGTGCAGGTTGGAAACCCCTGGGTCGAACGTTTCGTATCCGCGTGAGACTGTATCATGTTTTTTATCACGTGATACATGGCGAGGAGACAATGCTGCGTAAGTTGGCGAAACAGCACCAATACGTGCCGAAAACCGATTGTGGCATGGCAACTTGTGCGATTGATTGTCTTGCATACCTTCTTTAATAGTAAGGGAATCATGGTCTCTCTTGTTAACAACTGTTTCGTAAGTTTTATCAGCGTCCTTACTCCCTGAAGGAAAATACAGCGGTCTATCTGCTGTCGATGCGAGAATAGACCTTTTAGAATAGTGCCCATCATCTTCATGCTCTTCATCTCTTTTGCGTTTCAAGGTTTCCTCTCTAACTGCAACATCGCTTCTTTTAGCAGCATGCTTTACACTATCACTCCCGTACAGCAAATCAGGAAAATCTGGGGCGTTTTGAGCGAACGACATCGAATTGGAATATGATTCGAGGTTCCCTAAAAAGATAGGTCTGTAATCGTCGGGCCTCGATTTCAGTACATGGTTTTTGGCAGCATTCTCGTTGCTGACCAGGCCTTCATATGATTTGTCGTTGCGGCAATATTCCAAACCACTTTGCATACTTGCCACGTTCTTTTTTTTCTTACAACATATTCCATCATCAGGGGAGCGTGATTGGCAAAGTGTCGGTGCTTCGGACTTCTCTATGATTACCGGAGGTGAGTGGATCCAGCTCGATACTGGTTTTAGCTGAATTGCTTCCCTTCTTCGTGTATTTCCACCTTCATTTCCTATCGAAAAATACGAAAGAGATTCTTTCAATTAAAAGAGATGCTTAACAGAGCCCAACTACCCTCTAATTTGGGTTTAAATAAAAAATCCCACAACTTTGTCATTTTTCACAATCCTAGTATAGTAATTGTGGTTACCAAAACAGTGACAATATCGACTTGAGCGAATTAGATAGCATTTCCTCAAAGTCAGCTGTGGTTAAAAATAAAAAAATTAATGTCTGAGCGACAAAATGGCAACAGAATTTGATTGTTTATAGAGTGCGCGATGAGCGACAAACACGACCTGTTTCGTTATTTCGACAGATTTCATCTAGTACACAACAACAAAGGCAGAAAAATTCCTTAAACATTAAATAACAGGGCTTGAAATGATTGTAAAGTGCGTTGAAATCAGTTAAGCATAATAGTTTTTCCCTATAGTTTTAAGCAGTTTAATATCTTCAGTAGATAAATTTCATGGACAATTGAATGAAGCTATAAGGTGCAACAAGTTAATGCCTGCAAATCAGTCAACTAAGATATACTGGGGGGAATGAACTAAGGTCTTAAACATTTACTTTGTCAAAGTTTATGTCTAAAGACACCGTTATTAAAACTGATTGTTTCGGAAGCAAAGATTCTGCCCCAGCCTATTGTTTCTTAACAGGTGTCAAATATTTCAAACTAGACTACTTGCAGTAGTGTCCTAAAATCGCAGTTCTCGAAATGAAAATTACGGAGAACTTCAACAACAGAAAATTGATCCAACTCATATGGTTTACCACATCACAGTGCTGAGTTCAAATAGACTCACCCTCTTCGCAGCAATCATAATCTTGATCGGTCGGTAGGCGTTGATTGCTCTCTTGCTTTAGGCCAGCGATTTTCTTGATTAAAAACGATCTCGGCATTGTAAATTCAATAACCGTCTAATAAAAGCAAATGAACAAATCACCAGGTGCACTCCAGCTCTGGCTTCGCACAACACTTCCCAGTCTACTTCTTTCTTTGGTCGGGTGCGCACAGCTAATTAAAAAAGCAAGTCCTAAACACCAATCCATGAATAATGAGTTCTTTTAACCTGAACGCTACGGTTATAATATGCAATCTTGCGTTGTGGGAGCATTGTGCGAACTTTCGACACACTGCCCTCTATAAACATTTAAGAACAACGCTGTTTGTATTTCAACCTGCTGGTGAACATTCCTGAGCTCTCCACTGGAATCTGTTTGCTTTTTACGAAAGCAGCAATACGGCTGTCGTTGGAAATGAAAGTAAAGTGCGCCTTTGAATCTGCTTATTGTTCAGCACAGATTGATGTGCTTTCAAGGAAACATTGAAACCGATCAAAGATAATAAATCCGTGATACTTTGGTAGCAGGTGACTACACCGTAGATTATTGTGTTAGCCGCAGGAATTCCTCCAGTATAAAGCCGAATTGTGATTCACCTGTGCGCCATTGTTTTCACAGAATGAATTGGATAACATCGATAAAGAGCAAGTGTCATCCTGTGAGCCTGTTTCCGTTTAAGAGACTACAGCGCGCGGCGAACGGGGGATGAGCACTAAAGGATTTACGAGGTTATCATCTATCAACAATTACAGAGGACAATACCTCAATGGCTGTATACTGAAAACATACTGCGTGGGACCTGATCGCAATAATGTTTGAAGGTTCATCAAGCAAAAAAACATAGTCTATATAGTCTGATGTCAAAATATTTGTATGAATAATAAAAAAAATCAGCTAAAGGTCTCATAAACATTCTCTCTAAGGAGTGAGAAATCTTTAATGGGCAGGTATAAAAACCTCCCGGTATTCCAAACAGAGAGCTTTAACAAGAGACAGGATCGAAATTTTACCAAGAAAGGGGTAGAGCCAAGGGAACTCATTGTCCCTTGTTAATACCAAAAGTAACCCTTTACATCTTGCTTTTGTTTATTAGCAATAATTGTGAGTTTCCCCTCTTAGCAATACAACCCTAGACCCGCTGTAACACTTTAGGCCTCTGCTCTCAGCGCTTTCAAAACAATTGGAATGGAAGAATGATACCTTTAAATCATTAAAAGACCCGGCAAATGGAGATGGAGTTCCAAAAACTTTCATAAGGTAGATAAAATTTTTCTAGAGACAAAAACAAAGGCTCAAGTCACTGTTAAAATGAAACTACATTTTGAAACAGGTGTCTCGAACTGAGATTGAAGGCATTGAGTCAATGATATATGAGCAACGAAGTCACTAGATGTCTCACTTTATTGTAATCGAGTGAGGCAAAATCACTCATGGGGTAAAAAGCAAAACTCTTTAGAATTTAGATTTAGAAATCAAAAGCTTTCTTCTCCGACATGCTACCTTCATACAGTATGCAGATCAAGGCGCTTCTCTAGGAGCACCTTCTCCATTGACACGATTCCCTCTAGTAAATAAAGAGCTCGTCAGTTTCGAAATAGAAGTGGCCGACTTGCCTGTGACTCCTTGGACGAGAGGTCCTATGAAAGGGCTTACATGATTATATGGTCTACATAGGGGACCTCTTGAGGGCGTTGCCAATGCACAAAAAGTAGAGACCAGTAACTGGGATTATGTATCAGAACATTATGCCGTACCACGCCCGATCAAGTCATCGAGTACGCTCTAGATTAGCCTAATGGTTTTGCTCTATTCCCACCTCAGCTCAGTACTTGGGTTTATCTGTGCCAACAAATGAAGCCTAAAAAATGTCGCCCTCATCCTATGCGTAGCTACAGCAATTTTGCCAAGCGGCAATAAACTCAGACAGCAATGCGTGAAATATATCTAAAATTATATTGGTGCAATCATCTCAGTATAGATAAAAAAGCAAATCTACATGTTTGCTTCATAAGGGCACTTTTAGATATTTACTAACATTGATGTCTGTCAACAGGGCCAAAGGGGTCAAGTTTTCTGAAAGTTTCCATAATCTGGCATAAATCTGTTGGTGTCAAACTGTAAGCTTGTAATTGCTATCTCAGGCCTAAGTTATTAAAGACAACCAGGCTAACTTATTAAAAAAAGCGCTTGAATGTAAGGCAAGCTTCATCTACGCAACGATATTAAAAGGCAGCCCCCAATAACCAGAAGCGTAGCCAGGATGTTAAGGTTGGGTGGCAAATGTGAGTTGCAAAGAGATTTTTTGCTATTTGGGGGGCGTCCCCTCTTGCTTCCCCCTCACTAGCTACTGCCAATTACTTAATTGCAAATTCAGGCGATACATCACCATATAAAAAAAGTCAGTAAGGGCCCAACAGGAGGTTTCCTTACAGAAAACATATGCACCTATTTACCAATCCCCCGTCTGTCTAGGAAAATGGAGCAGTGAGCCGAGCCCAGATCCCTTGGAAAACCGCAACCAAACATCACATGACAACAATGATAAGGGGAATCATGCTTCATTCTCCCTTTGTGCTCTAGACAATTACGGCGCACCTGTTCGATTTTATGATATTTCCGGTAATATCTGAATGGTTTGAATGGACACAAACGTGACATCGTCAAAGAAGTCGTAGAAAATTTTTATCACTTCTCCGTTAAAAGGCCGGGTCTCAACTTACATCGAGAAAAAACAGAGAATTCATCCAGCTTTTGTTTCTGGTCCTAAGGCGATCAAATAGAATTTTACTCTGATAATAAAGTGTTAAGCTTCTATTTTATTTGGTCGTTTATTGCAAAAGTTCTTCGAGATTTCTCCTCTTGGATATAATTTTTAGAGCTATAAATGGGCCGCTTGCAGAGTTACCGGTTGTTACGCCTGACAAAGCTCGCGCGTTTTTTAAAGGAGCCGGTTTGTAAGAAAACTTAAAAAGTTTGTAATAGTTAATAGAAAAGATATCGTCTTATAGTACCTAATATGCTCGAATAGTACACCCCAAGAATAATTATACTCCAATTTCTACAACGATAAAGTTAAGAAACACCGGGAAATTCTGTGCCACTTCTGACAATGTACTAAACACACCGTTTTCAAGTTCTGAAAAATAAACGCCTTTTAAGAAAAACGGGGAATTTGAATCAGTATCTTGTTCAAAAAAAAGCTCAACCAGTATACTGCGATTTTCTTGAAGAAGCGGATGAGGCTCGACGTTTTTATCTTTGAGTAAATTCAGGCATGGGTGCTTTTAACGTTGTCCTCCTTTCAATTTTGACTTTACATACTATAAACTGTTTTTAGTAGCATGGCTTCTTATAAACATAAGAAAAAAGTTTTCAAAAACATTGCATATCATCTAATATTCATCTATTTTGTCGCAAATCGAGATCAGTGTACTTGTAGTGTTTTACAATAAAATAGGAATGTACCCCATTCTTTTCAAAGAACAAAATGAAGACTATGTAGAACTGCGACGCAAAAACAGATGTGAAGCAACTCTCAACACCAACTTTTTCAAACTATAACATCTATTATAATTAAAAATGCTTACAATCCTCGATAATGTTTTGAGTGCGATATCTTTTTATGAAATGAAGAAGCTTTTGAGTATACAAACTGCGTCATGAGTTAAAAACCTTTATATCTTGACCCCGAGCTAGATTATTGTAATAAAAAACGTGCACAGTGGAGCCTCCAAAAAAGGACACAGTTCAGACCAGTGTAATTGTCCTTTGCTAAGTTGTGTCCGTTGTATAGAGGTGTCCGTTGTATAGAAGTGTCCGTTGTATAGAGGTGTCTGTTGCATAGGTGTCCGTTGTAAAGGGGCTACTATTAAAAGCGTTTTGACCATCCTGGGAAAATATCGGTTCGTTGTTGAGAGGTGTCCGTTGTTTAGAGGTGCCCGTTGTATGGGGGCCCGTTATATGGGGGGCCCGTTGTGTTATAGAACCTGATCAAGCACTTTGCAAAACCAATTGAACTGATTATTTTCATTGCATTGACCTTTCTTCTAAATAACATATCAACGGTACATTTATTGTTTTGAATCAATCAGCTATAGTTTTGCTCCAACAGTAGTCATTTCAATTCCACACGACACCCGGTTTTTTCTGGACTTGTGAACTAACAATCAGCCAGTGTTGAAACGATCGAGTCCTGGGAATAGGGTGGGGCCCAGTCCTTTTTCCTGCCAACCAATGCGTTGACACTGACAGGCATTTTAATGAATCGCTTCGGCACTTGACCTCGGAGTTAGTTGCTTAGCTGCGGGGAAGTATACGCATATGAATATGTATTAGAAAATAAAGATATCTCATCAGTTCCATTTTTGTTTATATCGCCGGCAACAACCAGCAACTAAGATTTTTTTCGGACCAGCACAGAGATCCATGTTCCTTTATCTCTGATAGAAACGTTTAATCTACAATTTTTGGGTGACGGATAAAATGATAACTATCTCAGGTACAAGATTTTACCATATCCAGCCTGGAAAAGTAATTTTGAAGACAGCATATTTGACAATGTGCTTGAAGTTTCAATTCATTTATGCTTGATATGGAAAATGAGGGGGAAAATTAACTATGTCCGTTTTAGCCTGATGTAATCAATTAAAAGCGAGGACAGATAAATTTCCATTTATTTTTCAAGCAGCTCCAGCTATAAATCGTTTTCGTTTATTAGATAAATAATATTTCCCAAGACATCTCACATCGTAACATAATAAATTGAACTCAGCCCAATGACCTCAGTGCTACAAAAGGACCGCATAACTCTAATCACAGTTCGTCGAGGCACCTCAAATTTCTATTTCTTCGCGGCTGTGTCTGTGGTCAAAGAAGAGTGGTTCCTTTAAGTAGAAATAGAAGACCGGATGCTTCATCGGGAAATTTTCGAAAATGTCGGCAAAAACGGGTGGATCTTCTACTTTCTCAGCGAATTGGACCTGCAAACCCCCTTGAGCGCAAATTGGGCCTGCAAACCCCCTGGATCTCATTGAACTAAGCCGCTGCTTTCGCATACATCGCAAGCGGATTCGCGACCAGTCCAAATGCCATGAAGTCGGTTCAAGCAAAAAATTTGTTAGTCAGGGAAATGATTCAGGATAAGTCTATGCTGGAATCTTTCACTGGGATTAACGTAATGCCATGGACAAGGGGAATTAAGTACAAGGAATCCTTGCCAATGATGCAACGACATTAAGCTGGCATTCATTGCCGTCAAAAGGCCCTGTATGGGTCAACTGCGCCGTTGCTTGATACCATAATACTTCAATAGCAGTTAGTAGTAGAAGACGGGAGCTTGGTTTCACTAGATTTTTGGCCTAACATCGAGTACCATAAATTGGAAATTGCAAAAACAAATTTAATCGATCATTTTTACACACTATACGCGTTTCATTTATGTGCCTAACTACTATATAATTCATTTGAAAATAGAACCGAAAGGCGGAAAACACCATACTGGGGTACTTTTCGTCCGACACTCCTCTGAGTGTAAACGCCAGATAATGTTTTAATATACCTTTGCATAATGTACTTTTGCAAGATAAACAGAATTTTCATAATGAGTTTTACAACACCAGACAACTTGATAACTAGATCATCATTTCGTTGATGTGAAGGTTGCTTGTTAAGTAGATACGTGTATTCTCTTTGCTGAATTTAACTTTCTCAAGATATTTTCAATCCGCACCTCAATCGCCACAAACCATGAAAGAAAAACTACCTCGCCAGTGCGGTGGTTCAGCCATTTCGTGTCACATTGATATATGCAGTACAAAAGGCCAAATTTATTATAATCCATGGCTTTTTATTTGATGCTGACCCACTCTTTACCGCAATTAAAAGAAAACCTCGATATTTGGAACTAGCTTTCTCAAATATTCATGCTAATCCAAACGAAGAGGACATGAAGACCAAAATTATAAGCATCAAAATTTATACCTTAGCATTTTTGGCGTGTAAGTATATTTTGGAAACATTTGCAAGTCAGGTACAACTGTCACGAATTTCTCTTTGCTTCGTGTTCAAATCAGAAAGACAAGGCATAGAAACACGATCAGAAGTGGTTCTATAAATATTGGCTACGGTTCTGCATAGGTCTTGCACACATAGACCACAAACGTGGAGACGCTTTGTCATGCAGTGTCTAACATCCGTTCTGAAATACGCTTCCATTTGCATTATTTAAATTAAGGAAAAACAACTGCTATTTCTCTTTGGATCAGTGTAGATTCACGCAAGACTTACCTTTTCTCGGTCTTTTCCAAGTTGTCGTTCGGTGCAGATGGTCAATATAATATATTCTTCCATGCGAGTCGACGGCACGCTCCCAATCTAATCGATAAAGAAACGAAACACAGTTATAGTCCTAGCTACTTACGCTTACTTGAATGATGAAATTAATAGAAAAAGCCAACCTAAAACCCATCATAAGAATGACAGTTCTTACTTGAACAAATGAGAAGGAAAGGAATCAATTTGAATATGCTGATAATCACAATTGATGATGCATGTTCAATAGAACTTTGATGATATTATCATAACACTCCTTTGGTAGTTCACTGTCATTCTAAAAGAGCTGACATAACATATCTCTTTCGAAGGTTAAAAGAGAAAAAAATCGAAACAAGTAAAAATATGTAATGATCGACATTTCTAATACAAAATTGAAAGATGTTTCTTCAAAGCACCTTTTTTATAAAGCCATATTATGGAACATCAAAATTTCATGAAATGTATGGCTGCGTTTCTCTCGTCTACTTAATAGAAGAAAAACGTTTTCTTGGTACAAATGTTTTAAGACTGTTAATTGCAAAAGCAAGTCTAGCTGATGGTTTTGAGTAAAATACTGATATCTCTGGCATTTAAGATACTGATACATTAAATATGGGTATCAATAATTGTAAATATTTGATTGAAGAAATAAATGGTCTTACGTGAGGGCAAAGTCTCTCCTTTGTCATCAAAACGCATTGCCGGGGGCTTTGTTCTTTCTGCCGACGATGCCCCACCAGTAGCACCTTGAGAATCCGAATGAACAATTGCTTGGAGTCGATCAGGTGGTTTTGAATTCTGAATTTCCTTGGGTCCTTTTCCAGTACTCGGTGCTTCATTCAGCCTTTCTTTGTTAGTTGCTACATTGGTAGTACGCTTACGAGTTGCAGCGGCATGTCTTGCTGCATTAGATGTTGCTGCAGGTGGAGTAGGTGCTGCCGATGCTGAATCTACGGGTATGCTCAATTTTGTGTTCCTGTCACGATCTGGGCGCAGAGGTATAGAGGGCGGTTGGGCAGTGTTGAGCAGCGAGGGTGGCTCCGATGGGGACCGCGCCCTTTCGTTTTTCAGAGGCACGGGAGGCTCGGATGGAGACCTCACACGCTGTTTATGGTCAGTTCTCTTTGGTTGGTCATGCCTGACGCCATTTTGGATTTCCCGCTGTCTTGACTTGTCTGGACCAGGAGAAGGCTTGAAAGGGTCTGAATAACTATCTGGAGTAGTTCTTACAATGGCCCTTGCTCTTTCAGGAACCCTCGGCCTTGTATCCCCACTAGGATCACGAGTAGTAGTCGAAATTACAGAAGACATCGGTACAATCACGTCTGAGGTTGGTGTATTGCTAGGCCTGGAGGAAGCTGCACTAATTTCAGATGAGGTTTTATGTTCCTCTTTTTGCACAACAACACTAGAAACAGCATGGCTTCCAGAAGCAGCAACATTGTCAGCTTTTACTCTCCTATCTTTTCGAACAGTAATATTTTGAAAAGGATCCCTAACAGCTTCAGGCTGTATTTCTTCGCGATGGGTGCTGTTTTTCAAAGCCTCTTCCAAGTCCTTTCCATAATCTAACGATGAATGTCTAGGCGGCAGTGGTGGCGGCTTCCTCTTATCAGATTCGAGTAACGTAGCAGATTCAGCTGTTAAGGTTTCTGCATTCATGGAAACCCCAAGCAACTGTTGTGAGCTGCTATTGGCTGAGCTATCAGGAACAGGGAACGTATTGAGTGGCATCGTTGGCTCTGACCGTTCTAATGGCATGTTACGTCTTGATGTTTCTTGATTATTTTTCTTGCTAGAATCAAGCAGTATACCTCCACTTGGCAATGTGATTTCTTTAAAGTGATGGGGTTGGTCTGTTCTGCCGATAGGTTTGTTTTTCGCACTTACAGACGGTAAGTCCTCACTTGATGACAATATAGCTGTTTCCCTCATGCTTTCCCCCTTGAGTTTGGTGGCATCGAAAACGATATTGGATGACGAAACAGTACACAAATTGTCATCGACTGCACTTTCTTTGAGATCAGATCTGAAGGCCGGGTTCGTAAAATCATTTTCATTTCTAAAATTGCTTTTAGGCTTTGTTTTAATAGTCACTTCAGATATCATATCATGTTTGTTTAACTGTTTGCCTGCCATAAAATCATTTTTGGAAACCGGATCCGAAACAGAGTACTTGAGTTTCACTCCTCCACCTGTCGAACTAGAGTTTGGGTCGATATCTGTGCGATTTGAAATTCTATGTTTATTAGAAGATGCACTTGATTGAAAGGCACTAGAAACCGAAGAAGAGTCCGATTCAGTTTCACGTAAAATACGATGTCGAGATGAAAAGAGTGAGGTTTCTGGGGCCGTAGTTTCAGCACTCGTTCCTTCATTTTGACTGCTTCCGTCGTTTACCGATGACGCTACTAATATGCTAGAGGGAGTAGGACGTGGATGCTTTGAGTATGGGCTTACAGCATTCTCAAAATCTTGCTCTTTTTTTCGCCCAATAAGCTTAATTCCATCCAAAGGAGTAACGTTTGCGTCTCTTCCATCACTGATATCTGGGGAGGCCAAGAAAGCAGGAGCACTTTTCTGTTTACAGAGCGATCTGTCGACATTGCTGGTATCATCCGAAGAAACATCAAAAATAGCTTTATAATAGGACCTATTTCGTTGGTTTATTTCCATGCTTTGGTCAGTTTTAACTTTGTACCCTCCTCTGATTGACCTGGGCAACCCTTCGTCAAGATTTTCAATTCTTGGATTATTTCCAAAATCTGTGCTTTCTGCTAAGTTGGCTTGGGCAAATGTACCTGAGAAATTCCTGTCAGTGGGTTCAGCTGCTTGAGCAATGGCCGATTCAGGAGAACTCGGGCCTGACTTGTTGTTTTCTGAGCCGCTAAGCAGTGACTGAGCACGAAAGGTTATGTCATCTAATACTGATATAACATTGCCTAAACTGCGGTCCTTGGTATTTCCAACCAGTGGTGCACTATCAGCGATGGGTGCGTCTTCTGCTAAACTGGTTAAATGAGATACTTTTGAGTCCTTGCTATGCAAATGCAGTGCCTCTGTTTCCTTTCTTCTATTTACACTTTCCACAGTTGCTCTTTCTTTACTATTGCTTTGTTCTATAATTGGTGTGAGTGAGATAGCATCATTAGAACTTGTGACAAAGATATTGCTTCCTTCCTCGTTTCTGATACGAGAGTCGGCGGAAACGGTGCTTGAGCTACCCTCTGCTAATGCTTCATTGCCAACTAAGTCAGAGTACCCCACAGCACTGAGCATATCAAGACATTCATTCAGCAAATCTCCACCACCAAGCACAGAACCCTCAATACTTTCTCGCGGAGTATCATTTCCTACATATATATCATCTTCCTCTTCATCTTCTTCTACCTCGCTGCACTGGCTCTCTGTATCGGAATGGTCCCCAACATAGCCAGGCTCAATCTCAACGTATCCATGCTCAGCGCTATCTCCTCCATCATCGACGGATGCATCAGATGACTCTTCTTCCTGGTCTGCAATTATATCCTCTCTGTCAAACTCAATATTGACTGCTGATTCAACATTTGCTAACTCTTCTGAAGACTGGTCACGTGACGACTCCGTATTACCAGAATCACTGGCTGATGCAGTGTTGCGTGCAGCAGTATTTGTGGTAAGATGCTCTTCTGGCTCCTCCGAAGAAGAATTAGAAGAGTCTTCGGACAAGCTGCCTTGTTGATCAACAAATTCTTGAAAGGACGGGCCAGAATCTGTGAATCTTAGCAGTGACGTTACCGTGCGTGGTGCACCCGTCCCATCATACTCAGATGACTCAGTATTGTCATCATTTTCGCCATTTCTGGACTGAGATGTAGATTGCAAGGATTCAGAAACTTCATTTAAAATGCCCAAACTGTTTTTGCTAGAATCTGCGGCATGACCATTCTGTTTATTAGATTGGGGCATTTCAGATTCGTTCGCATGGGTCCCTTGTACTTCTTGAGGGTCGTTGTCGTCATTATCATCATCATCATCCTGCGACTCAGATTCTTCTGACGAAAGCGTGCTTAAATGATCATGACAAAGGCTGTTCGACGTCCTATTGCGTTGGGTTTGTAATTCTTGACTGGTAGATGGGTGTCCTTGTGAACGAAAAGCTGCACTAGCAAAATAGTTTGTTGTATAATTTCGATTACGCGGTTCGGTTGCACAATGGATTTGATACGACGAGGGAGGGTGATAAGAAAGTGGCCTCTTACTCGCCCCAGCTCCCTTTGGCTGTCCACTAGGTAGTGCCATGTCATCAAGAGGAGAACTTCCAGTAAATGTGACGGGTCGCTGTTTGGCCTGAGTTGCCACTTGATCTGTAAAAAGAAGAAAACAAATCTAACAAAGAAATAGAAAACATGCTTTACTTGTGATAGACAGCCACCACAGTAATTTCATAGTTTTTTCAACTGTAACGAGGGTTCATGCAGTCGTCAGTAAAGAAATGCTTAATGCAACTTTGAAATGTTACATTCTTAATTCTCCTCAATGGCCTCACACTCCCTTCCCCTCCCGGCCTATATGTTTACAAAGTGTATATAAAAGAAATACATTAAAATTGTAAAAACCCTAACCCGTTTTTTGAAAACTCTCAAAGAGACGGAAGTTTTTATTTCTGTTGGTAATTTGGCCTATAATCTTTGGCCCATGAACCTTACTGTATCTGTTCCATAGCATGCGGTTCTCTATAGCCTGCGGTTCTCTATAGCATGCGGTTCTCTATAGCCTGCGGTTCTCTATAGCATGCGGTTCTCTATAGCCTGCGGTTCTCTATAGCATATGGTTCTCTATAGCATATGGTTCTCTATAGTATGTGGTTCTCTACAGTATGTAGTTCTCTATGGCATGCGGTTCTCTATAGCCTGCGGTTCTCTACAGCATGCGGTTCCCTATAGTATGTGGTTCTCTATAGTATGCAGTTCTCTACAGTATGTGCAACACCCTATGCCACATCCAATAGCTTTGCGTTTGTGATAATAACGCGCATATGTCGTGTTTATAAATCCATTCAAACTATGCAAACCCAAAAAAATAGGTTTTACTGAGGTTAAACAGCAACAACAACGTTACATAAACACAATATTATGATGCTACCGAACACACTGAAATTTATATTCGAGTGCCTGATTATAACTGAAAACAAAAAATTGAAAAATTCCAAAATAATTTTGTCTCAAGGGCTACTCTGGTATAGTAATGATAGGATACCTCGGGGTAGCTTTTGGCAAAGGCAAAAACATACCTCAGGTTGGAAGTTAGGATTCACCCATCCTTACATATTCGATAAAAAGCCGTCTTCGATTATAAGCCGCACCAACAAAACTTTGCAGAGATAATTGGTTTAAAATGACGGACAAAACTGATAAAAACCTAAAAATAGATATTAGAAGTTCAACCAACAACAAAATCAATGGCACCCAAAAGTATTTCTTCCCCATCTTCTACCTTGCCACCCCTAGCTTCAAGGTAGCAGAAGAGCTAGGCAGGATCTGGATAAAATAATGCAGGCCCCCTTCTTTTTAAGCCGCCCTTGATTATAAACCACAGCAAAACGCGTCAAAAAATTATTATAAGCCGCGGCTACGCTTGCTGGAAGGGGGGCTGAACTCCCCCTAAATTCTCTTACTTTTAAGGCTCCAAGCCTCCCAATCTACGACAACCCTGACTACGAACCGTATCAATATTTACTATAGTGTAAATATATGGCCAAACAAGGATTGTAAAAATCATAATAATCATAACTCAACAGCATTATTCGAGAAATTTCCTCAAAAGCCGCTAACACCATCAAAATATCAATCAAGCATCTGAGTATGAAGATTTTTTCTCAAATAAAAATATCTCAGCAGTTTTATCAGATTGAATATCAGCTGAAAATAAATGCCATTGCAATAAACACAAATAAACCCCCTTTTCTAATGTCAAAAAATATTTGTTTTAGCCCTCACAATGTAACTTGGTGGTCAAGATGTTTTTTGTCAACTTCAAAAAATATGATATCAGAAGCTAAGTGATTTTCTCTAATAGTCTCAAAAGTACAGCAAACGAAACTGAGGAGTTTCTAAAGCATAAGTCAGAAAATCTTCGGATCAAAATTAAATTCTTAAAAGATAATTGAAAATAGAGATTTGGGGTTTGCAATTTAAATATGGAGGCATCTTCCGCTTTCAGATGAATCGATGAGAATGAAAAGGTGAACTATATCGGATTACTTAAAACTCATTTCACATTTTTATAATTAATACTTTACCAATAATAGAAAACTAAATTTCGAAGAGGAAAGTTGTATAGCTCTATTTTCACGCCATAAGTTACAAAAATTTGATGCTACAATAATCCTTGGCAGGACCTTATTGACTATGCTTCGCTTTATTTATATCACTTTGAATATAATTTACGACGAAGCAAAATAAAACGAACTGGCCGAAGAAAAGGCAGTTTCTGTGGAAGGCACGAATAGAGAGACAAATGTTTTTTAGTGGGCAAAACCATGGGAACGTAACAAATTTTCTTTGAATATATTAACATATTACAAAAAAATATCACAATAAAAGATGGTTTTCGTTTAATCACGGGTCAGTGATTCACAACGAGAGAATTAAAAGAAAAACAATTAATAAAAACAGCGGATAGTAATTTAACCTAGTCGATATCAAGCAAGCTGCTAGCTATACACCGCGCATTGAGATCGTGCCTTCCCCTGTATATCCCATCATTAAATGAAGCCTGAATTAACAGCTCTCTTTAGGCAAAAACGATCGATAAGATATGTACAAGGAAAATAAAATACTAACCAGCCTCCTGTTCTGATTTCGGCAAGTTGGACTTGCGTACAAAGATGGTGAACTGAAAAGTGCCTTGGACTTTTTCACTGGGATTCCTTCCGACAAGAGGCTGCGTTACTGTGCGGAACCTGGATGTAAAAGCGAATGTTCAAAACGTCAATGAAAATCACAGGAAACTGATCAAAGGTTTAGTTCATCAGTTTATTACATCAACATGTAAACCGCAACAGTAAAGGATGTACCTACCCATCACACATACCCGCGCAAAGACTCAACGCTACAACGGTCGTTATTAGACTTTACAGGCAATATGATAACTCCTGAATTAAACTGGAAATTTGTTAGAATTAATCTAGATTTTAAGATGGAAATCGACGAGAAGGCTATTGTAAAGCTCAGATACTACCAGCTTAAAATAACGACACAGTTTAGTGTATGTATTTTATGCTTGAGTGATAACACATAGTAAGATTACAAAAGAGCAAAGAACTCGAGGTTCTTACAGAAATGAAAACTTTCAAATAAAACACAGCAAACTATTCTAAAGGCCTTTTAATGAGTTTCCATCAGTTCAAAGCGGTGTTGGTTTCCTTAGATTCAGTCAAAAAGGAATAATAAAGCTGCATCTTTGAATAGTAACAATTTTCTTGGATGTGTGTTACCCATTCAGCGCCTAATCCCTATCACATTTTGCGTGAGACTCAGAATATCCCATGAGAAATAGCCGAATCCCTAGAAGCGGGAATATAACACCGCTCGCTATAATGTCTACCAAAATTACAGGGAGCACCCAACGTCTTGAAACTTGTTTCCGCCTTGATCTCTGATGTTATTATTTTTGCTTAAATGAGGGAAGGGGCGCAATGCCTCTATTTACTGGAGATTCTTTTCAAAGCATTTTCCTGACACTTTACAAAAATAAAATAGATGATGTCAAAACTCAACTTCCCCCGAAACAATACAATAAAATTGACCACGATAGAAGTTCGTCTAAGCCCCCTGTCAAATAAGCCTCCTAGCAATTGGGTTTTGATTTAGCCTTTCTCCTTCAAATAAGCCCTCAGCCCTTCGAAGAAGCCCTTCTGTTATGCTGTGAAACTTTGAAAAACCAGCCACATTATCATGATTTTTTACAATTTTTTTAGAAAAAAAGCAACAACATGTAATTTCATGTTATTTAAGTAAGAAATGTTTATCCATTTAGATTTTATCCAGTTGTATCAGATAAAAATCTTCTTTACTTTACGAAGGGGTTTAAAGGGCTCAGGCTTATAACATATTTTATAGTCGTGCGAGTGCAAATCTGAATTTCAAAGGATTGTGAACCTCTTCTGCTACCGTGTGACATTTCTTGTTCTTACCAAGAATAATCTCGTTAAAATGCCGAGGAAAAGGGTTAGCCTGCATAGAAATCCCACAGATCGGCTAAAATATAATACGAGTGTTATACAATTTTTAAAGCAATAATTCCATAAAGATTAATACTAAAGTTGAAGTAGAGTGATCGCATGCAGCATAACTCTCGCTGTCATTTCACAGATACAGGGGTAATTCTACGTCAAATTGGTTGTCATATTCAAAATCTACACTACCTAAATGTAAAGTGTAAAGGATCATCTTAAAAAAAGCAAACAGAAGCACTTTAACAGCGACTTTGGTTGACAACCAACGCAACAGAGACAGTCAGTCAATGGATATCTATAGCCATAAGAGAAGATAGAAAGGCCCTTGAGTGATACTGCGGTATTCCTGAATATTTCGACTCATTTAAAGTAACAGGAAATTTTTAGATAAGCTAACTGCTGTGATGACTACATTTTCCTTCTACTGGAATAAGATATAAAGATTTCCTGGACAAGTGGCTTTGCGACTTACGCATGTTACTATTAAATCGATCTTCAGTTAAGACTTCCTCAAACGAGCGATTTCATCAATGACTCACGAGGTTTTTAATTACTGATTAAGAGAAGAGAGAAAACAAAGAGAAAAGCAACAACAGCAACCAACAACAATTACAGCAGCAACAACAACAAAAAGAACCACATGGACAACAAAGTAGTTTCTGCGTCATCGGATGCAGGGTTGCCATTTTGTCCTTTTGAATTTTGGCCGCATGTTGAAAGCCACAAAATACAAAGGAAACGAAAATTTTTGCAGAGAATATAATCTACAATTTGTCACAATAATCTCAAAATTGCAAATAACGAAGCAAAAAACAAAGTAAAAGATAACAGAAAATTGAAACTGAAAGCATTTGTAACAAACAAAGCCAATTTTGATTACACTATTACTCCAAAGAATGAGCCCAAAATGTAGTTTTTTTGTATACAGGGCTGGAAAATGCCCTGCCGGAAATTGTTGCTGTTTGCCAGGCAATTTTTAGAGTAAAATCTCCATTGCTTGATTATAGTATGAACATTAAATTTATGTTACTCTTTTTCTACGGAACGCTGTCTTCTTGTGATATACATACACACTGTATAATTTTTGTTCTGCACTACTAACAAAAAACGAAGATTAGCTTTAAAAATACAATCATCTGGTACTATCAGCGTCTGTTATACCAAATTTCCGACAATTCTGACATGATTTTCAGCTACTAATCAAATTAAAGCAAGCTAAAGCAAAGTTCATTTCTCTCTTTACATTAGCCATTCTAGATAAGTAAAAACACTTAAAGACAGCCAGTCTTGTTACGTCAATTGTATTGAAGGTGAACATGCCTCAAAACCAGTGTAGATGTGTGCATTGTTTTTCATACTTTTCTATTGGCATTTGCATACATTTTTCATCGCTTGCTTTATAGAATGTAAGCGTTTTTGGATTACACCTTTGCCTCTAGCACCACCCCGATTTTAACCATTGAAAAATAAAATAGTGTTTTTACATGTTGTATGAACTACTAGCTTTGATGATAAAAATGAGCAGCAAACATGAAACTAAAAGCAAGATGTAGTATTAAATCAATTCTTCAATAGTATCTAGTTTGCTAGTAATGATATGAAATTAAATAAAAGTTATTTTTGGCTTTCAGATCTACTAACTTTAACCTTGAAAACAAACTATGAGAATGTTCAATCAAATTCTCCTTGTTCTCATCTAGTACAGCAGAAACAAAATGATTGCTGTTCCAAAACAAATCAAGCAACTTAAAATATCACTTTCAGTTGCTGAAAACTTTGTCGAAGCTTCGCAGGAAATCTTGAATTTTTTATTTTGCTGCCAGGAAGAAAAATCTTTTTTCAAGCCCTGTTTGTATATTTTGTTTGGCTGGCCGAATTTGGCCGAGAAGGGTTAAACATTTTGCTGCCAACAATTCTAAGCACCTAGAAATCCTGATCCAATGAATTGTAATTTTATTCCGTGAGAGCTTTTCTGAACTCTGAATTATCAAAAAACAAAAAATTCCTACGTAAACTGCATTCATGGCACGGACCACAACAGATGATGGAGGCCAAGGGCCTTACGTCTCCACTTTAGCTTGCGGTGTATTGCTTGACGGGACACAACTTTGGCACCACTACTAAATGATGGACTGCTACCCTTGATTGTTTTTGAAGAAAGACTTACTTGGCGGCAATACATGCGATTTTATCTTTCCATAAAATATTTTGTCGTCGTACACTATACGATATTTACAGCAACCTAATTTTACGCAGTTGAGATGTTTCAGCGCCAGATTTTTTGGATATATGTAATGAAGCATGCCGCCAAGAAACAAGTATTGATTTTGATTCTTATTTGATTCTTGATGCAAAAAAATCAATCATTCCATTATCGCCGACTTGGTTGATGAAGTCCGAGTTGCGGGCGTGTCAATAGATCTATGAATCCAAGATTTTCTTTCCTGCGATCTCAATTTCCCTCACTATTAGGTTCGTCCCATAACAGCTAGGATTTTTTGCCATCAGAAGTCTAATTTAAAATAATAGTAACCAAAGTGGATCTTCTTTAACATAATGGTTAAAAAGATAAATTCAAAACGAACTGAAACTCACTTGTTATATCCACAGCTGTCCATAATTGTGCATAATGGAAACGATACTTTTCCGAGAAATTTGCTAAACCTTGTACCAGATTTGTTCCGGATTTCAACTTCAAGAAAATCAGCAGGAGTGGCATGGAAGACAAAAACCTAGAGATGAAGGAGACAGATTAGATATGTCAATATGGAAATCGCTTCTTGTTTAACCAAAGATACTTAGCTTCAGACATTTCTAAGAAACAGAAATATCCTACTACCCAGCATTAATGCCAATAGGTCTATATATAATTTTATACGACTTTGAATTTTGCAACTGAAAAACATAACCGTATACTGACCCATGGGCCTATAAATTGTGTTACTGTGCATTAAACTCCGAGGCACAATGAGAGCTGTTTGTGGCAGAAGAGACTACAGGAGGGGAAATGGTTCTCTATCCCAAATGGTTCGCTATAGCCTGCGGTTCTCTATAGCATGCGGTTCTCTATAGCCTGCGGTTCTCTATAGCATATGGTTCTCTATAGTATGTGGTCCTCTACAGTATGTGGTTCTCTATAGCAAATGGTTCTCTATAGCATGCGGTTCTCTATAGCCTGCGGTTCTCTATACCAAATGGTTCTCTATAGTATGCGGTTCTCTATAGCCTGCGGTTCTCTATAGCTAATGGTTCTCTATAGCATGCGGTTCTCTATAGCCTGCGGTTCTCTATAGCAAATGTTTCTCTATAGCATGCGGTTCTCTATAGCCTGCGGTTCTCTATAGCAAATGGTTCTCTATAGCATACGGTTCTCTATAGCCTGCGGTTCTCTATATCATATGGTTCTTTATAGTATGTGGTCCTCTACAGTATGTGGTTCTCTATAGTATGCGGTTCACAGTGTCCCATGTAAATACGTTTTTAAGGGAATAGATGCATATCTTAAAAAACAGAAGGTATAGTCAAAGATATTGTCGAAAAAGATTACATCATTTGATTATGAAGTATCCTTTAGTCTTTGCCATCCTTGCCTGAAATGGGAAGTCTCTCGCTTAACCAGCGAACACGCCAACGGGCCAGGGTAAAAGCCAATGGGACATTATACAATGTTAGCTTATATGCAAAGTAACAAATATACTTAAAACCCCAGAAAGTAATCCAAGTGCTTACAGGATCTGTTTAATATATTACCATAGACATCCAGAAATCACGGTGTCTGTGTCAGAATCGATTTCAAAGCAGATGAAAAAGACAAGTTTACAAAATTAGGTACGATTTCGATCTTGTATAAAACTAACATTACATTTTTCAGTTGCATTTATAAAGATCCAAACAAATGTTGTTTACAAAGGTACGGACCAAGCACTGGTTGAGGGCGGATTTTGGTTGCGTCAAAGAGACAAAACCTAGTTGGGTTGCCAGAATCCTCATTTCGGCACAACTTCTAACGGTTGAAGGTATTTACGCTTTGGCAGATGAGTTTGCAACCAGAATTCATTTTCATTTGAAATTATTTAGGCATGGTAGCCTTTCAGAGGGCCGTGTTAAAAAATTCACAAATTAAAATTCTACTAAAACAAATAATAAAAAAGGAAACTAATTACAATTATATAAACTTAAGTCTTATCTTGAAATTAAGGGGAAAATGCATTAGGAAAAAATAGCAAATTTTGAAAACAAACACAAAATTTTTAATGCTAAAATTCTATTTTTCCTAGTACAATTTTACCTTAATTTCAAGTCACATTATATTTTAAAACAAGCAAGCAAATATGTAAGCTAAAGATCTACCGAATCGCTTATATTAGATTTTTCCAAAACATATAGAAATCCCACTGTCACTGTGTAGAAGGGACCACAACAGTAAATATTTCACCTTCTGATCCATTTACACTTAACCCCCCCCCCCCCC